GTCTAAAGCCAAATTCCATGTGGCTCCATGGAAGTTAAATCCTTCTGCCAACGGGGGACCTGTGAGGCCTCAGTTGAGCAGGCTGAGCAAGGACAAAAGAAGCAAAGAAAAATCCGAGAGGGTTAGATTGATCATGAACCGAGAGTCTATCCCTCGGCTCCATAGCGGGTAGGGAATGGTGCCAGAGTCCGATCGAATGACATTGGCAAAATCATAGAAAGTCACAGAGTTATACCACCGTTGAACGATGCTGGAATGTGTAGCCTTCGCTTTCTCTCAAACGGTGGGTGAGGAGAGGACGAACTGGCTAAGGGGGAATACGGGTAATTGTTTAACAATTGCACGCACCGGCACCCTGGGTTCCAGGGGCCTCTGGTCGCAAGTCAACACCGGGTCGAGGAGTCGCCCGCAAGTTCCGGGGACCGGCCTGATCCAGTGGTAGTTTCTTGGCGATGGCGGTGAATAGTTCCTTGACATTCGTCGAGGACTTGGCAGAAGTTTCGAAGAAAAGCAGGCCGGCTTCACGTGCGTAGGCCTCAGCGTCGGCCTCTTGGATTGCTCGCTTATCAGGGCTCTCTGTGACAAGATCAAGCTTGTTGCCTGCCAGGGCGATCACAATGTTCTCATTCGCTTGGCGCTGGAGTTCCTTCACCCATGACTTGGCTTTGTCTAGCGACGACTATAGGCAGCTGAATGTTAGCTTATATGAAATCAAAGGCATGATGCAGGATTGGACCATACAGCTTGAGTGATGTCATAGACAACCACAGCGCAGTTGGCATTGCGATAGTACATCGGAGCCAACGACTTATACCGCTCCTGGCCAGCGGTATCCCAGATTTCGAACTTGACTGTGGTGCTATCATCGAGGGAGATGGTCTGTGTCAGGAAGGCGGCTCCGATCGTCGACTCGCGATAATCATCGAATTGGTCCTGAACGGGGAGATTAGCATTGTATTACTGCATGTGCGTTCGGCTCGCCGCGGGAAGTAATGTGACGATCGTTGAAGGCTCACTTTAACAAATCTGAGGACTAGCGAACTCTGTAAGATAGCGGTCAAGTCAGCGGGTGATAAAGAAGATCGCAAGTGTTATCCCAAACCTTTCCGACGGCGGACTCTCCTATAAGCACAACATGTTAGCCAAGGATCCAAAGTTAAAAAAGAAGTAAATGAACGTGAAAGCATACCAAGAAGGACGAGCTTGAACTGGGCGAATCTTGCGCCTGGGCGGGCTCCTGCTGCTTGCCTGGAAGCCATGATCAGGAGAGGATGGAGGGTTTGGGGAGGGTAGGAGGAAGATGAAACGGTCGAGGAACTGAGATATGTGATTCGAGGTCTCAAAACCCGGATAGGAGAGTGAGAAAAATGGGAGATCCAAAGAGTATAGAGTACAAAGATTTAAAGACTCAAGACACTTCAAAGACCCTCGTAGTTTAAGGCAGACAGGAATAGATGACGGAAGGCCCCAGCCACAGGAGCAGCGGGGCGGTGTGGCTGCGTACTGACCAGAGTGGCCCGCTGTTCCTTTGTACCTTCCCTAGTATTTTGGGAAGGGAAACTTGAATTTACTTCCCTTTGCTGCCTGTTTCTCTTCACATTCTCTTGTAATCATTCATTTCAGGAGGTCCTGTTTCTAACTATGGCTCCTCCTATTCTCCCGTTTCGGGATATCAACCTACACGCGTCGCCCTCCCACTATGCCTTTACTTCGCCATCATCACGCCAAGCACCCACTCTGGTAGTCGACCGACCAACTGGTGATTTACGCTTGAACGATGGCCCCCTTCCAGGGGCTAAGCGCATTTCCAGTATTGCTGGTATTCTCGGAATCCTGAAGTTGAAGCTTGGTAATTGCGCTCGCAAATAGAAACTCAGGAGGTTGCGCTAACGCTCACAGATAAATACATCATTGTTATCACCAAAGCCCAGCCCATGGGACGGTTGCGCGGCCATATGGTGTACAAAGTCGCCGGAACGGAATTCCTCCCCATGCGAGAACGCCCGCTTCACGACACCGACGAAGATGCCTATCTTACATTGGTGAAAGACCTGCTTCGAAGGGGACCCATGTACTTCTCCTACTCGCTGGATATCACCAATAATTTCCAACGACAGTCACAAAATGCTCCTAATATTCCGATGTGGAAGGGCGCAGACGACCGCTTCTTCTGGAATCGATTCATTCAATCCGATCTGATCAATTTTAGCCTCGGGGCAAATGACACAAGTGGAATTCGCTATGGCCCCCAACCAGGGGCTGACCCCTACATCTTGCCAGTCATGTTCGGCATGATGCGTATTACTCCTGCCCGAGTGAAGTCGACATCCTTCACATTCGCACTTATCACCCGACGATCCAGACAACGAGCCGGAACGAGATACTTCTCTCGTGGAATCGACGAGCAAGGCAATGTTTCAAACTACAACGAGACCGAGCAGATTGTGATCTTGAATGACTCGGCGGGTGGACTATCTGGGTTTGGTGGAGGTCAATCAATGACCAGTGGCAAAGCTGGGCAAGACCTTCAAGTCTACTCTTTTGTGCAAACCCGAGGCAGTGTCCCCCTGTTTTGGGCTGAAGTTAACGATCTCAAATACACACCGAAGCTTCAGGTTCGTGATGTCGAGACTTCCGTTGAAGCTGCGAGGAAACATTTCGCCGAACAGATCCGTATCTATGGAGAAAATTACATGGTCAATCTTGTCAACCAAAAGGGCAGGGAGGAGAATGTCAAGCGTGCATACGAGCAGCTGGTTCGCAAACTAGTCACTTCCACATCTGAAAGCACCGAGGCTGATGAACGCTCCCCTGAAAAGATCCATGTTTTGGAACCAGGGTTCAAGCAGAAAGAGATGGACCACTTGCATTATGTGTACTTTGATTTCCACAACGAGACTAAGGGCCTCAAGTGGCATCGCGCAGAGTTGCTCATGGGCCGTTTGAACGACGGGCTGACCCAGGGCGGTTATTTCCGTGGAGTTGAGAGTCCTGGTGCCCCTGGTGGGCAGTTGGATACTCGTTCTACGCAAACGAGTGTTGTCCGAACAAACTGTATGGATTGTCTGGATCGCACCAATGTAGTGCAGAGCATGCTCGGCCGCTGGGCGGTTACACGGCAGCTTATGGATGCAGGCGTTCTCCGTCCCGGAGAGACTGCCAACGATGACCAGGAGTTTGAAAACCTGTTCCGGAATATCTGGGCAGACAACGCAGATGTGGTCTCCAAGTCTTATTCCGGCACCGGTGCGCTGAAGACTGATTTCACTCGGACCGGCAAACGAACGCGGGCCGGCATGCTGCAAGATTTGAACAATTCCATCACGCGATATGTACGCAACAACTTCATGGACGGCCCTCGACAAGATGGGTTCGACGTATTTTTGGGCACTTATCTCCCATCGGACTCAACCTTTGCCAACATCCAGCTATTCCTTGACCAGCGACCACTTGTCATCCAGTCAGTTCCATATGTTCTCGCTGCTAGTGTGTTCATGGTTTTGGTAGCGCTTTTCACCAGACGGTTGCCTGATGCCGCTGTCTGGCCGCTTCGCCTGTTTATGATCTTCTGGTTGCTGGTGGCGATCTACTGTTTCCGTTTCGTGCATGGACATGGCATGCTCTATGTAAGTTCATTCCCATCCTGCTAACTTGAAGTATTGTCCCACTAACCCTTTCTTTTTTTTTATCAGGTCAATTGGCCCAAGCTAAACACGCCGGTCGCTGGCGCTGAGGGGTATCAGGATGCTCTCATCAAAGCACGCTCTGATCCCATCATCGGTAATTGGCTTCCTGCTAGACGACACCAACGTGGTATTAGCAATGCCCGCCTCGTCTTTTTGGAAGAAGGCAAGACTAGGATTGAGTAAATGTTTCACTTCATCATTCCGGCGTTTTGGGGCTATTTCTTTTTACCCTTTGTTCTCATATTCTGTATACTCCATGGCTGTATGTTTTATTACCATTCTTTTCACACCACTACAGGCCCGCCGGCATTTTCCTTTCTGTTCCTTGCCCCTTCAATTCAATTCTAATCATCTTTCCTCTTTGTTGATACACTGTTTCTTTGCTCGGAATGACGAGATCTTCCAACTGTATGCTGCTGTCGTGATTTTTCCATCCGTCCCCGTTCCATTGTTCCTGCTGATCGGATACTCCCTCGTTCTCGAAGAGCTTAGCCAATACATGAACACTTTCGAAGACCTACATCCACCTTCAAATGTACTTATTGAATATGAATTCTTGTACATATTTCAACCTTCAAGCTGCAGTGGACAGATTATGAACATAGAGGGCTTTTCTAGCTTTTATGTATGTCTTTTACCAATCCCCCTAGGGCTAGGTTTTGTAAACAGATATATCATCTTGCGACTCAGATATGTTGTGATTAAAATGTGTTGAGAATCCAGGTTAATTCTCAGTAATTAACATGGAGCTTTCAACGCTAATCCTAATTCGGCATGCTTTATGCATTACGAATCACGATACAACCCTCATGCCAAGAACCTCGAGGTCCTACGGAATCGAGATTAGCGCGTCGATGCAGCTTGCCGTCTACACCACTAATTCCTGTATACAACCGCCAGTTTGTTATATCACAGGGAGTCATTTCAATCCGGGCTGCATTCAGTGCTATCACCGTCTTTCTTTCTGTTTCTATCACAAATTGATGGATTCCAGGGGAGGAAGAAGAAGCCTATAAATATGGGCTTCTTTCTATGTATGAAGAGATTAGACAGTTTTACAATTCCATTTCTGGCACTATATTCATAGTTCCAGTTATCTTTGCAAGAGATACTCCATCTATTTTACATGCTGTATAGTCCCTCAGTGTACTATTTCAACAAAATGTGTGTTCCTCGATATAAAATCAGACTCTAGAATTTTCCATACTATACAAAGTTATCTGTGAATGTACTCATTAATTGTTTATGAAATAACAACTATGGGCAGTTCCCTTGAGTTCAGTCTGTATAGTATGTTAACAAGCACGTGATCTTCCCGATCAGTGCCAAATGGGTTTCCCGAGGAGAGCGGGGGGATTAACCAGAGAACCATAAATTGTTAGAGCTGTTAGAGCTACCGGGGTTTCTCTAACCACCCCTGCTATTTGAGGACTTCAGGCACGGGCTCAATTTGTTCATGCGAGGGCTTTGGACCTCTATTCGCTGGCAGTTTTGCGCACGGCGATTTTCGACTCGTTCGCCCACCATGACTCGAACATATGAAGTATGCCACTCGGGCTTTGCGACATAGGGAATTACTTCCGTCAAAGTATAGCATATGCTGACTTTGGAATGCATAGGCTGCGATAGCATCTCTCAACTCATTGCAGACTAATTATGCGATTGTGGAGGCGTTCAAGAAGTCCACAACGAGGCAGGAGATTAACGAGCTATCTCTCCCGGAGACAGTGGAGTGGTTACAGCGCATTGGATACAAGGTGCGCTGATGGCCGAGATCTTGATTCCTTATGAGTGGAGCTAATGTGAGATCTTTACGTTCTCTAGCCTTCCGACCTCAACCGGCTGAACGCAATTCATGTCGCCGGCACGAAAGGCAAGGGCTCGACCTCCGCATTCATCTCCACCATCCTCTCCCAATATACCCGAAGAGATGCGGATCAACCTGGATCCAATCTTAAGATCGGTCTCTACACCTCCCCGCACCTTCGGTTCGCACGTGAGCGCATAAAGATCGACAATGCCCCATTGTCCGAAGAGCAGTTTGCGCGCTATTTCTTCGAAGTATGGGATCGTCTTGAGCAGTCTGCTAAACTGGCAGGCCAGGACCCCACCGGGCCTGGGACGAAGCCACAATATTTCCGGTACTTGACCGTGATGGCATTCCATACCTACCTGAGCGAGGGCGTGGACGCCGCGGTGATCGAATGTGGAATCGGTGGTCAATATGACTGTACTAACGTGATCCCACAGCCAAAGGTGACAGCGATCAGTAGTCTTGGCATTGATCACGTTGATCTGCTTGGACATACGATTGAGGAAATCGCGTGGCACAAGGGTGGCATTCTCAAGCGTGGCGTAAATGGGTTCGCGGCACCACAACCCCTGGGTGCGGAACAAGTCTTGGCTAAACGCGCCGAGGAGGCTGGCGCTCAGCTGGAAATCGTGGCTGGCCATCCTGAGCTTCGTCCTGAGAGCAGCAAGATCACCCTTGGGTTGGCTGGAGACTTCCAGTACACCAACGCCTCGGTGGCAGTGGCAGTTGCCGCGGACTTCTTGCGCCAGGTTGGCATCGAAGTTCCGGACAATATCATGAAAGGACCACTTCCGGCGAAGTTCAAGACCGGGCTTGAGGAAACTCGCCTAGGTGGCAGGTGTGAGACCCGATTTGAGAAGAATGTCTCCTGGTATATCGATGGCGGGCACACTTTGGAGAGCATCCGGCTGGCTGGCCAGTGGTTTGCGTCGCGGATCCAAGCCGACTCATCGTCCGAGGATGTAGCCGCAAAGAAGACACGAATTTTGATTTTCAACCAACAGACTCGTAACAGCACAGCTCTTGCTCGTGCTCTCCATGAGACTCTCGCGTCTGCCCTTGGATACGATACTCCATTCACTCATGCCCTATTCTGCACGAATATCACCTACAAACAGGCGGGCTTCCGACCCGACTTGGTCAGTATGAACACCAACGCTGACGACCTTGAACTCCTTCGTGTCCAAAAATCTCTTGCGGTGGAGTGGAATGCTATTGATCCTCACGCTCAAACACATGTTTTTGGTACAATTGAGGAGGCTGTTGATTTTGCGCGGGAAGTTGCAGGTCAGGAACGCAAGGTCCTGCAGAAGGACGAAGCTCCGGTCATGACTTTTGTCACTGGCAGCATCCATTTGGTTGGAGGATTCCTCGATGTCGTCGAGACAAAGCCGCCTACTGATGCGTGATTCCCCGATTTTTGGTAGCCTGGAGCTCCAATGACTCTTGCATTCTTGTATCAACACTTGAGATATGCTTTCGGCTTAGCATAGAACGGACATAGAGGTGTTTTTGCTTGGATTTCAACAATTCTTTGATTCTCAATATAGTTTCTATAGTTTTTCAATTTAAAATGCATTTGAATGATACCATATTTGAAACCCTGTACGTGCTTTATCTACGTGGGCTTTGCATATGTGAATGCCGAGGTTCCTGATGTAGGCCACTAATCGTTGAGCAGGGGTCTGAACTCTTCACAGTGGAGCACTAGGGACTCCGAGCAAGGTGAAACGGACTCCGTGTAAGGTGAAACGTGTCCATAAATAATAGTCAATAACTATTTCCTATATAAATAGCGTGTATAGCGAGTTGTGTAGAGCCCAACGTTTATCGTAGTCTTATTAAGTCAAATTGTCCGCCCGCCCCCACCAGAGATCCGCGTCTGAAACGTGGGGCCCTATCCAATTCCTCCTTCCTCAACACCCCAACACATCATGTCGGATTCCAGCGATAAAAAGGGCAAGGCTCCCAAGCGTGATGAAAATGAGTCTGGGGCTCCATCCGACTCGGGTAATGGTACGCCCCTCTGTCCAGCCTCCCACACTGGGCACCAACGACCCTAGCCTGCAGATGCGCAGCTGTTAACATTCGAATACTAGAAGCAGGAAAGAAGCTTCCCGCGAAGTTCGCTTCCTTACTCCTCGAACAAAACCCGGCCCTGAAGAGCGAGCTAGCTGCGATGGACAAGGACCAGGCCGCGGCTTTACTGCACAATATGGACCTCTCGCAGATGCTGACTGGATTGGCGGTGGGAGGCAAGAACCAGAAGGATATGGCCTCGTACAAGTTCTGGCAGACACAGCCAGTGCCTGCTTTTGAAGAGGCTGGAAAGAAGCAGATTACTCAGGGACCTATTAAGATCATCGACCCAGAGAAGGTTTCCCAGACTCCCGATGCGCTCGTTGAGGGATTCGAGTGGTGCACTCTTGACCTGACGAATGAGGAGGAGCTGAAAGAGCTCTACGAGCTTCTCAACAAGCACTACGTCGAGGATGATAATGCCATGTTCCGTTTCAACTACTCGGAATCTTTCCTTCATTGGTACGGTTGAGTCTTGGACTTGTGTACCTATTTCAGCATGCTAATGACACATACATAGGGCCCTGATGTCGCCCGGATGGAAGAAGGAATGGCATGTTGGTGTGCGCGCCACCAAGTCGCGCAAGTTGGTTGCATCCATTTGCGGTGTCCCGACTGAACTCCGCGTCCGCGGCGAGCGTCTCAAGGTGACGGAGATCAACTTCCTGTGTATTCACAAGAAGCTCCGCTCCAAGCGCCTGACTCCCGTTCTGATCAAGGAGATTACCCGCCGCTGCTACCTCAGGGGTATCTACCAGGCCATCTACACTGGCGGTATAATCCTGCCCACACCCGTCAGCTCTTGCCGATACTACCATCGTTCTTTGGACTGGTTGAAGCTCTACGATGTTGGCTTCTCGCCTCTGCCCCATGGCTCGACCAAGGCCCGCCAGGTCACTAAGAACCATCTCCCTAGCGAGACAGCAACCCCCGGTCTGCGGCCCATGGAATCGAAGGATATCGATGCCGTCTATGATCTGCTGGAGCGATACATGCGGCGCTTTGATATGAACCAGGCCTTTACACGGGAAGAAATCGACCACTGGCTGGTGTACAAGCAACAGCCTGGCAAGGACCAGGTTGTCTGGTCATACGTTGCCGAAGACCCGGAAACCCACAAGATCACCGATTTTGTCTCGTTCTACAATCTCGAGTCTACTGTGATCGACAACCCCAAGCACGATACCGTCCATGCCGCATACTTGTACTACTACGCGACCGAGACCGCGTTCTCTGACGACAAGAAGGCTTTCAAGAAGCGCTTGCAGCTCTTGATGAACGATGCGCTGATTTGCGCAAAGAATGTAGGTTGCAACTTGTTATGTCTGGTTCTACATGCTAATCTGGTCTTTTTTATTCATTCTAGGCCCGTTTCGACGTCTTCAATGCTCTCACCTCGCACGACAACCCCCTCTTCCTCGAGGAGCTCAAGTTCGGTGCCGGTGATGGCCAGCTCCACTTCTACCTATATAACTACCGCGCTGCACCTATTGGTGGTGGAATTAACGAGAAAAACTTGCCCGACGAGTCGAAGATGGGAGGTGTCGGTATTGTCATGCTGTAGGCTTGACGCTTTGGCTAGTAAATCTAACGTCGGATACCCCGCAAACGAATTTCTTTTCCTTGTACTGTGCTAGCGATGCTGTGCTAGCGATGAAAAGAATATGAAAATATAACAACCTATTTCATATACGAAGGTCGTTTGGCTAGACTTATGGCTGCTATTAGCGAATTTAGGGTTGGCTCAAACATGGAACACTTGAAGTAATTGAGGTATTTTACGAATATCTATTGCAAATGCTCGACTTTCCTAGTATATATATTTTCAGAAAAATGCTCCCTGGGGAGGTACATATAGAATCTGTCTAGCGTGAGGTAACTTGGATTAATCCAACACGAGGTCCCTGACCAGACAGACCAACCGAGACACCGAACCTCCCCAGGGGACTGGCTCTGGTACCATTGGTTTCTTTTTCGTGGCACCATTGGTGTGCAAAAGCTCTCCAATAAGCCTTCTAATGGTGACGATAACCTGGTCAAGCCAAACCTCCTCGATGATACCTTCTAACCAAGAAAATCCCATTGTCAAACAGCCATCTCCTCCGATAACCAGTGTGACACACAGAGCAGCACCGATCTCATTACTATCATTGCAAGATATAATTCTCCCTGTCTGCCATTCTCGCTGCTTTTCGGACTCAGATGATTTTGGATCCTGGAAGCTTCCCATGCTAGACACTGCAACGCTGACTCCACTAGTCCCTCCAATGTCTTTCGTATCAGACAAGCTAGGGCCTTCCTCGCGTCGAAGAAAACCCACTAAACTGTTGCTTCGCACCTTTCCACTTAGCTCGCCCTTGGAGGCTGCGTGGATGCGTCGAGCCTCGTTCCAGATGGAGGACATATTCCATCCCTGCGCTCTGCTATGTGTTGTAATATATCTAGAGCAGGGTGTGGCGATCGGGTTGCCTATGGTCCCATTGGGCGATATGTGGCCTGCAGTACGCATAGTGGAGAATTCCGAGGGTAAGTTGACAAACAGCGACGCCGCGAGGACCGCTTGGATGGCACCGGTGAGAGTCGTCGTCCTGGCAAAGCAATCTACCAGGAGATGGGCAGTGTCCGTGGTTCCAAGTGTGACTGTTTTGAACCGAGATTCGCATTGGATATGGCTGGTTTCCCTTTCATGCCGTGATGTAGAAATCCCAGACAGTCCTTTTGAATCTTTGCGACTGGGGTATTCCGATGGCTGTTTCGATGTGTTCTCCTCGTTGACCAGGAACAATGCAGCGAAGAATGATCGATGGAAGTCCAACGCGCAGAACTGATCCCTGGCGGCTTCACCTACCACAAAACAAGCTACCATATCAGACACGGTACCTTGCCGAGATGTGTATGCAATAATCAGACGCCAGCAGGGTGACTGCTCATAGGGTTGTGGAAACCCAATGTTCTGTTGTTCCTCCACCAGCGCATCCACCTCTTCATCTCGGCCATCCCGGAGCTGAATAAATTGCACCGTGTGGTGGAGGATGGCCCCCATTGCTGGACGTTGCAGTATCACCCGTGACAGGGCGTTATAGACCAATGGCTGTACCGATTCGAGTGGGAGAGCCGCAGAGCGATGATAGTAAGCCGCGGTGGTGGCATTGCCAAGGTAGCTGAGGTGATCGAGGGCTGTACTTTCAGCTGCTGCCAATTCATTAGATTTTGGATCATGAGATCAGATACGGTCGGACTACTCACCAGCTTGTCGGCCTTTCTCGTCAACTGGACTCCAGAGCATGATGGTCACCAGATACAATCCAGGGAGTCAGTCGAACTCGTGAGGCGATCTCAAGTTTTTTCGGGCTTTGTTGGATTTTCTGACCGTCTGCTTCCCTCCATATGTAATGTATGTTGTCTGATACCTAGGTAGAACCTTAGAAGCCTAACGGCGGGGTTTACATGAATATTCAATCTCACTGATCATCATACATATCATGCATACTATGGTATCGATTATTATAGTACGTACGTATTAAGTATTTTTTCCCACTATACCATCCATACCCCACATATAATACAATACCTTTCATACCATACATCTTCCCAATACCATACGAATTTCTAATGTAATATTCTAATGGGAAAATCTTACTGGTACTAGTAGTACATATTTTACATACACATGTATGTACATACTACTAACTACGTAGTAGCCATACCGGTATCGAGAAGCCTGCATCTATGTACCACTAATACATATTAACAAATAAATTGCCATAGGATTTTGTAGGCGCCGGACATTCTCCGTGTATTAAAAGCCAAGGCAAAGCGTCTAACAACGCCAATCCTCTTGGTGAGCGCGATTGAATTTTTTTTTGTGATCTTCGCATTTGTTCCAGTTCCAGTTCCAGCTGTGGTGACAAGATCCCAATGTCGGTTTTAAGCACGCTCGGAGGGGCGGACGACTCGTATATGCAGTATGCGCTCCTCGCGGTCCTTGCAGGCGCAGTGTTGATCAACCTGAAAACATTTCCAGGTGTATGGCATGTAGGTGGAATGAATCAACGCGCCATCAGAAAGAATCTGTCTTCTTTGCTTTACGCTTTGCTGACCCGTTATTTTATCTCATTTCTAGTTGCGAGTATTGAAGGGCCTTTTCACCCAATTCCTCGGGGCTCGCTTGTCTCCCCGTCAGATCGATACGAATGGGGTTCTCGTCGACGATCAGTCTGGAGGGATTCCTCTCCTCTTCTCCTATCTAGTGACCTCGCATCAGAACGCCCTGATGGAATGTGATTACAACATGCACAAGTCGAACAGCACCTTTTTCTCCGATCTGGACATCAATCGAGCACAATTGCTCTTGAGCCTTTTCCCACGACTGCCACGCTGGGCACCTACGCCCGAGTCAGCCACCGAGGACTCCGGAACAGATGCGCAGAAGTCGAAGAAGCGCGAGAAAACTGTGAGCATTGCGCTGGGTGGGACTTCGTGCGTTTTCAAGCGCGAGATCAAGCCTTTGCAGCGATACGAGGTCTGGTCGCGTGTACTATCGTGGGACGAGAAGTGGTTGGTGTTGGTGAGCTATTTCGTCAAGGCAGGAACGCACAAGAGCGTGATGCGAGCCTTGCAAAAGGGGGACCAGAACAAGGAGGGATCGGAAGCACAGAAAGCTATTCTTGCTGTCGCAGTGACTCGATATGTGTTCAAAGATGGGCGCCGAACGGCGCCACCGGAGGAGGTTCTGCAGTGCGTGGGGCTGTATCCATCCGCCCCGGCAGAGACAGACAAGCAGGATATTTACGCCAGCTTGAGAAAGCCGGGGTCGGATGTGCTGGGTTTCTTTGGTTCATTGGATTCGCTACCGTCGCATTTTGGTGATGCGAGTTCATCGATTCTGGGACACTACAGTGATTTGTAAAGTGTGCTTGTTGATCTGGGTTTATAGATTTCTTTTGTCGTCATCTATTTATGTAGTAAAAATTGTATGAGCATCAATGATACATAAGTCAATGGGATATATGTAAGACCTCTATAACAAGTCCGAGAGCCGCTTTCGTTGAACACCTGGTTCATATGTTTGTTTTCAAATGCGTGTATGATGAAAAGAAAAGGAGTAGAACGCGAGGCAGAATAAAAAGAAAAGAGAAAGAGAACAAAAGGAGGCCAAGAAATTGAAAGTAAATATGGATGTAGAACTTGGTTCGTTCAAATGTACAGGCAAAATTCAATAAAAACAGAAAAAATCACCAACTCAGCGACGGGTATTGTATCGTGAATCGCGGTAGGGGGATGGTTCTCGGCTGTGGAGTGGCACATCGTCGTCATATATGTCGTTATCAGGTAGTCGCTGCATATCCTTCTTTCCCTTGCCACCTTTCCGGCAGCTTCGACAGCAACAGGCACAGCCGTTACAGCAGAGCCACTTGCCGATGCCACTGGAGGGCATTTCCGCATCCGGACCCTGTAACACGGCGCCCGGCGGCGCAAAGTTCCAGACGACGATAGCTAAGGCCATGGGAATACCATCAAACACATACATATACCATTCATGGTATGGGATGGGATTTGACTCCCCGTAGCCAGAGGAAAATTCAACCAAGCGGTAGATGATGCGCATCGTAATAGCGGCTAGACTTCCATATAGGGCGTAGAGCAGTCCACGCCAGTTCTGCTTCTCCACAGACAGTCGGCCGGACCGCTCCAGCTGCAGCATCAACCGGTGGAATTGCACGGCCAGTACCAAAAAGCATACGATGAAGAACTCCTGGATGCCGATGCCGCCCATGTAGACGTGGATGCCGTTCATTTGCTGCTGGCCTGTACCATTGGCCATAAAGCCACCGATAATTTGAATAACAAAGGACACGAAGTCGAGCAAGACAAAGGACTTGGCTAGCAAGGAGGGTTTGAACATGCCGATGCGACGCTCGGGAAGGAAGAAATGGATCATCCTTGCCAGGACCATGTAGTCGAATGCATTGACCCCTATATCCAAAAATCAGTATCATAGAATTGGAGTGTTTCAGGTAAGAAGTTCAGAATCGTACATAATGGAGCCAAAAGAATAAACATCTGGGCGACGGTCACAACAGTGTCATCCTGCTGATTGCGAGTGCTGAAGGCGCGGACCGCGTAAGCTACAGTCTCCCACGAGACACCCATGAGGACGACCCAGGCAAAGCCCGCCTTGTACATAGTCGCTTGCACAAAATGGGTCATGAAGAGGAGCCCGAAAATTACAGCGGCAGCGACCGCGGCTCCAAAAGATGGGTAGTAGAGGTACAAGGCGTCGCACTCCGAGGGCGGTACCCAGCCATACTTGTCGGGCTTGATGGTGGGCGTACACGTGTCGGAGGGCAAATCCAAGCTCAAGGTCAATTGGAAGCCTGTGGCTGTGGTGGTGGTCGCTGTGGTGGTTGTCTCTGGGTTTGCCGTAGTGGGGGTGGTATCCCGCGGGAACACTCCAGGCTGGGGCACAGCGGTTTGGACAGGCGATGCCCGGGCCACCATGGCCGACACCACCACGAAGAACAACCCCGAGATCGAAAATCGCATAATTACAAGAAAATATGACACAAAACAATCGGAGATGAAAGGAATATATCAGATCAAAATGCTTAAGAGAAAGCGATAGGAAAGGAAGAGAAAGATGCAGTTAAAATCATTTCAAAGAAGGTAGATAGCGCCCAAGCGGTTAGTTTATATCAATATTTGATGCCTGGAGAAATACAAACAACCCCTGCTATTATGGTTGCCTTGGAAAAGATGCAATATGATGAGACGTGTAGAGACGGCCTAGAAGCCAGTTAAAAATAGCCCTGGAGACATTTGGGAGGTTTAGAGGAGGAAGACGGCGGTTACAGTGTTACGGGTAGTTTTCGAGCTTATTCCGTATCGGGTATAGCGAATACACTTTATATACGGGGATTACTTAAAATTCGACCCCAAAAATACCCAGGCCCCCTCAATAATACCGCCATGTCAGCCCTCAGAGTCCTCTGGGGCAGGTCTACGGCTGATGCAGGCGAGCTAAAACCCGCTTCCCGGCCACTTTCTTTGTTCCAGAAAGGAAGAAAGGAAGAAAGAGAAGGGGAAAAAAATTAGGCAACAATGTGTGATATTGCTGCTCAGAACGTCTTTGGCCCTACTATAGGCTCCCACTGTCATAATGGCTTTGACTTCACTCTGCTATTCGAAGAGACTTTCTTTACTATCGTGCCATGTGCGCTATTTTTGCTCTATCTGCCGCTGCATATTTATCGCCGAAGTTGCAGCTCTCCACTGACTCGGGGGCGGCTACTATTCCCCGGGAAACTGGTATACCAGCCTCTTCCACCCCCCACCTACCGACCATGCAGAACTGACTCCAAGCATCTAGACTGCCCATGTGCTATCGATCTGCGTGAAAATTACGTTATTGGTGTTGGTACTCCTCCCACGGCTACAGATCCCCAAGACTCGGACCACAGTTGCGGCGGTGGCTCTCGATGCTGTCACGGCGCTGTTCATGATCAGTGTGTCATACACTCAGCATTATCGCTCTCCCAGACCGTCAACCCTGCTGCTACTCTTCCTGAGCCTGTCGCTGCCACTCAATGCAATCCGGGCCCGAACAATTTGGGCGGTGCAGACCCGTTCGTTCTGTGCCGTCTTCATCGCCAACCTCGGATTTGACCTCATCAAGCTCTTGCTAGAGTCAATCGAACAGAGGCCATCTCTCACCGATCAAGCTACAAAATGGCCACGAGAGACGATTGCGAATGTGTTTAATCGCAGTATGTTCTGGTGGTTAAATCCATTGTTGATACAAGGGTTTAAAGACGTCCTCGATGCCGACCAACTCCTTAGCATTGATGCCCGTGTCAACGATGCAGAGGGTGGAGACCGATTTATGCAAAAGTGGGATGCTGGTATGCTCAATTCTTATGTTACCTATTGAATCCGGTTGTGGGCACCAAACTGACTACTTCTCTTGTCGGATGAGACAGTGCAGCCCAAGTCTTCCTCCGCCTTGACGATGCTCTTGATGGTCCACCATCGATGGGCAATTGCCTCGGCTATTCTTCCTCGACTCTGTTTGACGGGGTTTACCTTCGCCCAACCATTCCTCCTCACGCGCGTGGTGAGTTTTGTTTCCGAGGCCAATGCGCCTCTCAGCCAGAATTACGGATATGGCTTGATCGTTGCCACCATGATTATCTACTTGGGTCTGGCCATTACTACCGCCGGTAGCCAGCACAAAACATTTCGTTTGATTACTATGATCCGTGGTAGCCTCGTGCCACTGGTGTATAGGCACACAATGCGCTTGGATGTTGGCATTGCACGGGACTCAGCTGCATTGACTTTGATGAGTGTGGATATTGAGCGCATTAGTTCTGGTCTTCAGCATGTTCATGAAGTCTGGGCAAGCCCCATTGATATCGGCCTCGCCCTGTGGTTGTTAGAGCGGCAACTGGGTCTAGCCGTCGTCGCATTTGCCGCCATATTCGTCGGTAAGTACCGTCAATATATAAGACTAGTTGGCCGAGCCCTATGTTGCTAATTTTAAACGTTTTTAGTGTGCACTCTTCTTGGTCTTGGGGTGGCGAGCACTATGGGGGAACGGCAGCAACGCTGGCTCCAGGCTATCCAGAACAGGGTTCAGGCTACATCGGAAATGCTGAAGAACATGAAGGAGGTAAGGTTGGGTGGCTTGCAGGAGTTGATGGCCGACAAGCTCCGAGGTCTGCGGGCAAAGGAGGTATCTGAGTCGACCCCTTTCAAACGAGCGTTGACTTTGATTGTCACCTTTTGTGAGTCCCACCAAATCAAATGTGGTAATTCTCCCTTGCACAGACTACTGATCGATTGGTAGCCTATACCACAACCTCAGCCGGCCCGCTCCTGGCATTCACTATGTACAGCCTGCTGGCCAAACGAAATGGCTTTCCCATGCTAAACTACGACAAGGCCTACACCGCGTTATCCCTATTCGCGCTCTTGCAATCACCTATGGCCCTCATTCTGGATGCTATTGCTGGGTTGGTCACCGCCTTAGGCGCGGTGGCTCGCATTGGCGAGTATTTATCGAAGCCTACTGGAACCTCTGGTGAAAGTAGCCGACTGTCTCCTCCACTAGCCCTCCCATGTGAACTCCTAGATGAAAAGACACGACCGACGATGGTGACAGTGCAGGGCTTCAGTGCTGGCTGGGACTCCGAAAGACCTATGATCCTGAAGGATCTCAGCTTCGAGGTTCGGTCGTCCAGTATCAACTTCGTGGTTGGCCCAGTGGCCTGTGGCAAGACCACCCTGTTGCTGGCCATCCTCGGAGAAGTGAGCCGTCATGATGGCCGGCTGGAAGTGTCAGTTCCTCGTATAGGTTACTGCAGTCAGACGCCGTGGATCACAAATGCCACCATTCGGCGCAACATCCTGGGTACCAGTGTGTATAACCAGCCGTGGTATGATAAAGTGGTGGAGATGTGTCTCATCCAAGATGACATTGCCGGATTTCCTCACGGGGATCAAGAATGGGTCGGGAACAGCGGTATGACTCTGAGTGGTGGCCAAAGGGCTCGATTGGTAGGTAGAAAGCAAAAGGGGATGATTGCGATATACTAACCATGCCCATAGGCAATTGCACGCGCAGTCTACGCCCGGGAAAAGCTTCTTTTGCTCGACGATGTTTTCAGTGGGCTTGACGGAAAGACTGAAGAGCATTTGTTTCATAACCTGTTCGGACCAGATGGGCTTCTGAAGGAGGCAGAGACGACCGTCATCTTGGCCACTCATGCGGGTGAGTAAGACTGTAAGATCACTCATATGACTCAGACAGGACTAACAGGAATAGTACAACGTCTCGCATATGCTGATCAAATTATCATCTTGGACTCAGAAGGCCGCATTGCAGACGAAGGTTCTTCCAACGAGGTCATCGCAAGCGCCAAGGAAATGGTGTTTAGCTCCTCGAAAAAGGATCAAAGTGCTGGGCCATCTATCGACACCGGCCTGGATATCTCCAGGGTTCTTTCGTTGGAGGAAGCGCCGACAGGGGAGGATCGACGGACCGGTGATACAGCGGTCTACAAATACTACATCCAGACGGTTCATCCCTTCAGCGCGTCGATATTTTTCGCTGCCTGCACTCTCTTCGTTGTGGGACTCACCATACCCCGTAAGTGCCATTGACCTCAATATATTGGTCTCCCATTGACGAATCCTTTCTGCAGAATTCATGGTTAAATGGTGGCTTGAGCGGGATGATGAGTACACCGTCACTCATATGGGCGAGTATCTCGGCGCATACGCTGGCCTATCCGCACTGGCCATTCTCTCACTCCCTGTCGCAGTCTGGTACGAATATTCCCACCCCCATTCCTTGCACCCAGCCTGTCAGAACTATGTATCCTGATTCCAATTCCTAGGCACCTCACCGAACGAATGCTGCCACGGGCCTCGATGCGATTCCATGCCTCTCTTCTAATTACCGTCCTTCAAGCACCGTTGCAATTCTTCTCGACCACAGACGTGGGCACGACTCTGAATCGCTTCGCTCAGGATCTACAATTGTCGGATATGGAACTGCCGCTAGCACTCTTCAACACTTCGGTGGAATTACTGCTCTGTACGGCCCGCCTGATCATCATTGCCATCACCTCTAAATGGATTGGCATTGCTCTGCCGGCGCTGCTCGCGGTCTTTTACATGATCCAAAAGTTCTACTTGCGGACCGCGCGTCAGCTTCGGCTGCTCGATATCGAAGCCAAAGCGCCCTTGTTTTCCACATTTCTCGAGCTAATCTCTGGTCTGACCACTATCCGGGCATTTGGTTGGCAGTCGGATTTTGACCACCGCAATCGCGAAGTCTTTGATCGCTCCCAAAAGCCATTCTATCTGCTCTACTGTGTGCAGCGCTGGCTGAACCTTGTGCTGGATCTGGTGGTGGCGGCGGTGGCCATCATGGTTGTGGCCATTGGCGTGCGCACTCAGGGACAGGTCGACGCCGGGTTTATGGGAATTGCGCTGGTGAACATTGTACAGTTAAGTATCAGTATCAAGGCCTTCCTCTCCAATTGGACCAAGCTGGAGATCTCCATTGGCGCAGTATCTCGCATTCGGGCATTTGCTCTAGATGCTCCGTTGTCGGATACCGATAGCACCGAGAGTGTGCTTCCTACAGGGTGGCCTGAGAAGGGGCGGATTGAATTTCAAAATGTGACAGCTCAATATGAAGGCTCCCCTCATCCGGTGATTCGAAATCTCACTTTGTCAATTGCGCCCGGGGAGAAGATTGCCCTGTGTGGGGCGACAGGAAGGTAAGATTTCTCGCTCACCGTCTCTTCAAAAATACTCATTGGCTAACTCACCGTTCGTGCTACAGCGGCAAATCATCTCTCGCTACCAGCCTGTTTCGTCTCCTCACCCCATCCGAAGGGATGATTACCATTGACGATGTGGATGTGTCAACTGTGGCTCGCGATACGCTATATAACCGGCTAATCTGCGTCACACAGTCCCCTCATCTAATTGCGGGCTCTATCCGCGAAAATGTCGACCCCTTCGGTGCAACAACCGATGACCAGGTTATTGAACTAGCACTCAAGGAAGTGCATCTCTGGGATACGGTGGCCTCGCGAGGCGGGATCCATGCCCAACTCTCGGAAGGCTTGTTCAGTGTTGGGCAGCAACAACTGCTGTGTCTAGCTCGGGCTATGATCCGCCCAGGCTCGGTGGTAGTTCTGGATGAGGTGACTGCCAGTGTGGATCGGGAGACGGACCGCGCGATGCAAGAGATCATTCGCCATCACTTTGCATCTCGCACTGTTATTACAATAGCGCATCGCATCTCCACCATTCTGGATGCTGACCGCGTCGCGGTGGTGTCAGACGGAGCCATTGTCGAACTGGGCCCTCCGGGCGAACTCCTCGCTCGGGTTCCTCCTAGTCGGTTCCGAGGTCTCTATGAGGCGACGGCCGTCTCTAACCAATCTTCTGAGACTCTGCAGGAGATTAGTTAGCTGTTACCACAGTGGATTCAAGCTCCCCGTGCATGTCGGTTGGTGCGTATTACATACAACAATTAATACTCTGTACAGAGTAATCAAATAATAAGAACGTCATTAGATTAATTATCAAGCAACAAATTATATAATATTCTGCAGCCTGGGGAACCTTGGAAACTAATTTAATGCATGTCAGCACTTAGTGAGGCCGAGCTAGGATAATGCAGGTCAGCGCTAAGAATGCTATAGCCCTAACTAACGGCATGATGTCTCAGGTATAAACCCCTGTAGGCTGTATTTCGTGTGGTGTACTTGTATTACAGCCTGTACATGCTGCGTAGGATATTTAGTGTCCTGTATTTTGTATTTTACAAGGTATATAGCGCAGTATGTACACTACGCGTGTGGTATTTTACATTCCGTATAGTTGTTCGGTATGGTGTACATCTGGTAATTTCGCCTGTATTGAGTATTGTACTTCCACGCCGAAGTATTTCCGTGTATATCCCCACCTGGGCATCCATACATGGATAGTGCTTAGTCTTAGCCCTATTTGAACAACACTCCTTTTCTGAAAGATCTCGTGGCCGCACTAATTTCCACCAAAGAAAAGCCATCCCTGATCCGATCGCCTAAATGCGCCATTCATTTTTAGCACTACAGGAAATCCCTGGCTGAGACTGCGCCTTCTACGGCCGTAAAAACCACTGTACACAAGACAAAGAAATATTTTCTCCACCCAGGTCTGAACCTCCCACTAGCTTCATCTCCGCTTAGATGCGCTGTTCCGTGCCAAATCCAGCTCGGGGAACCGCCGGGTCCGACTGCGTAACAGGTCTGCCCGCTCTTCTAGACTCATCGCTCTCTGCTCAGCACCAATTGGAACCATGCATCGGGCCAGGTGTGCATAGTCCTTTCGCAGTAGTCTCACAGTCAGCATGAGATAATCAATATTTTGAAACACCAGCGCCCGCTCGTCCGAATAGCGTTGCTGGTCCCGAAGCAGCGCCACCGGATGCTCCCTCCAATGGCGTCGGGGATGGAGATGGTGTGATGTGTGGTAACCATCATTGAAGCAGAATCGATTACTCTGGTGCAGCAAATTGTTAGTTTAGGCAGTACGGCCGAATGGAATGGAGTACACCGGGTGAAAACTCACGGCAACATCGATCAAGGTGATACTAGACCGGAAATCCGACGAAGGATCATTAGGATCCACAAAGGCGTGCTGACCCCAATTACCCGCCATCAGTCCTGCACGAAGGGTGCAAAGGGGTAAAAGGAAGACGCAGATTGTGGCCTGTGCGTGGGCGTAGCGGAACAACAGAGCAATGGCCAGGCAGTTACTGAGTTCCCAAAATGCCGTTTTGAACGAAGTGGAGTACTGGCCCTTGCGAAGGAAGTACAGCGGCAGATCCAGCGAGATGAGAAAAAAGAACCGGCAGACATAGCGTGCGAAATCGGCAATTGAGTCTCGATCGTACCACATGGTCGAGTTGAGGTCTCGGGGTCCATTGCCCTCGACATGGTGCATCTTCACGTGGTGATAGTAGTATGAATTCCACGTGTGGCCCACTAAGGGATCGACGATGTATGGAAAGAGGTCATCGAGCAGGCGATATCGAGGTGCCAACACGCCATTCATGTGTACGTACTGATGCTTCATGAGCGTGTAGCTCCCTGCGTACCACACATGCACGATCCAGTGGAGAAGGCCATGGATCCAGCTGAAGTGGTAGCAGTACAGCCAGAGCGCGCTGGGGATGGAGGTGGTGAGGTAGAGCAGGAGGTGGGTTACCATCACCACGTCGGTTGGGAATCGCAAGATGTCTTGTACCCAGCGAATATACGGCTCAAGTAGGTGCTGTCGTATGGGACGGGGTAGCTTTTCCCGCAGCAGATGTGTCTCCCAGAATTGGAAGACCGTGGGGTCGAAGTCGGGGTCGGAGGTGTCATTGAGAGACCTCAACTTCTGGATGGTGTCTTTGCTGGTGCTGCTGTGTTCGTGTACTGATTCATTCTGACTGAGCAGCTCCTTCATCACCAGTAGATCCGGAAGTGTCAATTGAGGATCGACTGGGAGATGCATTTTGTCGCAACATACACTCGAAGGAGGGAGATTGGAGATTGATATTCGATAGTTCGGTCATTTCATTATAATTAAAACTATATATAGTCTTATCAAATAGCAACTAAAAGGATAGTAGAGAGAAATGTTGAGAACCGTTTAGGCAGTTGGATTTCAGCGTTATTGCACGCTATTTTGACTAGGCTGAGACTTAGGTAGCAGTGTTTCACTCGGTCTTTGCTCTCGAGGCTGCAGGCAACTCTTTAGAGTTTTAGGGATATCGGTCTCGACATTTACTCAATCATAAGTGTGTAGAGTGAAATTTTTGAAATTGATGTGGTTGTGGTTGTGGTGTTCAGCTCGGCAGCTTTCTCCGATGTATATCTCTACATGTATCTATAGAGATGTCATCTGTTAGGTCATATTGACCAATTGGAGAGAGCACAAAACAGGCGTGGAAAATAGAACGTATATTGAACTTAGGAACTTAGGAATAAACAAGATAATACAGATATTTTGTGACAGAAATAGTAAAGATGGCCGTTTAACACCAAGTGAACGCCGTATACGGGAAGAACGAAGCAAAAACAGACACACTACCAAAATATCTCAGAAAACCAGAATCAGAGACGTGCCTGAATCAAGATATCCAGCATTCCACGGACTTGCGAATGATCCCAGAGATCCTCGACAGCAACTTGGTATCCCTGGCGCTGCCAGAAGGCGGTCAACAACGCGATCGAGACCAGATCACCACCGATGGCGAAGAAGTCGGATTCCAAGTCCAACGGTAATTCAGGTTGACCCAGAACCTCCCGCCAGCTAGCATAAATAGAAGAAAGCCTTTCTGCATCCAATGATGGAATTGCGTCGATGCGACCGACAGCAGAGTCTTCATGCACCCCATTGGAGACCCCTGGACTCGGCAAGGGAAGGACGGCCTCAGAATGGAGCAATTGCGAGACCCCAACTTGCGCATCTGTGTAGTCACAGATAGCCTGAATGGTGTTGCAAAGATGATCCAAAAGCGCCGCTGCCATGGATTCCCCAACCGAGCGCGATGAGGTGATGAGAAGGACCTCAATCTGGTTGTTGTCAAGGGGGGTCGTCTTAATGGCAACGTCCGCCTCATCCGCTGCGGGACAGAAATCAGCAACCAAATAATTCTGATTGTTGAGCGTCACCGTCGCATCTTGGTCAATGTTTTGATGCTGCACGATACTGCTCATGCGAGTAGAAGGTTGCCACGGGCTACACCTTCGAACAATCTCGCGCGTGCCCAGCGACTCGTGAGCCATGTGAGCGGTATGCTGAGCCTGCACAGCCTTCAGGAGATCATTCACTGTCGCACTCGGGTCGATCATGACACGGGTAGGGAGAATGTTGAGACAAGGACCAATCACCTGCTCGATATCGAGTTGAGGGATATTCCGACCTGAAACGACATGGCCAAATACAACGTCGGTGCTGTCGGACAACGAAGAAAGGACGAGAGCCCAGGCAGTCTTCAAAATGGTTGCGAAAGTAATTCCAGAGCCGGACTGGGAGGTAAGGGGGATTGTCCGGGTCAGGTGCAGGTCGTACACATTCCGATATTGCGGTTTGGATTGCGCAACAATAGTGGTCATGGTAGAATTTGACAATACATCCCGCCAGTATGTTTGGGAGTCATGGCTATCAGGATGGATATTGGCGATGAAGTGGGAGAATGGAACCTCCGGCGCAGGTGTGCGACTGGAGAGGACTTCTTGGAAACTCCGCCAGATGCGCGGTAGACAGACACCATCATATTGGGCATGAGAAACTCGGAGAATGAGTCGATGGTGCTTTTGGTTACTGACAACAGTCAAATGGGTCAATGGACTCCCCAGGGCCAGGTCCTTGTCGACATCTTCTTTGCATAAAAGGAGGGAGAACGGTTCGATATCCTCTTCCACCTGATACCACCCGATAGGTTCCACAATGTCTTTGAGTACCACCTGGTAGAAGCGGTCTCCGTGGGCGACAAATACAGTCCGGAGGATTTGGTGAGTTTTGAGGAAGAGGGTCCATGCTTCCTGAATAAATGGTAGGTCCCATGGAACCTCGCCTTCGCCATCGAGGAAGAGGTAATTCACCAAGCCATGGGTTTTCATCATTGAGTGCGCAATTGCGGAGGCTTGGAAATCCGACGCGGGGAGAACGTCCGCAATGTTGTCCGGGTGTGTACTGGCGGAGAGCGCCATACTGGGAAGCAAATTGGAGAGGGAAATGTCACCGACGAGAGAGAAAGGAGTATAAGGTACAGTGGACTGTGGCGCCAGCACTTGCAGTGACTTTTGGGAAACGAGAGCCGCCATCTCCTCGAGAACTGGAGTTTGGAAGATATCCTGGACAGTCAAGTTGAAGCCTGCAGATCGCGCATGACTCGTGAGCTTCATCGCGAGGATGGAATCTCCACCAGACCGGAGGAAATGATCATTCTTGCCCAGGGTGTGCTCTTCAACCTGCAAGACCTTGGCCCATAATGCACGGAGCTGCACTTCCACCGGCGTGGTCGGCTCCTGCTTCACCATATTGGCTAGCGAAAAGGCTAGGCTATCCTCTTGGGAGAGGGATGTCGCCAGTTCGCGTAATTGTCGGCGATCGGCCTTGCCATTCATCGTCAAAGGCACGCGGGAGAGGGGGATGAACATGGATGGGATCATGTACGATGGGAGATATTGACCGAGGGTCTGTTGCAGGGTGACAAAGTCTGCTTGGAGTTTGACAGACATGTCCTTGACCTCGACAGGGCCACTGCGATTGCTATAATGCAAGAAAGCCACCACAATCTGCCGGGGACGACTAGGATCTTGCACCGCATCTACGGTCGCGTGGGCGAGAGTGGGCATTGCAAGACGAATCGCATGCTCGATTTCACCGAGTTCCACGCGCTGGCCACGGACCTTGACTTGTGTGTCTTTACGACCCACAAAGCGGATCGTGCCATCTTCATTGTAGCGGACCAGATCACCCGTGCGATAGAATCGAGAACCTGGAAGGGGTGCCCAAACAGGGTTCGAGACGAATGCCTGAGCCGTCTTTTCGGCATCATGAAGATAGCCTCGGGCGACCGTTGGGCCTTGCAGAAGTAGTTCTCCAACACAGCCCAGGGGTGTCAGGCGGTTGGAATCCTGCGGATGAGCGATCCAATAGAGGGATCCAATGGCTGCACCCAGGTTTGCAGGGTCACTGCTCGCGATGGCTGGAGGAGCACCAGAGCAGTATACCGAGCATTCTGCGGGACCGTAGCAGACAATGAGATCGAGCACCTTGTGCCACTTGGCAATGGTATCGCGTGTGGAAGCCTCACCACCGAGAACCAGAGTTTTCAGTGACGGGAGATTATCTGCCGGGAGTAAAGCAGCAATGGTGGGAGTCAAAAAGCCCCAGTTGCACTGAAAGCTGTTGATTGCCCCAGACAGATCATTGAGACGTTGCTCCTCCGACGGTACACAGATACAGCCACCCCTTTGCAATGTGGTGAAGATATCTGCACAGCTCACATCAAATGTATACGCAGCGAATTGCAGCAGTCGAGTCCCGGGGCCAATCCCCCAGCGTGTTCCATGGGCTTTGGAGCTTGAGCAGAGCGAGCCGTGCTCAATGACGATACCCTTAGGTTTACCAGTGCTTCCCGAAGTGAAAAGCACATACGCGGCATTTCGAGGGCTGATAGTTGGCAACTCGTGCGTCAGGCCCTTTAGATTCGAAATGAAGTCCTCTGTCACGATCGCCTTCTGCAACACGGCCGAAGTTCCGAGGACATGAGCATGGCGAGGGTTTGTGAGAAGGACTGTAGCCTGGGCATCTTTAACAATAGTTTCTAGACGAGATTGGGGGTGGGCAGGATCAAGATTGACGCAAGCACCACCGGCTTTCATGACAGCCATCTGTGCGACAACAGCCCATCGCGACTTGTCAAAGCACAGAGGCACGAGAGCCTCTGGAACAACTCCTAAGGAGACAAGATGGCGAGCAAGGGTCGTCGAAAGGTGGTCAAGTTCACCGTATGTCAGACGGCCGTCCCAAGCATCAACAGCCAAGGCCTCTGGTTGTCGTGAGACCTGCTCGGCGAAGATTACTGGTACAGTTGACTCGACAGTTTCCGGATACTGCTCATTCCACTGAATGATCTGCTGGAGATCGTGAGCACCGAAGAGCTCGACAGAGGCTACCTGCGCTTCCTGACTCTTCGTTTGGGTGATTTGTTCCAGGATGTGTTCGAAATGGTGCATAATAGTCTTCACCTGCCAGGCCGAGAGAACATTTTCATCATGGCGGGTCTCAATGGTGATTTTGTCGTCGGCGACGAAGCATTCAACTACCAGGGGATAGCTGTCGAAGTCCTCCAGGGGCAGCTCAATCTCTTCTACACCAGGCAGTAGATCCCCAGTCTCAGTGGCGTCTGACACTGGTTGGATGACGAATAGATTCTGGAATTCGATTCCACGGGCACAGTCCGAGCTGATGCCAGCAATATTTTGCAAGCCGAAATGTTCATGAGAGATCATATCCGTCGACTGTTGCTGGATCTGGCCAAGGAACTCACTGATGGTGAGTGCTGGTGCGATTTTCATCCGCACAGGCACTGTTGTGATGGTGGGACCGATCATGGCATCAATACCAGACACTGGGCCGTTGCGGCCAGAGAGGGTCATGCCGAATACGATATTGTCACTATCTGCATACCGGGAAAGAAGTAAGCCCCAGGCAGCTCGCAATATGGTGGTTTTGAGGATGGTGGAGTCTACAAGGTGTGGGACGGGGATTTCGTGCTGCACCTTGCCCCGAACAGAAGGTCGGTACGACGGCGAAGGCAGCTCGGGGAATGTTGACGGACGGGGACCGGACAGTTGCTCTGTCCAGAATGATTGGGTCGATTGAGCATTGGTGGTCTGCAGATGTTTGATGAAGGTATTGAATGGGGTGGAATCGGGGCAATGGCCGTGCTCATAGGCGGACTGGACCTGATTGAGGATCAACGGCAGCGACCAGCCATCGTACACGGCGTGATGTGCGGTCCAGATGAAGTAACCGTCCTCTGTGAGACCATACCGCACCGGTGGAGCCCCATAAACCATTCCTTCGGCCAGGTCCTGCTCCAGGTACTGATCCAGATCCGCCGCCCTCCTCCAGTCAATACTGCCTTTCACCACTACCTGCACAAACCCGGAATTTGGAGTCGGCACAAAGCGCGTGCGCAATATGGGGTTCTTCTGGGCAGCTAGTTCCCAGGCAGATTGGAATCGAGCAACGTCCAGAGTAGGACCAAGGCGGAGAACTCGTCGCAGGATGTACGACTTGGGGTTCAGCATGGAAAGCGCCATCATACCCTCCTGAAGAGGACTAGACGGGTAGATGTCTTCGATTGACTCGGTCGGGATGGGATATTGATGGCTAATGTCGTCGACGATTCCAGAAATCTCTGAAACGTTACCCAGTAGTTCAAATGGCTCCAAAAAGAGACGATCGTGGCCGTCAGCGAACCCTTTGGCAGCCATCACGGCGGCCAACTCAGACAGCACGGGATACTGGAAGATATCCATGACGGTGATGGGGAAGTCCTCCTCTGAAGTAGCGGCCATTTTCATGGCTGCAATGGAATCTCCGCCCATCTGAAAGAAGTTGTCCTCTGATCGGATTTCGTCCATGGAAATCTTCAGGATACGATGCCAGAGTTCCTGCACTCTCTTCTCGGAAACAGTATTAGGCACCCGGCGACCGTCTTCGCGAAGAGAATAACCCTTCAACTGACCGTCGCTGAGCTTGGCCACCGCGTCGCGAAGTGACTTCCGGTCAAGCTTCTGTGCGGACGTTGTTGGCATCCAGTTGGTAGGAACATAGAGAGATGGTTGCATGTATGGCGGAAGAACCCGAGCGAGCTGAGCCTTGAGAGCCAATGCCCAGGCTCGTGTGTCTGCGGTGACTTCTCCAAGGAGCTCGCTGCCTGCCAGCCTGACTGGCTTGAAGACGAAGACAGCCAGAACGGCTTGCTCTTGGTCTCCATGAGGGACCACAACCTCGACCGCAATTTGGGTGCTCGACGCCAAATGACGGTTGATTTGATGTTCGATCTCAGAGAGCTCAATTCGTTGACCACGGAGCTTAATTTGCGTGTCTCTGCGGCCCAAGTATGTGATGGTTCCATCAATGTTATAGCGGACCAAATCCCCAGTCTTGTAAAATCGCTGAATGGAATTATCCGTCGTCGGACAGAAAGCCGGATTCGCAATGAAGACTTGGTCGGTTTTTGCTTGGTCGTGGAGGTAGCCTCGAGCCAATGTGCCTCCTTGCACCAAAAGCTCGCCAATGGCTCCAACAGGAGCCAACTGCTCATGATTGTTTGGACGAGTGATCCAAGCCACAGAGCTCACAGCACGACCGAGGATGTCGCAGCGGTCATTTTTGGCTGCGAAGGTTTTCATGACACAGAAGACACAGGTTTCAGTTGGCCCGTAGCCGTTCATGAGACGCAGACTATCTGCCCAGGCTTGGATGTTGTCTTCATGCAGTGCCTCTCCTCCAAGAATAAGTGTTTTCAAAGTTGGCACTTGCTCCGGTCGGAGAAGGCGAACAACAGAGGGAGTCAGGAAGGAGGTATTGGCATTCAGTCTGGTCATGGAGCCTGCAATATCACTCATTCGCTCGGCATCAGACGGGAGACAGATACACCCGCCATAGGCCAGAGTCGTGAAAATCTCCAGAATGCACGCATCGAAGGTGAATGCTGCAAACTGGAACATTCGCGTGGCAGCGCTGCATCCGATTTCTTGCCCATGGTGGATGACACTGGTACTTACCGCCGCGTGCTCCATCACAACACCCTTTGGAGTTCCGGTGCTGCCAGAGGTGAACAGGACATATGCGACACTCAGGGGTGAAACCAGGCCATTCAATGCGTCAGAGCTCTCATCATCCCAGATGCTGGCACGCGCGGAAACCACTAGCGCCTTGGGCACCAGATCGACTACCAAAGCCAGCTTTTCCTGGGAAGCCAACACCAACGTCGAAGTTGTCTGTTGTATGATTAGTTCCAGTCTGCTGGCTGGGCTGGAGGGGTCCAAAGGCACAAAGCCTGCCCCCGCTTTAAGCACAGCAAGCATGGAAACTATTGCCCAAGCTGACTTGTCAAAGCAAATTGGAACGAGGTCCTCGGGGCCGACGCCCATGTTGACGAGGAGATGAGCGAGCTGGGATGACTTCTTGTCCAACTGCGCATAGGTCATATGTTCATCCCAGGAAGCAATGGCTGGTGCATCTGGACATTCACTAGCATTTCGCTGGAAGAGGGAATGCAGAGAGTCATCCACAATCGGAGGCATAGAGGAATTCCACTCCAAGACTTGTTTCTGGGCCGCGACACCGAAAATTTCCACCGACCCTACCGTGGATGAAGGACCGGAAACAATGGATGAAAGCGCAGTGGAGAGAGCGACTGCGACATGGGTTGCATATTCCGGGGAAAGCCGTGAAGTCAGATACCCCAGATCAACCGTGAAACCGTGGTCGGTATCGGCGACATTGACACTGATATCGTACTAAGAGAAATATATAGTATTAGTTATCCATTAATTCACAACGCGCCGAACGGGAAATATTCTTAAGCTTACCTCTGTGGGATCGAGTCCATCGAGATATGTCAGCTGCAGATCGTCCAGCACCAGCATTCCAACATCACGACGCTGAAAGCTCACAACTGTGTTGAACAATGACTGGCCTGTCACACCTAGCGCGTGCTGGATCTCCGCCAAACCGACGTGTTGATTCGGAAGCATCTTGAGATATTCATCGTGTAGGTCTTGCAACTCCGTGGCGACTGACTTCTTGCTGATTTGCCCAAGGTCTGTCGCACAAACGAGCATGTTGATAAAAGGACCGACGGCGCTTTCCACACCTGGCAAGGGAACCTCTCTGCCGGCTGTGAGGTAGCCAAAGCAGACGTGCTCTTCCCCGGTATACGCGGCAAGGACCAGGGACCATGCTAAGCGGATCACATTGGCCAGCGTGATATTATTCTCCTGGCAGAACGCACGCACCTCCCAGTGGTCAGGCACCGTGACATCGATAGTTCTCATCTCCGGTTCCACTTCGCTGGACACTAGCAGAGAGGGGAAATGGCACGGTTTGACATCCGCCAGATGGTCTGACCAGAACTCTAGACCATCTGCCGCTGGCTGAGATTGTATGTATGCAATATAATCACTGTAGGGAATAGCCGGTGAGGCGGAGAGCTGATTGCTGTAGGCCGATGCGAGGTCGTTGATAAGTACCGACATTGCAGTTCCATCCAAAAGAGCATGACTCATGTCAAGCCGGAAATAGACAGGGCCTTCTGCACATTGCACCACGACCAAGCGATGAGGCGGTTCGGTGATTGATGGTACCAGCGGCTCATAACGCTTGAGAAGGTCTAGCGCCTCGCCGTTTGACTGCGCAGTCAGGATCGGAGTTACAGCACGGTGGCTGCGGAGAACCATTTGGTCAAATGGCCGCTGTGTGATTCCTTTCAGGAACACAGTACGTAGAATTGTGTGACGATCGACAACTTGCTGCCAGGCTGAAGCTAGTTGCTTCGCATTTAGAGAAACACCGGCGCAAGAGTCCATCCGCATGATGGCATGGTAGAGATATGCATCCTCAAGGCGCAGTTGACTGAGCAAGATACCTGTTTGCAACGGAGAGCATGGATATAGATCCTCGATATCATCGAATGTCAGTTCAAGCTGAGGTATCCTAGAGTTCTGCAACTTATCCAAATCTGGATATGAGATGTCGAGTAGAGGATAGTCACTCTTGGTAAGAGTGAAGTCTGTCGCAGCGAGACTCTGGGAAATATCTTTCAAAGATGCCGTGTAGTTCTCGAGCCACTTGTGTATACGGTCCACGTGCTTCATATGACGATTAAACGTGAATGTGATATGGGTAGATCCATTGATCACGTAGACATTGATCTCAAACAGGGCGTAACGGCGCACCGCAGACCCCACATCGCCCTTGTTGAACGGTACCAGCTGGAAAATGCCTTCTGCACGTTCCAACCCCTGATATAATCCGAGATAATTGAAGACAATTTCCACGGGCATGTGGTCGATGAAGGCCTTCACACCGTCCTCGTTCAAATACCTTGAGGTGAAGTAGGACCATCCGTTGGCAGGGAGAGTGCGCCTCTGATCCTTGACACCACGAGCAATCTCCCTATTGGGTGTATTTGGTTCTAGCCCAGATAGGAAGAAAGGGAAAACAGCGGTAAACCAACCCACCGAGTCGGAGAGGTCGATGTCACTGGTCCATGGTTGACGGCCATGGCCTTCATTGAAGATGGCAGGTGGAGCTCGTTGGAAGGTTTCCGTAAAGGAGGCAAAGAGAGCTGAAATGAGAATATCAAGTGGCTCTGTTCTCATTGCATCGTGACAACCGGTCAGTAAAGCTTCACTCTCCCGCGGTCCTAATACGGCAGAGATTTGGGTGGTGTCGCCGGTAAAGTTGGGAACATCTTCCATGCCCCAGTAAACATAGTCTGCCCTGGGGATTGTGTAGGGTAGAGCTTTGCTCGGCGGCAGATTCTCAGCGGCATATTCCGTCTGCAGTTGCTGCCATTGCTGGAAGGAGAATGGAGGAGCGGGTGCTTGGGAGATCTCCCCAGCAATCGAGTCTTGGAGTTCTTGGAAGATGATGCGCCACGACACCAAATCAATGACCAGATGGTGGGCTACCAGGAAGAATAGCGGACTCTGACCCGGAATCGAAAAGTGCTCCACACCGAAGACAGGGCCGTTCTGGATATCGAGTTCTTCCTGCGCATGCAGTGCCAAATCGAGTGCCTCTTGTTCTACCTCCACCGCGTGTTGCCTGAATCGATACGCCAGAGGGGAATGACCGATCAATATTTGCTTCCATTGTGAGTTGTGTGACTGTCGGAATCGTGCTCGTAACATCGAGTGACGTTGGACAACCTTATCAACCGCATCCCTCAACTGCTCCACGGGAACGTCTGACGTCAAGCGGAAAAGGAAACTCTGATTGAATTGATTTGCTGCTGCTTCATGGCTTCCTTGGGATATGCTCTGGAAATAGAATTGCTGGATGGGAGTCAGGTCAAACGGCGTGTCCAACTGGTCTCTGTGGTGGTAGACATTGATGTGATCGACCATCTGCACACAGTCAGCCAGGGCCCCAATGCTAGTACTGCGCATAACATCTTTGAATAGCAGCTTTAGGCCCTCATTACGACACGTCACCACCAGTTGCATGGCTGTAATCGAGTCACCGCCAAGATTGAAGAAGGATCGCTGAAGAGACACTTGGCTCAGCGGCAGATTCAAAACACGACCGACAATCCCCTGCAAAAGCTCCGCCGCATTGGATGTGGGAATACCATTCTCAGCGAGATAAATTTCTTCCTCCTTCTCTGCCAGTGCATTGAAATATGTTTGATGATCCATACTCTCCGCCCAGCCCTTGACCGTAAGCCGGTCCAGCTTTCGTGATGCGGTCAAAGGAAGGCTAGAGCACAGCAGCCAGACGGATGGCATCATATAACTGGGGAAAACTTCTGCGAGACGATCCCGAATGGAGGCGATCTGGTGGATGGCTTGATCCTTGTTGGCATCGCCACTGAAAGGTACAACCCCTTCGGTAACAACATCCTGTGTGGAAAATTCATTCTCAAAAGCTACCAGTGCAACAAGTTTCTTCTTGCAGGGTCCCTGGCTAGGTACGACAAGAGCCGTCTGATGGACTAGCGAGTGGCGACTGATATCCTCCTCGATTGCCCATGTGGAAATACGCTGTCCGTTCAGTTTGATCTGCCCATCAGCTCTACCTAGGAACAGCATGTTTCCATCAGGAAGAATCCTAACAAGATCTCCTGTTCTGTAAAGTCGCGATCCACTAGACGTGTCTCCGCGCCATGACGGAGGAGGAATGAATGCCTTTGAGGTCAGCTTCGGATCCAGGTAGCCGCGAGTGACAATGGGCCCTTCGATAAGCAGCTCCCCAGCGCAGCCGACAGGGACCAGTCTATGGCTGTCGTCGGGATCAGTGACCCAGAACAGGCATCCATGACCTCGTCCAATACTGGACACTGGCCCTCCATCCTCCAACACTGCAAAAGAGGACATCACTGTGCATTCAGCCGGGCCGTAACTGTTGAGCACACGAACGTGGGCTTGCCATTTGCGTGGAAGATCAGTGGGAACAGCTTCACCAATAAGGACCAATGTCTTCAATGTGGGAAGCGTCTCTGGTGAGAGGGAAATGACCAGCGAGGGAGTCAGGAATGCATAGCTGACCCTTAATCGTGTGACTGCCCCAGCCAGATCAGTGACCCGGTCGTCCTCCGATGGAACGCAAACACATCCTCCAACACACAGGGTGAAGAAAATCTCCCCGTTGCTGGTATCAAAGGTGTACGCGGAGAATTGGAGAACACGAGTGGATCGATCAATGCCCATGTCCTCGTTGTGGGCTATCATTGAGCGGACACCGCTGTGGCGGACCACAATACCCTTGGGTTTCCCCGAACTGCCCGAGGTGAAGTTGATCATCGCAGCACTATTTGGAGAGGCTTTCTGAATGATTCCTGAATCATGATCAGGAAGTGACGGGAACAGAGAAGGCTCAACGATGATGATATGATCCACCAGGTCTCCCACCAAGCTTCCGTACGCTTTTGATCCTGCCAGAACGACAAGACTTTTGGTAGCTAGGATAACTTGTGCTAGATGCGACCTAGGATGAGACGGGCCCATTGAGGTATATGCACCACCGGCCTTGAGGACTGCCAGCATCGCCACGACAGCCCATGCAGATTTGTCAAAGCAGAGGGCCACCACATGTTCAGGCCCAACCCCGATAGCGGCAAGCTTGGTCGCTAACTTGTTGGACAATTGATCCAACTGCGCATACGTGAACGAAGCGTCCCAAGACTCGACAGCGGGTGCGGATGGATGGGCCAGAGCTTGTCGATGAACTTCATCGTGGATGCAGCCTTCGACGGTCTCTGGAACCTTTCCATTGTCATTGAGCGCCATCACGTATTGGTGTTGCTGGTCACCAATCAAGTCCAAGTCTCGGATTTCGTTGTTTGGTGAGGCCAGCAGGCTAGTGAGAATTGTCTTAAATGTTGAAGCCAACATGCTAGCCTTCTCATCTGACATGAAACTTGTCCAGTAATTGATATCGACATCAATGGCGGCGTCTCCCACCGTGATACTCACGCCCAAGTCATACTCGGTTGGATCCGCACCACCCAGATACTCGACAGCAATGCTACTGCTCCTTTCATCGGATTCCACCATGGATCGTTGCAGTGAAAGGGTGGTATTGAACAGACGCTCTCCAGAGAGTCGCAAATGATGTTGAACTTCTGCCAACGAGGTGTGTTGATGCGGCAGAGAGTCTAAAAAGTCATTGTTGATTGTTCTCACCACGTCAATCAATCTGGAGGAGTCATCGACTTTGATCCGACAGGGCAACATATTGATGAAAGGACCCACGGCGTGATCCAAATCGAGGCCGTCAGCATCACGCCCTGATGACAGATAGCCAAACACCACGTCCACATTTCTGGTGTAGGCTCGCAAAACCAGGGCCCAGGCGGCTTGGAACACATTTGCAATGGTCAACTCATTGTCTTTGCAGAAAGTGTTGAGGTCAGACAACATTCGGTCCATAACTGGCACGTTGACCACGCGGAGCGCCTTTTCCGGAACAATGTTATCAAGCAGGGATGGGAACATGGCCGGCTGCATATTATCCAGGTATTTGGTCCAAAAAGTGGTGGTAGTCTCCCGAGACTGTCGCTGCCAGAAGGCGATATATTCACTAAAGAGAGGCCCAGGGGGGATCTCACTATCGTAGGCCGCTCTGATATCCCCCAGCAAGAGGGGCATTGATGCACCGTCAATCAAAGTATGGCTTATCTCCAAGTTGAAGTAAAGTGCGTCTTCGTCCTCAAAGACAGTCATACGGTGCGGGGGGACGGACTCGTTGTAGTCGACGGGGTGTTCTTGATGATAACGCAACAGACTATCCAGGCTCTTGGCGCTCTCAACTCGGGGGGTATGTTCTCGGAGTACTATTTGACTGTACATGGCTTCTTGTGATAGTCCCTCAACGAAGAAGGTGCGCAAGACAGGATGGCTCGCGACGACACGACTCCATGCCATGTGGAGCCTGTTCATCTCCAATGGCTTTGTGTCTACCCCCCGGATAGCACAGACAGCCGAGAATTTGTAAGTCTCAGGAGTCTGCGCTTGACTGATCAGGATACCTTCCTGCATTGGGCAGCAGGGATAGGCATCTTCAATGTCGGACAGTCCTGTGTAACCCAATCGTTTGACCCATTCATCGAGGTCAGATGGTAGCAGACTTGGTAGGAGACGGAAAGCCTGACCGTCACTCTTCGTTAACCCAACAGGATTGGCGAGAATGGTCGCTTCGGTGGCGATCTGACGGATTGATTTGCTCTTAAGAATGCTCTTGACTGCACACCGGATGCCACGTGCTCGAGATCGGGAGGAGGTCTGCATTGCAGTAATTGAATCTCCCCCCAAAGCCATGAAACTGCGGTTCATAGAAGTTTCCAGCAGTGGAATATTAAGTACGGAGCTAATCACCTCCCTGACATCTGTCTCCATTTGGCTCATCGGACTATTATCAGGGTCATTGGAGGTACAACTTGGTGTGACGTGGTCATCAACCTGCTGCAAGTTCTCCACCCAGGCAACCACGGATGGACGATCAGACTTTCCATTTTTGGTGACAGGGATGGACTGCACAACAAGCCAAGTGGAGGGGATCATGTAGGTAGGCAGTCTCGTGACGAGCCAGTCTCGCACAGGTGATATATCTACCGTGGAATCCCCTCGCAACTCGATTCCAGCCTTACTGAGAGCATGAACTTCGTCATTACAGCTCAGCACTGCTACCAGTTTACCTGCCAGTCTGCCGTTGGTGGGCACTATGGCTAGGGCATTCTGAACTTTCTCGTGCATCAGCAATGTCCGGTCGATCTCGCCCATTTCCACGCGTTGCCCGTGTAGCTTCACTTGATGGTCCCGACGACCAATAGAATGAATGGAGCCGTCAGAGTTGTACCTGGCAAGATCACCAGTGCGATAGATTTTGAAGTCATGGCCACATTCCGAGGGTTGGTACTTTGACCACCATTCAGGGGGTGGAATAAACACAGCGCGTGTTTTGGCATCGTCTTTCAGGTATCCTCGAGCAACAATTGGTCCTTCGATTAAAAGCTCGCCGACAGCACCGACTGAACACAGTCTACTTGGATCTTCAACATTGGTGATCCACATCCTGGCACCAAGACCATAGCCGATATTACGCGCAGATGCGGACTTTGGCACCCCTTGCAACCCTGTCGACCACACAGAACATTCAGCTGGGCCGTAGATGTTCACTAGGTTGGTGTGCTCGGCCCAGGTGGTGATATTATTCTCTCGCACGGCTTCACCTCCCAGCGCCAGGGTATGGACTCCTGGGACCTGTGATGGGTGTAGCAGACTCACCACGGAGGGTGTGAGGTATACAACTTTGGCGTTCATCCTGTTGATGACTCCGGCCAAATCATTCATCCGTTCATCCTCGCTGGGAATGCAAAGCGTGCCACCACTCATCAAACAAGTGAAGGTCTCACCGATGCTGACATCGAATGTGTACGAGGCAAACTGCAGGACTCGGGCATCCGGGCCATAATTCATGGCGGGACCGTGGGCTTTCGCACTGCTACAGATTGCATGGTGCTCTAGGACAATTCCCTTTGGCTTACCAGTACTGCCAGATGTGAAAACAACAAAGGCAGGATTGGAGGGCGAGACTGCAGGTGCGGCCGAAGGAAGGGTGGAAGCGGCATGGCCCTGGAGCAGGGTACCAACGGTATTCGCCCCTAGAACGATCACAATCGGCACCAGTCCATCAAATAGCAACTCGTTGCCTTCTGCAACGATGGAAATAGTAGCATCACATTGCTGAACCATTTGCTCCCGTCGGCTTCGGGGGTGCTCCGGATCAAAGGCAACGCACGCTCCTCCCGCTTTCAACGTAGCCAACTGGGCGATGACCGTCCAACGGGATTTAGAAAACCCAATGGGCACCAGAGACTCTGGTTTGACACCCTTTTCAATCAAAATTTGAGCAAGAGCACTGGTGATGGAATCGAGCTCTTGATAAGTAAAGCTGCCATCCCAGGCGTCGATAGCGACTGCCTGAGGGCGAGCGAGTGCTTGGTCGGAAATCAAGTCATGAACACAGGCATGAAGGTCGGCCCATTGGTGATTATTCCAGTGTGCAATATGAGATTGATCGCGGTCACTCATCATGTCCAAATCGCGTAGCATGGATGTGTGTCTATGAACAACGACGTGGATGGCCCGGCAAAAGGTCGCCAGGACGTTCTCAGCCATGGCGTCGCTGAGAGCCGCCCGGTAATGTCGAAGAGTCAGAGAAACTCGTTCTTTGGAGACAAATATATTGACCGAGACATCATACTACACCCAGTCAGCATGTCAGTGGATCAGGAAATGGGGACAATCTCTCCCGGGACTTACCTCTGTTGGGTCCAATTCACCCACGACCCTGAAACCTACATTCCCATCAGCCTCTCCGCCGAATATATCCTCCCCTAAGGCGCTCTGTAGCGACATGATGGTGTTGAATAGCGGCTTTGAAAGCCCCAAAGCATGTTGAATTTCAGCGACCGAACAATGTTGATGGGGAAGGCCTCCCAAAAAGCCCTGCTGGGTTTCCTTCGCAAGCGAAGCGATCGTAGTCTCGGGGGAGAGCTGCGCGTGATAGACCATCATGTTAATAAAAACACCGACTGCCTCACTGATCTCAGCCACAGGCATCTCGCGGCCTGCAGTGAGATAGCCAAAGCAGACATCATCCTGCCCCGTATAGGCCTGGAGCACCAGGGCCCACGCAGCTTGGAAAACAGTGGCCGGCGTGAAGTTCATCGCGGCACAAAGTTCATATAGCGCATCTATGCCTTGGATGTCCATTTTCAGCTCGCCTGGCTGACCCTCAACAGAGAGGTCATCGTTGAGAGTGGGGATGTGGCAGGGGATTGCATCTTCCAAGTGCTTCGTCCAGTATTGCAATGAAGACTCCACCGGCAGCTGTTGGATATAGTCGATATACGAAGAGTATTTAATTGTACGACCTTTTGTGAGATTGCCATCATATGCAAGACAGAGGTCTCGAAACAAGATCAAGATGGAGACTCCATCAACGAGGGCGTGGCTGATGTCGATCGTGACGAAGTGCTTGCCATCATCTGTGGCGGAGACTATGAAAACCACTGGCGGTTGCAGCGCAGTGTCTGTCCTAGTGAAATCCTCCTGTGCTTGCCAAAAGGCCTTCTCGCTTTTCTGCGTCCATTCTAAAACACTCGCATTGCTGTCGTGCAGGACCAGCTGGTCGAACAAGCCATCTTCGGTCTCAGTCTCGATCATAATGGTCCGCAGCGCAGGGTGCCGGGCAGTAACTTGTTGCCAAGCATCCAGCAAGCGATTTTGGTCAACCCTACCTCCTGGTGAGGACAATACCTGGCAGGTGATACGCAGCTGGTAGCTTTCTGGGTTCTGTTGTTGACTCAGGAGGATTCCTCGCTGCACAGGGGACAGCGGATACACATCCTCTACCGAGTTGATGTCGACGCCAACTCGCGAAAGTCTTTCCTGATCCAAGGAAGGTGAATATGTACGGACCACCTGATGGGGAGGAGGATCAATTGGAGCTTGGCTCTCAATACGCTGAACCAGTTCAATCAAAGTTGCGCTTTGCATCACATCCTCGAATGAAACAGCAACTCCCTGGCGACGTAATCTGTCGAGGAGCTGTGTCGCCTTGATGGAGTCACCCCCGTTCTGGATAAAGGACTTATTCAGCCACACCTCCTCCGGCTGGAGGGAGCCCAGAATTTCGCAGCACAGCGCTTCAACTTCACGCTCTCGGTCATTTGATGGGCTGACCCGCTCAAGGTGACCACCCTTTCCGATTAGGTCGTTGTATGTGTCGAGTGACATGTCCTGCACCCATTGGCGAACTGCCACTCCATTTTGCTTTCCAGAGACGGTCAAAGGGATAGACCAAACTGGCGCCCAGACGGTCGGCAACATATAACTGGGCAGCTGCTCTGAGACTGACTTAGCGACAGCTTCCAGCTGTTCTCTGGCAGAGTTGTATTTGTCTCCGGTGAGCAACTCAAAATTTGATGCTGGGTTTTGCAGCTCGTTCAAGGAGACCACAGCGGTGAGTTTGGCCTGACAGGGGCCATCCTTCGCGAGTACGACAGATACTTGGCTAACCAGTGGGTGAGCGGTGATGCGGTGTTCAATCTCACCCAACTCAATTCGTAGGCCACGCAGCTTCACCTGGCTATCTTTTCGGCCCATGAAGTGGATTGTGCCATTTGCGTTGAATCGAGCTAAGTCACCGGTCTTGTAGATGCGCGACGAGGGTGTACGATCGGCACGAACCCACTTGGCCGAGTCGAGGAAGACAGCTTGGGTCTTTTCAGGCTCATTGAAGTATCCTCGCGCGACAATGGGACCCTGGATGAGCAGCTCTCCGGGAGCTCCAATTGGAACGAGACTATCGTGGTCATCAGGCTTTACAATCCAACAGCAGCCACCCAAGGGGTATCCGATATTCATGGGATTAGTGCTGAGGGACAATCCAACATTTGCCGTTGCAGCGATGGAGCATTCTGTTGGTCCATATCCGTTGGCCAGTCGCACGTGCGGCGCCCAGACCTGGATATTTTCTTCCAAGACAGCTTCACCTCCCAACACAAGGAACTTTAGTGTCGGTACCTGCTCTGGATGCATGGACTTCACCAAAGATGGCGTGAGGAAGGCCCAGGTAATGCCAAACTGTTGAATGCAAGACGCTGGTCCCTGCGACCGCTGTCGGTCGTCTGGGATACAGACACAGGCCCCCGATATGAGCGAGGTGAGAATTTCGAGGATACTGACATCAAAGGTGAACGAGGCCAGTTGCAACACTCGATCATTGGAATCCATTCCAGATGCTTTCTGCTGTGCACGAGACCCAGTCAAGAACTGTTGGTGTTCAATTACACATCCTTTAGGCTTGCCAGTGCTGCCCGAGGTGAAGATGATGTACAACGTGTTTGAGGATATAGCGGTTGATGCTAGCACCATTCCCTGGGGAATCGGCCCCAGAGAGTCCACAAAGGCACGATCAATAGACAGAACCGCACCCTCAAGCCATTCCATCTGGGCAGCATGGCCCGGTGCGGTGAGCATCCATTGCGTTGTGACTTGATCCGCAATTTCACGGTGTCGGGCAGTGGGGTGTGATGGATCCAGAAACAAGATGGCACCCCCTGCGCGAATGACAGCCATCATGGCTACGACGGCCCAGGCAGATTTGGGGAAGCATAAAATTACTACAGCCTCCGGTCCTACTCCCAGACTCTGCAGGTGAACGGCCAATCGTCCACTGAGGCGATCCAGCTCCTGGTACGTGAGAAGCTCCTCAGCTGTACAGACTGCCTCATTTAGTGGATTCTGCCGCACTGTCTTCTCAAAGAGTTGGCCTACACAATGATCAACCACTGCCGGGGAGTGACTGCCCCAAGTTTGTAACTGCTTCTCAGTTTCGGGGTGCAAGAGGTTGATTTGCGAGATTTTTCGGCTGGTGTCAAGCTGGAATTCCTTCAACAACTGACCGGCGGTTTGTGCAACGTGGTTTGCGTGTGATGGTGCGAGGTGATTTGTTTGATACATGAGAGTCATGTCGATCCCGGTTGCTCCATCCACTACTAGCAGGGATACTTCGAACTAATATCCACAGATCGTCAGTTCTCGGAATTTGTTCGCAGATATCTATGCTTAACTTACTTCTTTTAGGTTCCTGGTAATATCCTCTGTTTCACTGGTGAAGCAGATGGCTGTATTGCAGGGCAGCTCCGCTGTGTGGTCTTCGATGCTTCTTGTCCCATCTGCGACTGACCGAAGCAACTCTATTAGAGTGGCTTCCTCATCTACCACAGTGGTCACCAGATCAGGCTGTGCATTGCCAAGCATAGATACCGCGCAGATGGCTCCATTTCCCGTGAATGTCTTCAAAATTAGGCCCCATACGGCAATGAAGATGCTTGACACAGGAATGTTCTGCTCGCGACTGAAGTCGTGTAGCCATGACTGGAATTCGGTCGTTGGCAATTCAATGGAGACTTGTTCCCCCTCGTTCGTCGATCCTATTTCGTTTTCTTCAGATCGGAGCGCAGGAAACTTGCAGACAACCTCTGGCAATTGATTTTGATTGCTCATGATGGCTGATTTTGCGATGTAGATTGAGATTTACAATGCGCAAGTTCTTTTCTGCTTAGCTTCACCTTCGGGAGTCAAACACGTCTAAGGCAAAAGACGTATCTAATAAGCGTCAATCTAATAAGCGTCAAATGAGCTCTGTAGTCCTTCTACCCGTATCTCTCTTGCCTCATAGTCCCTTGACCATCCAAGCTACCATCCTCGAGCGCTCGGACCGCTATACTTTTTTTTTAGTTCCAATTCCAAGGTTGCTTTGCATTATCAGGATTAGGTTAGCTGCTTCTGAACTGAACAAGCCACATAAAATCCCCACGAGATGGTACGATGGAGTGCCAGGCTCGTTGTAACCGTCATGGTACGGGTACTTGTACAGATATTGGTACTACTAGTGTGTGTACGAAAACCGGTACGGCACCTGGTATGGAAACGGGTATGGAAACATTGTACATACATACCCACGTACATGTGCGTACTAACTAGGTACATAGTAAATACATGCAGTATGCGCGACGTATTAGCGGTATGTAGATAACTGCGGTCTATATGGGCCAGGCTCATACAGGGCAAAAGCTAGTTAGTTAAATTGATTTAACAGCTTACATCAGACGCAACTGAGTCCCGAGGTCCACCTGCAGGGGTTTGGGCACGATTATGGATCTTTTAGGGCTTCCCGAGGTCAGCCTGAATTCATTACCTAATCCCCTCTAGTTTCCAAGGTTCCGAGATTATACCGAAGTCGAGGAGCACTGATCTCGAGGAATTAGCATAGGCTTGATCTTAACGGCATAGATTGGTTGTGATGGTTTTATAATTAAGATCACAGCTTCAGGATAATTGTATGTTCGCGAATCAACTTATTCTGTGTTGTAGATATATATATTCGATCAAATTACAACATATTTTCTGCTAAGCTTCGTCCTCCATTCTCCAACGTCCATCAATTCAATGGATATATAATTTTTGCCTCCCTCTACCAACGCCTAGATCCGGGGCTTGAATTCCAAAAACGGTCCATGTTTGGCACAAGTCAAATGATCCCAAAGCTGGAATTCATTCACTCGATGCCGTCCAAAAGGAGCATCCACCTTGCCTTCACCAACGTGACCCAGCTCCCCGGGTGCTAGATGCAGATCAAAGGCCCAGAGCACATGCGACAAAACCAGATGCAATTCCACGTATGCTAGGCCTTTTCCAATGCAACTACGAGGTCCGATGGAGAAGGGGTTGAAGGCAGATCGGGCGAGCTCGACGTCGCTCTGGATAAGGGGAGCTTCCTTCGGAATCCATCGCTCGGGACGGAAAGTGAAGGGCTGGGGATAGTAGGTAGGATTATGGTGGATGCTGTAGATGCAGGTTCCTACATCCACGCCAGGTGGAAGGTATTCACCGTCAACCTCTGCACCTGTGTCTATCACCTCTCGCCACAGCGAGCTGGCTGCAGATGGGGACAAGCGCATGCTTTCTTCAATACAGGCACGCAGGAAGACACACTGGTGCATTTTTGGGCCCATGCCAATCAAATCTGGAGATTCGAATGCGCTGCGGACTTCACGAGTGGCCCTTTCCAGCGCACTGGGATGATGGGACAGATAGAATAAACAAGCCGCCACAGCAGTCGAGGTTGTATCAGTGCCTATTTCCAAATAATCCAGTTAGGAACCTAATAAAATTCTTGTGCTTTTCGAATTCTTACCGGCAACGATTAGGGTGGCACTCTCGCCTGCCAGCTCCTTCATGCGAAGGGGGAGGCCTGTTTCTGGGTCGATCGCTTTGCTCAAGATTGAAAATGCCCCTTTGCCCGTCTTGGTCGCTACTTGGATTCCCTGGCGTAGCATTTCCTCCACAAAATGGATGAATCTGTCACGAGCCCGGATAGCCTCTGGGAACAAATACTTGTCGAGTCGGAAGAGAGCCAGTTCAGGAGCCTGAGCCAATGCACCAACGCGAACATTGGATTTCTCGATGACATCCGGAACAAACCGATATTTTGGATCCCGCTGAGTGGACCATGGGACTCCAAAGATAACGTTGCTCATTACATCGAAAGTGAAGTAATCGCCTACAAGATTCTGGTTAGTCCATGAACTTAAGCAAGAGCCAAAACAAGACCAGGAGACACACTGAGATGAGCGGTATCTTTCGGGGGTGACCAAGAACCAACTGGAACTGGTTTGCCATCACTACCCTCTCGCAAAGCGTCACACAGGTTCTGAACCTGCTCAAGAATCACTCCTTCGTACGACTTGAGCGTATTATCCGAGAAGGCCTGACTGATGACTCTTCTTTTTTTGCCATGCTTTTTCTTATCAATGACTGTCAACGTGTTGGGTGCCCGATGAACCATGGCAGCGTATTTCTGGGACTTTTGGAAGTTCTTGCCATGACCGTAAATATCTACATAACACTCATTCATTAGCAAGTCACTCTGACGTTGTACAAAGGGAGAAAGGCATACCATGGAGTCCCTTGGCCGTGTTTGCCAACAAGCTGTTGGGACCGTATCGCACAAAATCACCGTATTTCTCATGGCATCTCCACATATCCACGTGCAGATCACCTCGCCAGGAATGATAACCGCCGTAAAGATTGCTGATCTTTGCCAGCCATGGTCCTGGGTACTTTGCGAGAGGATGAAAGAAGATTCGATAGGTCAACAGGACCACGACCTATGCTACAAATCAGCAAGAGCCAGCCAAAACTGCACAGGCATGAAATTGAGGGTTCCGTACATGAAGTATCAATCCCACCAACCCCAAGACCAACGTCCGGACGGCGAGGGGGAACATCCATTGAGGAACTATCATCGTGAGCCCAGGTACTGAAGCACTATTGAGAGAGTAGTTCCGTTGCTCTTCAAAGACTTAAAGAAAGACAAACAGGAAAGACGCATGCCCCCGGACTTCTACTTAGTTCATGCATACAGCATGCAGGCCAGTTTGAAGTGCGGTCTACCACGTTCTCCTTTCTCCACGTGCAATGGTCTGACCGTCGGTTTGCAAGGATGGAGTATAGGGAAGAACGTATCCATATCTCTCGTGGTATCATTTGTCACAGGTGTATTATCGGTTTTGAAACAGTGTACATATTATATGGAAATACCACGATACGAAATATATATGGGTATCCCAAAATTACATCTAGTACGTAATGTACATTGTGGTATAGAATAACTAATAAACGGCCCTATAACTATACATTGGTAATATACCATTTTCTAATTATCATGTTAAAATATATAACTATATAATTTCTGTTAGGTTATTTGAATTCTGTATTTACATACATACGTACTACTAGTATAAATAGTATTACATGCATACAGTACCGGCGTATCGACCTTGAGAGACCAGGTCCGAGGTTACGAGGCAGACAATACCACCACCTGGGCAGCTCTCAATGTGAGACAAACACATTTAACTCCAGCTGCAGATGGATATTACCCTTGGAATCCAATTAAAGTGCGCACGGATATATAAAATCAGCACTAAGCACCCACAATCTCTGCCCGGGCCTAACAGTGCTTGGCCGCGCCGCTTCCGTGCCAAAATACATTATCAAAATGAGTACCTTCTTACCAGCTGTCGAACTAGCTGCATATTTTAGCAAAATTATTCATCTCAACCCGTGTCAGCATGGATCCTATCCACTTTCTGGATTGGGTCACGCCATGCCATGTGGAATATGCCGCATATAATCAAATCAGCCCCTGTCGCCACGGGGTAGAACGTTAGCATCATCTTGGCCGATGTCACCTTGAATCAAACTATACGAGGCAGTGTTTCTCAGCTCACGAAGCCGACCAATCCAACTATGTTGATTGGGAGGCATACCTTCTCCTGTAAGGCTGGACCATCTAGTGCAGTACATGGCGTCTCCCCAAGACGGGGCGCTGGAGGCCAGATGGAACTATTTCCATCCTATAGGGGCTGGTATTTGGAAGCTGAGAGCGAAAATTGATCAAGTCTCATGACAATTAGGAAATTTCTCTCGATAATTTGCTCATCTCCACCCACTAGCCAACCCGTTTGATCATACATTGCCGATGTCTCGGTTAAAGTCCATCCAGAGCACGGTACGGGCGTAAGCTCTAGGTGGAAAACGTCGAGGAGGATTGCGGGTCTGACTGAATTTCGCCACCTGTCTGATCCTGACTTTTCGTACCTATAGTGTCTTTAGCCTTGTGGGCGATAATGGCTAATGGCAAGAAAACTGTCAGACGGGCGGACTATTCACCGCATTCAGAAGTGTGAGTCGTAGTCAGAGGAGAATGGTTAAAGTAGATCAGCTTTGACAGCAAATACGTACATACTTACGTGTGTTAATTTGTTGAATGTACGTTGGTGAACAACGATGGCCGTATTCTTAAATATATGGTGGTGTGTATGTATACTTCGAACCGTTTATTCCGCATTGTAGTTTTGAAGACATAGAAATATATATTTGAATTTATATGATAATCATGTTGATGTTCTAGCTATCAAATATATCCCAGGATATCTCAGCAACATTTGTACAGGACAACCACAATAACAAAGGTTACTCGTAGACTATGAGAGCAATTGCTAGATTTTGTTCATGGCAAATGATAGGCTTCCTCAACAGAGAAAGAAAACTCCAATTAAGGACGTAGAGAGGAATCATTAGATATGATATTCAATTCTTATTATATAATGAGTGCATTTTACAAGAGGAATAGAACAGCATAAGACTATCCCTACCAAGGAAACAAATCTCGTTCGTCATATCCCCCAGTCTCCATAGATTCCCACTGGGAGCAAAACTCGTTAGTAACAACATCGTCTGTACCATAGAGAACAGAAAGCTTACATTGCAGAGGAGATGTTCCAAGACCGGGCTCTCAGTCAGCGCCAGCACACCTTCCACGTAGGCCTTGGAAAGCTCAAAGGGCCTCGCAGTGAGGTTGGGAATGTATTTACCAACCAGTTGTTCGGGCTGGATGGAAGACTCGGCCAGATTGCGACTCAAGAACTGTCGGAAGGATTGGACGCCAGGTCGGAGCAGACTGCTGTGGAAAGGCACGTTCACCTTAAGGGGGATAGTAGCTCGACCCCGTTTGAGAACCACTGGCCCGGTGCAACCATCCAGTGCTGTCAGAGAGTCTTGGATGAAGCGCTGCATGCCGGGTTTGGATAGTGTCCCCAAAGATCGGGACGCCAAGGCGTTCATAAGGTCCGTTAGAGTTGCTAATCCCCGGAGCTATTAGATAGTTAGCAGATGTAAAAGAACAGAAAGAGCGAGGAACTGTGAAGCAAGAGCAACAACGAGTTACTTACATCACCAGCACACACATACTGCAGGCTGAGGACATTGTAGTTCACAATTTCCAACAACCCCTTAGTTTGTCGGGCGATCTCTGCTACACACCAACTCAGGTCGTCCTGGCTAAAGCCTTTCGACACTCGAGTGGGGTTGACGGCACACATTGAGTACTGGGTGGCCCCATCTGAGTCCTGTTGAACCGCATTCTGCATACTGAGACCACGGTAAAAGACCAAGCCAGCGACCTTCTGGACAGAGAAGATGCGTCCCATGGCCGTGAGGGCCACATACTCGCCGAGAGAATGCCCGGCAAAGAGACTCGCGTCCTCAACTACTCCTCGACTCCGCATGTCCTCGAATCGCGCAATTTCCATCAACGCGAGCGCTGGCTGTGTAAATTGTGTTTCATGGAGCAGACCATCGACTGATCGGAAGCGGTGGGAGCGACTAGTCCGGTTGATGTTGGGGAAGATGGGCTTGCAGTTGGTCTTCCCATTGTCGTCCACAGCATCGAAAGTCAGCGACATATAGTTTTTTCGAATGGCACGACCACGAGCTCCGCCGAAATGCACCGTCAGCTCTTTCGGGTTGCTGCGAACAATGTTTGTGATGGAAAAGCCTGGTCTTTGTCAGTCATCAAGCATCAAATTATCTTGTGCGGGGTCAGCTCTTACCATAGGTATTCTCAAAGAACTCATCGGCTGCTTTCCAAATTTGCTGCGCCGCTGGACTGGACTCATATAAGGCCATCCCCATGCCCGGTTGCTGGCTACCTTGTCCTGTAAAGACATATGCCGTTGTTGGTTGTGCGATGCTTGCCTGCCCGGAAAGGACTTTGACACCAGTGAGAACATTGTGCACCTGGACAGCTACTAACATCTTGCCTCCAGACATTCCGACGTGATTTATCTGAATGGCCAGCTGATCTCCGGCACAGACTTTGTCGTCGAAAGTGCACAACCACGATCGAACGCGGGTTTCATCGCTACGCGCCAAATGGGATGCGACCAGACCACGCACATATCCGCTGGTAAACATACCGTGTGTAACCCGCGTGTCATGGCCCGCGTAGCGAGCAAAGAGACCAGAGAGATGGATGGGATTGCAGTCACCAGATTCTCGGGCATATTCCCTGCCGGCATCAGGAACAGTGACAGTGAGGTCCTGCACGAGAGGCCGGGGAACATCAAAGATACAGTTGTCCCCGGTGCTCAACGACCCATGTCGTTGTAAGTATTCTGTCACGGGGTTTCGGGCAGAGGGGGCAGCATTGGAGAAACATATCGACCCCAGAACCACCAATTCTGATCCTGAATCAGATTGCCAGACAACCTGTCCCTCAACCTTCAGCTTCGGAATGGAGTCTGCGTCCATAAACCAGGTACGGCTTGTGGTTTGGACCTCCACCATGTGATGGAGATGGTCCAGCAGGTCGATCTTTCCCTCTGGACGGAACCACATTCTCGATCGAAGAAGGGCGGCATCTTTTTTTGTGGCTAGCGGTAGGCGCCACTTCTCTTCCTTGGTCTCGAAGGTCGATTCATAATCATCGTAGGATCCAAGCAGAATGAACTTGCTCTTCAAACGTACTACGGGCATGCCCTGGCGATAGATGGTTCCCTCCGCCTCTATGACCTTACCAGATCCTTTCTTAATGGTCACTGCTGTGAGTCGGCCATCTGACGAAAGATGATCTCCTTCCTGCAACGGCGTAGCTCCGTCACATAGCTGGAATTCGTTGCTTAGATGCAGCAATCGGAGCATATCCCCCGAGACCACATCAGGGAACAGGCAGCTCATGATGGGTTTCCAAGCTACTGCAATGGCCAGATCCAGCGGTGCCACCAACAACGCCTGGGAGCGAGAGTTGTAATAGACTGGGTTCCGGTTGGATACGCTCCTGGCAAATCGGCGAATCACCTCCCGGTCTAAGACAATATTTTCACCCCGGAACACAAAGTCAGGGGTGGATAGTAAGTTGTGCTCCCCGATCCAGATTGAGCGATAGAATTGCTTAATCCCCTGGTTGCGATCGGGCATTACTTCGTGGATGCTGGGAGCCCCGTCGCGCGGCTGGAATTGAAATCGAAAGACCAAGTCAGCTGGCGCTCGACCAACTACAGTCTGATCCGAGAGAGTAAGAGTGATCTGGCCCTCGGGGCTGCAGCGAAGTGAGGCGACTGCCAACACCTGCTCTCCGTCCCTCCCATTCTTTTCGATCTCCTTCAGAATAATCTCGGTCTCATTTGGAGCTTGAGGATTCCAAACTTCAGCGACCAGACCTGGTTTCGCGGCAAAGAGTCGCATTATAGGATTGCTCGCGACAACTCTGTCCTGAACAATATTCTTCTCGGTGAGGACAGCATGGCACCATGGTGCAGCAGTGGTATCGGCCAGTAACCCCAGCCAGACTTCCGGTAATGGCAAGTCTTCCGGGTTTTCGGAAACAATATACCTTGCTGTCTTTCCATCTTGCTGTGGAGCTAGATGGACCCCCATAACAGGCCAATGTGGGTGGGCCCTGCGCTGCCTAGCTGCCGAGGGGATCTGTGCTAGATCCCCGACATACTGATCGCGGAGAATCCATGCGACATATGTGTTGTGAATCCCATCCAAAATGCTCTGGACTGGCTCATCAACAGTTTTTGTGTACTGAGCGGCCACTGGTCCATGCAGAATGCACACGCGGCCGACATCCTGTCCAACAACGGCCTCTAAGCGCTCTGACTGCCACAAGGAGTCCTTCTTGAACCAGTATTCGAAATCTTCATCGAGGACCGTGAGAAAGGGGACTGGCTTCTGCCCCCGACGACGTGAAATTAGATGGATATACTCCACGTCGGCGGCTGTCAATACATCGACATGTGCCTGAGGATATTGGGAAAACAGCATGTCTCGGAACTGATCGGGTTGATCTAGTTGGTCCGTGCGTTGGAGAAGGGTGTGCTGGTTCTTCCCCAGTCTCTCTTCCAACCTGCGAGTGTAATCCCATACCAGGGCTTGCCACGAGGGATCAATCCATTCTTGGGATACCTTCAGATACAACAAGTCGATCATGCGGTCCCAAACTTCAGCGTAGGTCATTTCGTGCAGATCGACTGTTGCGCCATGTACATCTCGCCCGAACCAGACCTTTTGGAAATCCTCATTGAGACGTTTGAGGAAGTATGTCTTTCGGGCGAGCAGAGCAGCTTTTTGTTCACCTCGGGGTAATGAGAAGACTGATTTGTCCAACTCGGCCCATAACATGACGCCGCGTGTGGCCAGCTTATGAATCGGCTCGCCCATCTCAGATCGCACGCTGATAATTCCACCGGCTGGACGCTCGTACGTCAGCTCCCAGTTTTCGTTGCCGACACCCGGAGTGTCGCAGATGGCTTTTTTCACATCCTCACTGGTGTGAGCCTCTTTGGCCGCCATCACACGGCTACCTAGCAGGATGCCATCTACTGGCATAGGTGCACGTCCAAACTGGTGGGACCATGAACCCGTTAAGTAGGGATAGGTTTGCTCGGCATTTCCAAACCCACTACCGACTACTAGAATCACATTGTGATGCGATCGGATCTGTGCGTATCGGTCCAGAAGCGGCTCATGGAAATCTTCAGAGGAATGATGTCCACCACCCCGACCACCTGTCCACTGTAAGATGATTGGATATGTGGGGTTTGCCCGGGCAATTGCCAAAACCCCATCGATGCCCTCTTTGGAGCCTGGTTTGAGAGCCAGATGGGTGAGCGACAGGTCAGTCAGGTACCCCCGGACAATTTCCAGTGAGGGAATGCCGGCACCGATTGTTAATCCTGTAATGGGGATGCCAGACTTGCTTAGCTCGATCAGTAGGGGAATTTGCCAGGCCATAGCTCGTGGATTGGCGTATATGACGTTGCATGTAATACCGCGACCGGGGGCAATTGCTGCCGCGGTGGCCAGGATACCCTCGCGCATGCTGTTGCGATCCGGGAATCCTCCACAGGCCAGCTCAACATGATAACCAGCATTCATGGTTGCGGCTACGAATTCCGATGCGGTCGTAGTCGGGGTCATACCAGCAACCATAACTGGGGGAACGCCCAGTAGCCGGCTGAACTTGGTGTCGACCAGGTGACGAGACTCACAAGGGGACTGCATGAGGCGCGGTGTGAACTCAGCATCCCAGGCAGTATTGCAGAGGACTGGCCCGTTGTGGGTGTACAGCTCACTTTCAGACCCTAGCATGGAGTTGTGACTACTGATGACCCCCCGGGTGGCGCCGAGGATCAATGTGCGCAGACCTGTGCCCTCTCGCTGATGATTTACCAGGCTTCCGATGCCAACCTCGCCGCCAGGACCGAAGTCAAGGACATGTGTCACTCCGGCCAGGGTGGTGCCCACAACATTTTCAAACTGTACACGTCTAGTACAGATCATGTTTATTAAGTGGGGAACAATATTCCCGCTTTCTTGTAGATTTTGGGCAGTTTCAGTGTGAAACACGGGGAACGCCAACCGCGAGCCGGAGAGGGAGACATCAGCAAGGGAGACATCAGCAAGGTCCCTCATGAGTTGGGTCTCGGCATCTTGAAGATAGGGTGAATGGAAGGGCGCGGTAATGGACAAAAATCGAGTGTGGACGACAGGACGGCGTTGGCTGAAGGGGATACGGCCTGTAGAAGTCTTCGTGGACTGAGCTTTGTTCTGGCCTTGGCCGATTTTCTGGTCCAGCGCGCGCAACGAAAGCGGAAGTCCGGCGACGACGAGCTGCTCTGGCCCGTTTACCAAGGCTAGGTACACTGCCTCTTCGGCTGGTAGGTGGAGGTTGAGTTCGTCCAAGTGGCGCTGAAGGTCAGCCTGGGACAGACCCTTGACACTGAGCATGCAACTGGACAGAACGGATGCCGGACCAACGTCTTGCAACTGCTGCTGGCATCGACACCCTATCCAGAAAAGCAATTCAACCGCTTGCTGGGCTGCATTGCACAGAGAATCCCAGGAATTGGCAGCGGCGACGAAAGCGGCTACCACGATGCCCTGGGAGTGACCAATTGCGCCACGGAATACATGGCGTAGCTCTCCAGGGGAAAGACCTAAGTTGATGCATGCGATGGCATACTGCACAAATTGTGAGAGACCGACGAGCGGGAAGCTTACGGGAGCGCTGGTGAGGTAGGGAGCATCTGGGCGAGACTCTGGCATGCGGAGCCATTGATCCACATCGAGTCCGTGCGGGAATAGAGCTTCAAATCGATCATCGTGTGCGAGGTGTGTGAGAGATTCGGATACTGCCCTAATGATCGAAGCTACTTGGGGATGGTAGATGTCGTATGCCGCCAAGAGCTCGTCAAAATACGACTCCACGCCTTGTCCATTGAACAGGGCAAAGATCCGCGCGTGGCCTTTGTCGACGGCGGACAGGAGTCTACTAGTCCCCGCAGAGCCCGGCGATCTTGTTGCTTTGCATGCTTGGAAATAAGCTTGCAGGATGGATTGATGCCGGCTCTTGTCCTGGCTCATTGCCGACAGGACTGTGTGGATATTCTCGTTCTGGAGGAGATCGACGTGGACTGTGTTCAACACATGGTGGAGAATTGCCATGTCCAGATCTCCTCCTCCGTCTTGCATGATCTCATGCATCATATAATGCATGAACAGGCAGCACAGTTCCAGGGCGGACGAGGGCTCCAGCGTGGACGCCGTTGGAACGAACTGCTCTATAAGCTCCTGACCCCTGCGATCCATTCCCCGGGGCACCCTGACAGTGCAGTGGATTATACCCACCTGGAGGACGATCTCGGCCTCTGGTGAGCAAGACTCAAGCTCTTCCCATGGCGTTAGAGGAGTTGATGCCTGTGAGACCGAGTCTGATGCAGGCCATGGGCACTGCATGGTTTGAAGCTGTGATACATCCATTGGGGGTATAAACGGAGCTAAGAGGTTTGCAATCGAAATGACCCGGAGCAGTGTTATTGATGGGAGATTGAGTACCGTCCGGTGTGCAACTTGCTACGACAGCAGGACGAGATGGATATGGATACCGATATGTCTCACCGTGCATGGATCCCCAGTTCTCTCAGCTTATTTCCCTCACCATGCACGTTGGCACATGGCAAGAAATACTAAATTGATTTTTTTCCGACCCCAATCTGTCTCTCTTGTCTAATGTCGCTATTCCTGTGTCGTCCGCTCGGCATACATACTATACTGTACGCCCTGTACGCCATGTATACTACGTATGTTCCGTCTTCGTAACCAAGTTCTAACCATGGTAGGTTTGGTATATTTGGTATGTAATGTATGTTGGTATGGTTACTGTGTATAATAAAAAAATACAATAAAATATATATATATATGTAATTATGGTTAGTTCGTGTTTCATATGCCATACACCGTTAATACATAGTCCATACTAGTACTGCTAGAGACCCGCTCCAAAGGTCAGCTCGAGTGATTATTCATGATTATTCATGGCTTTTCAGCCTCCATATGCAAAGCCCGCAGAACGTGAACTAGAGAGACTAGTCCCAGCCATACGGAGTCTCCTACTATCAACGAAATTTCTGCACACTCTGTACTCCGTACACCTGGACGCCATGTAATTGCAGTCAATCGACCGAACAGGAATCTCCACCTTGAATTCATGAACCATTCTACCGGGTCCTATGCCTGCCGCCCGATGTAACACTGGCTAAAGGGGTATATGGTATTAATAACAGCGTCGCTTGTGTACGGAGTACCGGCGGGCCCATTCACTCGCCTTCTATATCCGAGATATCGCCGTCTAAATGAATATTCGCAGAGTTCCCAACCGATTCCAAAATAGGAAAGAGAACTAAAAGCGAACAAATATACACAAGGTCCTTCTGCCCAGTTGCGTCTTGCTCATTCTCCTAATACTCCTGATTTACATTCCCTCGACGAGTATATTCTTCCGATGGCTCCTTTTCCCCCTCCCCCTCTCGCTTCCATAGGTATGCTTTTCCTTGCACTGAACCCGATCTTACATGGCATGATGCATGTACTAATTTCTCCCATGGTGCAGAATGGGACAAGCTGGGCGTTGCTCCTATGGAAGGTTTGTCACTTACTGAGGTACCTCTCTTTCTCTGGACGCCTGACTGATGCTGGGTTGTTCTAGTGAATGGCCATATTGAGTCAGAATACTCAATTGCTACTGGGGAGTGGTCTGCTCCCCATTTCGTGGAGGATCCTCTGTTACGTATTCATGGCCTAGCTCCTGGACTCAACTATGGTGTGTCCTTGCTCCAACACTCTTGGGACCGTTTGTCTGTGTACTAACACCCCATTTCAGGTCAACAAGCCTTTGAGGGCATGAAAGGTTTGATCTTCCTCACTCTTTTCTACTTACTTACACTTGGCTGATGCTTTCCCTCTCCAGCTTACCGTGATCCAAGCGGCCAGATCCAAATCTTTCGACCTAAGGATCACGCAGCTCGTCTCGCCCTTTCTTGCTCGACAATTGCCATCCCCCCTGTCCCAGAAAGTGTCTTCCTGGCCGGCATCAACCTGGCAGTGGTCCGGAATGCCGAATATGTCCCTCCCCACGACTCCGAGGCCGCGTTATATATCAGACCTCTGGTGTTCGGATCTGACGCTTTCTTCGCCGTCTCTGCAGGTACTGGCTACCGGTTCTGCGTGTATGTGCAGCCCTACAAGGCATACCATGGAGCCCAACCCCTACCGGCACTAGTGTTGGAAGACTTGGACCGTGCTGCTCCCCGAGGCGTGGGCCATGTCAAGGTCGGGGGCAACTACGCCCCCGTGCTGAAATGGAGTGATCAGGCCCGCGCAGAGGGATTCCATATCACTCTGCATCTCGACAGTCGAACACAGTCGCAGATTGATGAGTTCAGTACCTCTGGATTTTTGGGACTGAAAAAGACTGGGGACTCATTCACATTGGTGGTGCCCAGTAGTCCGTCGATTCTGCGTAGTGTCACCAGCACTTCTTGTGTCGAGTTAGCACGGTCGTTTGGATGGGCCGTGGAATTGCGACCGGTATGTTTTGTCTTCTTTGTTGGTTGTTCTCGCTAATCATCTCCTCTTTTGATAGATCCCGTATTTGGAGCTGCCCCACTTCACAGAAATTCTGGCTGCGGGAACGGCAGCAATGGTCGTCCCGATCCGGTCGATCACCCGACGGTCTACAGAGGATGTTTTCACTTTTGCTGTTGATGGTCCTGGTGAGGCTTGCCAGCGTCTTTCAAAGGCATTGTTGGCGGCGCAGAAGGGCATAGCTACTAATGACGGGGACTGGCTCTGGCCCGTTTCGGCAGATGAGTAAGATCACCGGGGTAAGACCGGGGTAGGACCGGGGTCACTAGGCAGATCGCGCCTTGTTTATCCATTTATTTCTATTTTCATGAATCGCGTAAAATGTCCCAAAACTTTCGGACTCTGCAGAGCGTTAGTGCGTAGCCAAGTGTAGCCAAGACGGAATAACTGCCACGATTTGCTTCGTATTGGTCAATCTCATACGGCCGGAAATTACTTCGATCCACTCATCACCCCATCTGTGCAGAGCTGAAGAAATTACCTGCATTAGTCTATCTTGGCAACAAGGAAGAAAAAAGGTTTCTTCCTTGATAATTTCAACTGACTTGGTAATATTCTTGGCTATCCCTTGTGCTTGATTCATTGGATAATAAAGGAGGCTATGCTATATATTAAAAGTACAACATACATATTATTTGGCCTTAGGGCTGATCCAGCCGAGTCTGCATCGCTAGCCCTGGAGTACGGCTTGTAGTACATACGTACATAAGATACACGTACCGATATCAATACGGCCCATGGTACTACGTACATACACCAATACATAAGTAACGGATAAAGTAAGTATACATACATAACTTACATCATTACAGCCTTACATACAACACCATCGATACGCTATAATTACACAGGCAGGTTATAGATGGAACGCCTACTCGCATGCACAGATAACACACCATGTAGTAAGATCTAGTCCTGAATAGTAGGTTGGCCAAATATCCACATGTAAAGCCGACAGATAGCCTACAGCCAGGAAAAGGAAGAGGCTTTCCCGACGACCTACGCTCAAAGACTCCTTTCACGGTGATCCAGGGCAGGCCAACTGCAAAGAAAACGAAAACACAATGATGATAGACAGTGATACGGAGCGAAAGCTCGCTCGCACGCTGCTGATGGAGTTGATGGTGTGAGTAAATCTCATATCTCCAGAAGACAAGATCGTCAACTAAGTGAACCACCCCATTAGGTACCAGTTCGCCTCCCCTGTGCGATGGATCGAAACTCAAGAGGTGATTCTGTCTCACACAGAAAGCGAGCGCATCATTGAGGTCGGTCCCAGTGCAACTTTGCTGGGCATGTTTCGCAAAACCATCGACACCATATACCCAACCAAAGAATGCACTTTGCCGGCTCCACGCCAGCTCCTCCATTCTGAAAAAGATACGGACGACATCTACTACAATGGGGAGCCAGATCAACTCAATCCAGTGCCGACACAGACGCAGACAGAGACCCAAATATCACCACCAACGCCGGAGACATTCCTACCAAGCCCCAAAGTCACCGTGGAGGTAACAACAACAACAGCCCTGCCCTCCCCAAGGGTACATGTTGAAGTTATCAACATCGAGGATCAAAGCATCCAGGCGCAGGATATCGTGTTCGCCATTGTTGCTAGAGCGCTGAAGCGAGCGGCAGCTGAAATTGACGGGAGCAAGTCTATCAAGGCTCTGGCCGAAGGTACAGACCTCAACATCGCGGTGTAACGATTATGCGTGCTAATCAATCGAACTCCATCCTGCAGGCAGATCGACGTTAGAAAATGAAATCATCGGCGACCTACATAGCGAATTTGGCTCATTGCCGGACCGCGCTGAGGACTTAGCACTCGCCCAAGTTGGGCCAGAGATCCAATCTAGCCATAAAGGTGCCCTGGGCAAGGTCACCACTGCTATGATCAACGCCCTATTCACCGCCAAAATGCCCAGCAACTTCACAGCCGCCACTGCTCGAGAGCAGCTGCGCACCCAGTGGGGACTTCAATCGGGTCGACAAGATGCCTGCTTGCTCTGCGCCGTCACCATGCAACCCACCAGCCGGATCACCACTGAATCCGATGCCCGTGACTTTATTTCGCACGCCGTCGAGGTATATGCAAAACGGGAAGGACTCACGCTTCTCCCACCTAACACGTCGGATGCTGGTGGCACGGCCACTGGGGTTACGATGGATCCGGAAGCAGTCCGGGCTCTGACCGAGTCCCAAGATGCCTTGTCAAAGCGCTTGCTCGAGATCTACGCCGCCCATTTAGGGGTAGATCTGGAGGCTGATCGACAGGCGTTGGACAGCCTGCGCGACGAGCTGGCCACCGGACTCCAGGCCGACCTCGATCTCTGGCAGGCAGAGCATGGCTCAGATTACGCCCAGGGTATTCGACCACGTTTTGATGCCAAAAGGATCCGGAGCTATGACTCGGCGTGGAATTGGGCACGACAAAGTCTGCTAGAGCTGTTTGATCTTATATCAACCGTCGCAGACCCCAGCATGCTGGATCGGGATTCGGTGGTGAAGAGCTGCTATCACATCGCCAACGCAGCGGACAAGACCATCTTACCAGTGTTGGATGAGATGATTTCCCCATTGCAAAATCGCACTCAGTTGCGACCGATCTTTCTCACATTGAGAGAGAATTGTACGGATAGCTTGCTGTCGGGGCCGGCATTCAAAGGCGCTCCCCGGCAATTGGCGCCAGTTACAAGCATGGATGACCAAGGGAACCTGCAGTATCAGGAACAACCCAGGAGAGAGTCATCACGCTTTGCCGACCTAGCCATGCCAAGTCCTGGACCGGCCAAAAATCCCCTAGTCACAACTGAACCGTACCTGCATCTGAAAAAGCGATCAGCGTCGGGATGGGAGTACTCTGCGGAGCTGACCAGTCATCTTTACCAGGTTTTCCACCAAGTGGAAACCCAAGGTGGTTCCCTGAGTGCCCAAACGGTGTTGATCACAGGGGCTGGAATCGGGTCCATCGGAGCCGCCATGATTGTGCATTTCCTCCAAGGGGGAGCGCGAGTGCTTGTCACGACGTCGTCCATGTCTCCGGAGGTAGCGCGAAAGTATCAAGCCTTGTACATGGAGCATGGAGCGCGAGGTTCAGAGCTCGTGGTCGTTCCCTTCAACCAGGGGAGTACACAGGACGTTGCCGCGCTAGTGGACTACGTGTACGATGAGAAAAACGGGCTTGGATGGGACTTGGACTACCTCATCCCCTTCGCGGCTATCAGCGAAGCCGGGCGGACCCTGGACGCGATCGACTCCAAATCGGAGCTGGCGCATCGCATTATGCTGACCAACCTGTTGCGATTGCTGGGGACCGTGAAGACATATAAAGAGACACACGGCCACCGGTCGCATCCCACCCAGGTGGTGTTACCATTGTCTCCCAATCACGGTACATTCGGTGGGGATGGTCTCTATAGTGAATCGAAGCTGGCCCTAGAAACTCTCTTCAATCGCTGGTATTCAGAGAACTGGCAGGACTACCTCTCCATTTGCGGCGCCGTCATCGGTTGGACTCGTGGCACGGGATTGATGAATCAGAATGATCTCGTGGCTGAGGGAATCGAAAAGGCCGGTATGCGCACATTTTCTCAGGAAGAGATGGCTTATGCACTGGTTTGCCTATGCGTCGGTGAAATGTACGAGCTCTGCCAGGAGGCTCCGGTCTATGCCGATCTCACAGGCGGTATGGCCCAAGTCCCCAACCTACCGGAATCCCTAGGCCTGCTCCGACAAGAGCTCAAGGAGCGCAGCGAAATCCAATCTGCCCTATTCCAGGAGGAGAAGATCGAGGCAGAGTGGTCAAACCCGGTACAGCAAGCAACAGCTGTGGCCGAGCTGGAACAGAGAGCCCACGTCCGGCAAGACTTCCCTCAGGTCCTGCAGTATGATCGCGACATCGCACCTCTGAGTTCGGACATGCAGGGGATGGTGGATCTGCACCGAACGGTTGTAGTCACGGGTTTTTCCGAACTAGGACCGCATGGCAATGCCCGCACACGATGGGAAATGGAAGCCCAGGGGCAGTTTTCCCTAGAGGGAGCTGTTGAAATGGCGTGGATGATGGGTTTCATCCGTCACTTCTCCGGTACCATTGAAGGGCAACCGTACTCCGGCTGGGTCGACACCAAAACCAAACAGCCAGTGGCCGACACGGAGATCAAGCCAATATACGAGGAGAGGATCCTAGCCCATTCCGGCATTCGCTTCATTGAGCCTGAGCTTTGCGACGGGTACGATCCCAACAAAAAGCAGTTCCTCCATGAGATCGTTCTGCAGGCGGATCTCGCGCCTCTCTGCGTGCCCGGATCGCTCGCCGAGCAGATGCGTCGCGAGCATGGCGTCTTTGTAACGGTACAAAAGTCCTCAACTCCGGACTTATGCCAAGTGCAGTTGCGTAAGGGAGCCCGGCTATTCGTTCCCCGTGCAATGCAGTTCGACCGTACTGTGGCCGGTCTGGTCCCCACCGGCTGGGACCCCCGTATCTACGGGCTTCCCGAGCAAATCATCTCCGAAGTGGATCGGTTAACGTTGTACACGCTAGTGTGTACGGTAGAAGCGTTGCTATCATCCGGCATTACCGATCCGTACGAGCTCTACCAGTATATCCACGTCTCCGAGGTGGGCAATTGCATCGGCTCCGGCATGGGAGGTAGTACCTCTCTGGGAAAGATGTTTAACGGCCGATTGACCGGGCAGGAAGTCCAGAGTGACATCCTACAAGAGACGTTTGTCAATACTATTAGTGCCTGGGTCAATATGCTCCTTCTATCGGCCAGTGGTCCCATCCGAACCCCTGTTGGAGCCTGTGCGACCGCCGTGGAGTCCTTAGAACTAGGCTATGACACTATCGTGACAGGGAAAGCCAAGTTCTGCTTAGTGGGAGGGTGCGATGACTTCACCTCAGAGACCTCATATGAGTTTGCCAACATGAAGGCGACTACCAATTCTCTGGACGAGATCGCGCGAGGGAGAGCACCAAGCGAAATGTCGCGACCAACCACCACTACTCGTAATGGCTTTATGGAATCACAAGGCTGCGGTCTGCAGGTCTTGACTACTGCCGATTTAGCGCTGACGATGGGGCTCCCGATCCGCGGCATTGTTGCTTTTGTGAGCACCTCCAGTGATAAGGCTGGCCGCTCTGTGCCAGCCCCTGGGCAGGGTGTACTAGTCAACGCGAGACGCACAACGCCAGCGTCAAACATTCCTTCTCCTTTGCTGAAGATAGGCAATCGCCGACGTCGCCTCGACTTTCGACGTAAGCAGATCGCCGAGGCCCGGGCAGTGGCCCTCGATCAGCTAGATTTCGAAGTGGATGTTGTACTAGCCCAGGACCCGGGAGTTGACGTGGCCACGTATCGCCAGGAACGCCATGAGCAGATTCTGGTGGACTTCCTCCAAGAAGAGCGAGATGCTCAGTATTCGCTGGGCAATGACTTTTGGCGCCACGACTCATCTATCGCGCCGCTGACCGGCGCTCTCGCAACCTGGGGTCTGACCATCGACGACCTGCGGGTGGCTTCCTTCCATGGCACGTCAACCGTGATGAACGATAAAAATGAATCCAGCGTCCTCCAACAGCAGTTGACGGCACTGGGGCGACGCAAGGGTAATTTGCTTCTGGGTGTCTTCCAGAAATACCTGACCGGCCATTCCAAGGGTGCTGCCGGTGCGTGGATGGTTAACGGGGCGTTGCAGATGCTGGATTCCGGCCTAGTGCCAGGCAATCGGAATGCCGATAATATCGACTCGGCTCTGCAGCAATTTGACCTAATTGCCTATCTGAATCGGCCAGTGCACGTGCCGGATCTCAAGGCTGTGTCGATCACCTCATTCGGCTTCGGGCAGAAAGGCGCGCAGGCCATCTGCGTGCATCCCCGGCATGTCTTTGCCACCTTGACGCGAGATGAGTATGAGGCGTATCTGGTTCGTCGCATGGCACGTCAGCGGAATACCGATTCATATTTCTACGAGGGAATGAGCTCTAATTCATTGTTCCGAGCCAAAACAGCGCCCCCATTCCCGGCCTCCCAAGAGAATGAAACATACCTCAACGCATCCGCTCGTTTTTCGTTATAATTTAGTATTGCTTTTTTTGGCGCGATTAGTTGTCTTTTTTTCTCTCCTGCTCATTCCTGTGTCTGCTCATGTCTTCTGTCTGATTAACTTTTTTTATATATTCAGATGTTATCTCCCTCATAATGCAGTGTTTCAAAAACAACAGCTAGCCAGTTGTGAAGGTAGATATTCATGTGTAGTAGAGACTTTTGGGGATATTGTTAGATTTCACTCGGCGAATTATATGTAGGCTATAGATGCAATACAAGGTGGATAATTGGGGGATGAAGGAGGTCGTCAAGAGTGAGCCCTGTAGAGAGGTAGAGCTGGACGCGTCGACTTCCCCTGGACCCTAATTGGGAATAGCATCAAAGACCTTGGAAAGGGGTCACGTGAATTTATCGGGACGCTACTCTCAAATGGGACGGTCACATGACTATCATTCTTAATGTGGCTAGAACCTGTAGGCCTACAGGTGTTGTGACTCCGTCCTTGGCAATCTTTTATGGTCGCCGAGCACTGGGTTGTCCATGAGAGCCTTATCTAATAAGCAAAAGTTGTCGATTATGAATGTTTGGGATGAAAATATCATCCTTCCAATGTGATTCTTGTGTATATGGAGTGTAGAGACTATTCATCCGAATCTCCAGAGTCAAGTACATGGCCTCGATATATATTTTGCGGGTGTTTCTACGCACTCCTTAGTGAATGTATCATATCTGCACTCTTCCACCTGAGCGTGCAAAGACAGATTCCTTCGGCAAGGAGGTCTCTCCATTGACAGTCTTGGCTCCCGATAAGTACCCAATTTCCCTCAAATAAGAAATGCTCTTTCGGAGAGAAGCCTGGACCTCATTCTTGTGCTCGTCCTGCTGCAGATGGGCCGGCATAGGGACACCCAAGCGCCCGCCGGTGGCTTCCAGCAAATGGAAAACTGGCCACAAACGATGCTTCTCACCACGCGCTTCCAATTGCGATCTTAACCGGCCCAACCATTCTGCAGCGTCGATGGCTTCGAGTTCGTAACCGAATTCATCGCGTAACATTTCCCATAGCTCCCCGACGTGGATACCATACCGAATGGTAGTTTCCACATTATGGCCGTGAGGCTGGGGATGGAGAACATCTGTTAGAATGGCGGAAGCAACCTGGTGGGCACCAGAAACGAGGATGAGGCCGTCCAATCCTGTGCTGTTGAATGCCCCAATCTCAACCACGCTGGCCACAACCCGCCACAAAAAGTCATCCGTATTTGACACCCCGGAATCGACGGTTCCGACGATCAGCCCCGGCTTCACGATAGTCGCAATCGATGTGGTGTATCTCCGGGCGAACTCCTTCACTAGCTGTTCGGCTACGTACTTGGTTTGCGCATATCCACCGGCGGTTCTCATTGTCTGGGCGAACGACTCGACTTCGTCGTGGTCATCATCGTCTCCAAAGAATATCTGACCACCCGAGATGAACGTGAAACGCGGTGGTCTCGGCGACCGGGTGAGCGAAGCCAGGAGAGAAACTGTGCTAGTGACGTTGACAGCCTCAAGACCTTGGTAGTCGAAACCCCAGTGGACGATTGCTCCGTTGTGGATGATCGCGTCAATGGGACAAGACGACTCTGACTGGGCCTCAATACAGCGCCATCTAGCAGCATCTAGTCCTAGGTCCGGTTGTGACAAGTCGCCGACCCAGACCTCAAGGCGATTGGTATAGCTATCGTGCCACCATTTGCTTTTCCGAGCAGATTCAATCACTCTGGCTGTGGCTTGGTTGTGGTCTGGAGCACGTACCAGGGTAATCACGCGTTTGATTTGCGATAGCTCTAACAGTTGTCTGAGGATCTGACTCCCCAGGAACCCAGTCGCGCCCGTCAACAAGATCGTCTCAGGGTGTTGTGCTCTGGGCAACTGAGGAATTTGCAGTGATCCAGATGCGGCCTTTTGATCAAAGCCTGCAATTGCCTTTTCAATCTTCAAAGACAAATTTAACGAAGACGACGTACTGGTTGCCGCAGAGTCGCCCCTGGAATTGTCAATCATGTGTGCGACACCACAGACGGTCATCGATGCCTCTAGCAAGCTATCGATCGAGAGCTGAACGCTGAATTCGTCCTTGATATAGGCCGCAAGAGAGACAGCGGAAATGGAGTTTAAGCCCGCAGGTGCCAGGGCGATGTCTCGGTTGCGAATAGCCATCGCATATTCCTCGTCGTCTTTCGCGAGAAGGTGTGTAATGCGGTCGCTGATAGCGAGAGCAGTTGTCTGATCATCAGAAATTAAAGATGCGGTATGAGTTGCCGGTAAGGACGCTTGGGCAGCCACCTGCTCCTGCATGTCGGTGCTCATGGTACCCAGCCAGGCCTTTATCTTCGGACGATTGATTTTGCCTGATCCCAAGAGTGGAATATTGTTGAGCACAATAAAAGAGCCTGGTACCATGTACGGAGGTAGGTGTTGCACTAGATATGTCCGTATATCTGAGATGGACTTGCGGACTGCATCCAGTTGCTCGCCGAAGACTGGCACAAGGTCTTCCTCGTCGGTCGGCACATCAGATGAGTGTGGAACTATGTTGCGTAGTGACATCACAGCCACTAAGCTGTCTCGATACCTGCCGACCGTGGGAAGTTCGACTGCAGCATGTCTGACTGACGGATGGGTAGAGGTGTGGTGTTCAATGTCGCCTAGCTCAATTCGCTGCCCACGGAGCTTGACCTGCGTATCTTTACGACCGACGAAATACACTGTGCCATCATCATTATATCGAACCAAATCTCCTGTCAGATACAGACGCTCCATCATCATGGTTGAATCAAATCGATCCAACCAGGCAGGCGTGTCGATGAAGACAGCCTTGGTTTTCTCCGGCTCATTTAGGTATCCCCGAGCGACAATTGGACCTTGAATGAGGAGCTCTCCGATTGCACCGATAGGCAACAGAACGTTGGCATTCTCTGAATCGACTACCCAGGCGTTGCAGCACATCGTGCTTCCGATATTGGCCGGATCAGTCTCCACGGTAATATTGGTGTTGGCCGTAGCAGCAACTGAGCATTCACTGGGACCGTAACCATTGCATAAATGAACTGGGTCCGCCCAAGTCTCAACGTCCACGCGCGATAGTGGCTCTCCACCAAGAATGAGAGTTCTGAGACTGGGACAGTCTTTGGGGCTGATTGTTCGAGCGACGGACGGGGTCAGGAAACTCCAAGTGATTTTCAAATCTTGGATGATCTGGCAAACAGGAGCATTATAGTGTTCTGTTCTAGGCAGGCAGAGACAAGCACCAGACAACAAACCTGTCAGTGTCTCCAGAATACTGACGTCAAAGGTATATGGTGCCATCTGGAGGGCCCGAGTGCCAGGAGTTAACCTGCTTCGTTGAGCGTGTTGGACAGCGCCGCTGAGGAAAGACGCATGTTCGACCACACAGCCCTTGGGTGTTCCAGTACTTCCAGACGTAAAGATCACATAAAGGACATTGTGTGGCTTTACACCGGTCACAGGTAGCTGCTTTTGAATAGGAAGTCCGTGGAGGAAACTCTCGGTGATCACCAGCGGTTTCAGGGCGGTCGACCCCCATGTAGACGAGAGTTCTGGAGTGGTGATAATGGATGTCGCCTTGACTTGCTGTGCAATGAACATCAAGCGATCCATGGGATGAGCGGGATCTAGAAAGACAAAAGCACCCCCTGACTTCATCACGGCAAGAATGGAAACCACAGCCCAGGCAGACTTGTGGAAGAAGAGAGGAATGATTGTTTCGGGACCGACTCCATAAGAGTCTCGAAGGTAGTGAGCGAGTCTGGTGGAAATATCGTCCAATTGACCATATGTGAATTGGCCTTCTGCAGCATCAATGGCCAATGACTCAGGCTGGACTGTTGCGCGCTCACATATCAACTCATGGGCACATCTGTCGACCCGCTCACCGCTACGTGGTCGATTCCAGACCATCAACTGCTCGAGATCATGGTCACCGACGAGCGGAAGATCCTTTAGAAGCAAGAGAGCCGACTGATAATTGTATAGCTGCTGGAAGAAGTGACCAAACTGTGCCAATAAGGTGTCCATCTTGATTGGCGAGATTACTCCTGGGTCAAACGCAGCTTGAAGGACCACTGCACTGTCAGTGAGGTCGCACACCAAGACAATTCCATAAGCCAAAACATCATTTTCCACCATATCGAGGCGCTCAAGGCCCAAGGGGAGCTTTGCTTGTTGCTGATGCTGCTGTGATTGAATCACGAGTAGATTCTGAAATTTACAGGCCGCCTGGCAGTCCTCATTGAGCTGGGCAATATGTTGTAGACCAGCATGTTCATGAGGAATCATAGAAACTGTGTCTTCATGGATTCCCTGCAGGAACTCGGCGACCGACACCTGCTTCCCAACCACAACTTTGAAAGGTACGACTGTGATGAGCGGTGCCACAATATCCGTGATGCCTGTCACAGAAGCATTGCGACCGGTTTGCGTCATCCCGAACACCACATCTTCTGAGCCGGTGTGTTGGCTGATGGCGACTGCCCATGCTGCTCTGAGAAGTGTGGACACGGTGATATTGGCTGAGGTCATCATAGATGATGTAGGGACAGAGTGTTTCGCCACAGCTGTTGCTCGCGACCGATGGCCTGGTACAGATCGAGGGAAATCCACGGCAGCCAAACCACCAAAGCGTGACTTCCAGTATCGATCGGAGGCTTCTGGATCAAGAGAGCACATCCATTTGATGAACCTGTTGAACGGCGGAGTGGGAGGTGCCTTTTGTAACAAATAGTGATATGAGAGGCGGTCCATCATCAAAGATATTGACCAACGATCCAATATGGTGTGGTGCGCGCTGGAAACAGAATATGTTTTGGACCCTTGGTGGATGATGCCAAATCGATACAAAGGCGTCCCATAGCCGAATGGTTCTTTTTTGTCCTGGCAGAGGTAGTCTTCCAGCGACTCACTGTACTGCCAGGCAATAGCGCTGTGCTTTGGCTGGATGACAAGCTGATAGGTACCGTGGTGATCCATTTGAACCAGCCGTGTTCGCATTATTCCTAGTTCATCAACTATTGCTTGCCATGCCGAACGGAAGCGATCTAAATCCATGGCGGAAGGAAGTGCCAGGACATCTTGCCAGCCATAGGAGCCTACATCCCGGGTAGTCAGCGCCATCATGCCCTCTTGTAGCGGCGTGCAAGGGTAGAGATCTTGCACCCAGTCGGATTCGATGTTGGCCTTTTCTGCGGCAGATTCGACAAAGTGCTGCACATTGATTCCGGTGCTCAAAAGACCGAACTGCCTCACAACATCAGCCTCAACGATTTTGTTTGTTGTCTGCGAGTTGGATATGTTGGCAGCCATGTCAAGCAGGTGAGGATTGTGGAAGATGTCGGCCACTGGAAGTTGCATTCCCGCTTTGTGAGCCGCGGAGGCGAGTTGCATGGCTGTGATTGAATCACCCCCGAGTCGAAAGAAGCTGTCTTCCAGGCCGACTTTAGAAACATTGAGTACACGCTGCCAGAGCTTAGCCAGTTTGCGTTCCATCTCAGTTGAGGGCTCTCGCTTGGTTCCACCACCCAAAGCATACTGTTCGACTTGTGTCTCTGAGAGTGAAGCACCCAACGCTTTCAACACCTTGCGCTCTGTCTTTCCCGACGTGGACAACGGCATCCGGGAAATGGGAAACCACAACCGGGGAATCATGTACGGCGGCATAGCCTTCGCTAGAAGCGTTTCAATCTCAAACATTGTTGCGCGACAACCATTGGTCATCGGTAAAAGAATATCAGCTGCGTCTTGGGCCTGGCCGGCCATACCCTGCAGCTTGATAAAGACCGAAAGCAACGCCCGCCCACCAATATGCAATGGGCTTACGGCATCTGCGGCAACCTGCAGTACCTGTGGAAAGTGAGCCTTGATGTGGTGTTCAATTTCAGTGACTTCAATCCGTTGTCCGTTCAGCTTGAACTGAGTATCTTTTCGTCCGAGAATAGTGAGTGTTCCGTCCGAATTATAGCGAGCAAGGTCGCCCGTCTTGTACAATCGGTGCTGTCGGCTGCCGTTGTATTCCGACAACCAGACTGGATTCGAAAGGAAGCTCGCCTCTGTGCGCTGTGGGTCATGGAGGTAGCCTCGCCCAACGATCGGGCCTTGGACAATGAGTTCTCCCACAGCGCCAACCGGGACTAATCTGGTATCGTTCCAGGGGTCCACGAGCCAGGCCACCGAGCCAACAGGGTATCCAATCACTTCCGGCCGGAAGTCGTTGGTGCTCAGTGGATTGTACGCTGCAAAGACAGTGCACTCGGCAGGACCATATGCCCCGAGCAGTTTAACTTCCTTCGCCCAGGTATCGGTGGTGTTAGTGCCGATGAGTTCACCACCAACGATCAGTGTCTTCAAGGTGGGCACATCCGCTGGTTCAAACAGCTGGGCGAGGGTTGGGGTCGTAAACATGATATTGACTTCCATCTGCCGCATGGCCTCCACCATGTGGCTCATTCGGTCATGATCTGAAGGTATGCACACGCAACCGCCATAATACAGTGTCGTGAAAATCTCCATAATGACCGCGTCGAATGTGTATGAAGAGAACTGGAATGTACGAGAACTAGGGCCAAATCCCATCACCGTTCCGTGGTATTGAACAGAGGAACACGCAGCAGAGTGCTCGACAATTACACCCTTGGGCTTGCCGGTAGACCCAGAGGTAAACTGGACATACATTATGTTTTGGGGGGTGACGGTTGTTGAGATTGCGGTGTCAACACCCTTCGGTAAGGAATCAAGCATTGATGGCGACACGACAAGCACCTCCTCAATCAAAGTTTGACAGTATTCAAGGGTTTTCGGCGAGGCGATGATAAATCTTGCATTGAGATCATTTAATAACCCTTTGAGGCGGTCAGGGGGGTGGTTGTGATCAAGCAACACGAAAGCACCGCCAGCTTTGAGTACAGCTAGCAATGCAATAGCAGTATATAAGGACTTCTCAAAACACAACGGGATGCATTCATCCGGTTTGATACCGTAACCAGACCAATGTCGTGCCAGTCGGGTTGAGGCAGTGTCCAGTTCAGCATAGGTATAGTCACCTTCCCAGGAGTGAAGTGCAGGGGCATTCGGTGTATTGCGCGCTTGCTCTGATATCACATGATGGATACAGGAATTGATCGCAGGTGGTACATTAGCAGTCCACTGTTGCAGTTGGCTTTTGCTGTGCGTGCTCATCGGGTCCAAGTCTGATACCAGTGTCTCTGGGTTTGCCAAAAGCGAGGAAATGATGGTTCTGTATACACCGGCGATGTTGGTGGCCTGTCCACTTGAGATCCTGGAAGTCTGGTACGTGAGATGAACATCTGTTCCATCGGGGCCCATGAGCACGTTGACTGCGATATCGAACTCTGATGGGTCATATTCGTGAACCGAAATCAGAGAAAGTTCGCTCGAATCGCTTGGTGTGGATCGCCTCTGGAAGGAAATGGCAGTATTGAAGAGAGGTTGCCCTGACATCCCAATAGCATGTTGCATCTCACCCAAAGATACGTATTGTTGAGCCATACCCCGCAAGAAGTCATCCTGAATTTTCTGCAGAATATTTAGGGCTGAGGTCGAGTTGTCGAATTCCACTCGGGAAACCAGCATGTTGATGAAAGGTCCAACTGCATCCTCAATGTATGCAAGGGGAGCATCACGACCAGATGTCAGATAGCCATAACAGACGCTTTGGCTGTTTGTAAAAGTCCGGAGAACAAATGCCCAAGCAGTTTGTACAACATTTGCGAGAGTGATGCCGTAAGTGTCTGAGAATTGGCGTATGACCGTGTTGGTCGCTTCTGGCACTTCGACTCTCACGGTCTCCCACTGGTGAATTTGAGGACGGCCATCATCTAGAATGGGAAACTGGCATGGTTGGATGCCCTGTAGATAGGCCTTCCAATATCCTAGGGATGATCGCTTCCGTTGCTGTTGGAGGAAAGTGACATACTCGGTATAAGGCAGCGCTGCCGAGACTTTGCCGAGTTGCCCGTTGAATGCACGTTTGATATCCCGTAAGATAACCTGCACGGATCTCCCGTCAACCAGAGCATGGCTGAGTTCAAGCTTGAAGAACAACTGCCCGTTCGCTCCATGACACAAGGTAAACCGATGCGCAGCGATCCCATCAGCAGCCCCCATCGGCTCAGTCTTTTTGAGAGCCGCGATCGGATCGTTACTCGTTATCTTTTGAACGGATGCTTGCATGTGCTTCAACACCAGTTGGCCCCATAGCGTGTCAGATTCAGTGCTCCGAATAAAAACCGTTCTCAAAGCCGCATGATGGTCTATAACTTGTTGCCAGGCCGTCAAAATTCTCGCGGCATTATCGTCGCCCTTTCCACCACCAATTGCCTCCTGAATAGTGTACAGCTCGTAGGCACCGAGCGACTTCAGTTGGCCCAGCAAGATTCCAAGCTGCATTGGCGAACAGGGCGAGATACTTTCGACCTGATCAATACCTGAAACGTTAATTGCAGGTAGGATTTCCTCGGTCAATCTGCGGATTCCCGAAGGCGTGTCCATCATTCTGCTAAAGTCTCCCAAAGTTGCGACGTCCGGTTGTTCCATGAGTTGATCGATGCCTTCCGCCAAAACACGGTGGCACTCCCTCACCCACTCCTGAATATCGGACTGATGCTGCATATATTTGTTGACCGTGAACGTGAAGCGCAGACATCCATTCTCACCAGCGGCTGAGATGTCGAACAAGGCATACCGTTCCATGGTGGAGCTGAAATCCTGGAGTTCTTGTCCAGAAATTCCGGATGGTTGAAACAGTGAGTCCGGCCTCTGGAACTGCTGATATAAGCCAAGGTAGTTGAATAGGATTTCCATTTTATTGTCGTCGACCGACTGCTCTGCTTGAGGGTTGAGCTGCCTGGCAGTGAAGTATGACCATCCGTTACGAGGCAGTCGTCGCCGAGCATCCCTGGTCCTCTTCACCGTCTCGAACCACTCGTCACCACTACCCAGCTCAACACTGACCGGGTAGATTGTGGTGAACCATCCTACTGTGCGTGTGATGTCAATAGCTGGATCCCAGGACTCGCGACCATGGCCTTCCATGAATACTGCTGGAATCTGTCGATCGGGGAAGACATAGCGGAATGAATGAACGAGGGCTGCCACCATCACTTCCACCGGTTGAGTCCCTAAGATCTCTTGACTATCTCCCAGCAAAAGGGTCGTTCTTTCTTTGTCAAGGAGAAATGATGTTTCGATAGTATCCCCGACTATGTTTGGCTGCTCCAACATTCCCCAGTAGTCAAAATCAGGGTTCGGAGCATCGGCCCTGAGTACATCCTCTGATGACAGACTGTGGGAAGCATATTGAGCCTGTAACTTGACCCAGTTTCGAAAGTCCATACTGGGCTCTGACTGAAGCGTTCCAGAGACCACCAACTCCTCCAGTTCCTCCAATATAACACGCCACGAGACGAGGTCAACCACCAAATGGTGTATGGTCAAGAATATATATTGAACCTCTTGGACATAACACGTTATCCCAGCAAGAGTTGGCCCTTTCTCCACGTCCAGCTGAGTCTGTATATCGCGGAAAGTTGCTGCCATTTTATCATAACTCATTTTCTGTGCAGGCAGTAGGATAAATGATTCCGATGTATCAAATGTGACCTTCTGTCGCCAAATGCCATCGGGTTTGCTTTTACCGTAACGGCAGCGAAGCATGGCATGTCGGTCAATTAGAGTCCGTATTGCCTGTTCGATTTCATTTTCCGGAATGTTTCTTGCGAGTTTGAGCGCAAAGCTCTGATTGAAATGGTTCTGCCCATTGGGCTGCTTCTCAAAGAACATATTTTGGATCGGGGCGAGATCGACCCAGTCGTCGATTTCTTCAACCACCAGCGCATCGTCGCTGAGCTCCTCAGTTACGTGTGCATGCACTGCCAGAACCTCGACAGTGCGATACCGCAAAATGTCCTGTACGCTGAGGCGAATTTTCATAGTGCGAAGACGCGACATCAGTTGCATCGCGGAAATGGAATCTCCACCGAGACCCAAAAAGGAATGTTCCAATCCAATCGAGTCCTTTGGCAAAGCGAGGACTACACTGATTGCGTCGCGTATTTGTTTCTCTAGGTTTGTGGTGGGCTGTCTTGTTGCTTTTGGATTCGACACATCCGCGATCGAGCGATATGTGGTCTCATCAATTGTCTCGAGCCAATTCTTCAGAAGATTTCGGTCCATTTTTCGGGACGCATTCAGAGGGATGGCTTTTAAAACTACCCATGCCGAAGGGATCATGTATCGAGGCAGCTTCTCTCCTAGATAGTCGCGAGTCGTTGTAACCAATTTGGCAGCGGTGTCCTTCTGGGAACTGTCAATTAGTTCAATATCCTTCACGCTTCTGCTTGCGATCATGACTAATGGATCATCAAGTGAGAGCACACAAACGAGTCTTCCAATGTAGAGCCCGGCGCTAGGGACAACGAGAAGTGCATGCTTGACCTGGGAGTTGAAGGAGAGATGGGCCTCGATTTCTCCAAGTTCAACTCTTTGACCATGGATCTTCACTTGAGTATCTTTGCGTCCGACGAAGCTGACAGTTCCATCTGAATTGTATCTCACGAGATCTCCCGTTTTATAAATTCTCCGATGCTCCTTTGGGGAATCGATCGGTAGCCACGGTGGGTTATTAACGAATGCAGCTTTGGTCTTCTCGGGGTCATTGAGATAGCCACGGGAGACCATTGGACCCTGCACAACCAACTCCCCGACAGACCCAACAGCGCTAAGCCGGGTGTGGTCTCCTGGGTTGACCACCCAGTTGACCGATCCAATGGCATGACCCAAAACGGCTGGATCACTGTTCGTAGTGCGAAGAGGATACGCGGTGCAGTACACACAGCATTCGGCTGGTCCGTAGGTGTTCCACAGATTAACATGATCTGCCCATGTTCGAACATTCTCCTTAGTCAAGGGTTCACCACCAAGTATAAGCGTTTTCAAAGTCGGAACCTCTTCTGGGGTAAACATGGCCGCGACGGTTGGAGTTAAAACTGCGGAATTTGCTCTTGTTCGGTTGATTGCTCCAACAATGTCGTTCATTCTTTCCATGTCAGATGGAATGCAGATGCAAGCCCCTCGAATCAATGAGGTGAGAATATCCGCGAAGTTCACATCGAATGTATAGGCAGCAAATTGGAATACTCTCGACTGCGAGCCGATTCCGAGGAGTTCGCCGTGAGCCACTGCACTCGAAGCAAACATCCTGTGTTCAATGACAATTCCCTTCGGCCTCCCAGTACTTCCCGAGGTAAAGGGAATATAAAGTGCGTTCCAAGGCTGGGCTCGGTGAGGCGTAACCGGATCCTCGCGGGGTGTGCGGTCGAGAAATTCCTGGCTCAAGGACACGACCGTAGATACAATCCCTTCAAACTTGGTTCTCAGCCCTGGAGTAGTAATTGCAATTGTTGCGCGAGCGTCTCCAGCAATCCCCTTTATTCTGTCAATGGGGTATTCGGTGTCTAATGGCACACCGGCACCACCGGCCTTGATGATGGCCATCATGGCGATAATGGTCATTACGGATTTGGGAAAGCAATACAGCACAAAGACTTCCGGCCCGACATTTGACTCAATCAGATAATGAGTGAGACGATTGGATAGCCTATCAAGTTGCTGATATGTAAGATCACCATCCCAAGAACAGATGGCCGGAGCGTGTGGTTGTGCATGCATTTGGGCCTCGATGAGCGCAGTCACAGACCGTGTCTCTACCAGGGGAAATCCGGCATTCCACTTCAACACCTGATTCAGATCGAGCTCACTGATTGCTCGTATCTCTCCAACAGACTGTGATCCGTCGAGCATGAGCTGATTTAGGATATTTTCGAACTGGCTGCAAATGTGTTCAACCTGGAAAGTACTGATCAGGAAATCATCAAACTCGATTCGAATAGTAACTTTGTCAACATTCAGTATGCATTGCACAGTAAAGGCGTAGGCATGCAGTTCGGTGGCCTGGATGGATGTGATCCCAGGGAAGATGCTGGCAGTATGCTCTTTCTGCCCTGGCTGGATAACAAGGATATGTTGGAATCCGCAGGCGAGGCGGCAATCGGAGTTGAGCTCTGAAATGTTTTGCAAGCCAGCCTGTTCGAACGGGATCATGTTGATTCCCTGGACTTGCAGTCTGTGAAGGAACGCGTCTACACGCTCGTCGACATCTATCCGCACACGAAATGGCACAGTAGTGATAGTAGGGGCCACCATCTCCCCGATTCCGGGCACGTCGGCATTTCTTCCACTTGTTGTCAGCCCATAAACAACATCATTGCCACCATCATGGTATTCGTTCATCAATATCGCCCATGCCGCCCGGATGAGTGTGGACTGAGTGACACCAGTCCCATCTAGACTGGAGATGTTGCACTGGTGTGCTAAAACCTCGTTCACCTGGGGCCGGTAGCCCACAACGGGTAGCTGGGGAAATTTGGGCGGCATGGAGCCTGACAACTGCGTCCGCCAGAAATCGTCCACGGATGCATGGTCTGCTGTCTGTATGTGACGAATAAAGCGGTTGAATGGAACAGTCAGCAGCGGGCTGGGGGCGATACGAGTATCGGAATGGTAGATTGCTGCAACAGTTTTCCAAATCATAGGTAGGGACCATCCGTCATAGAGGGCATGGTGGGCAGTCCAAACGAATTTTGTTGATCCATCGTGAGTTTCAGCAAGGGCGTATCTTGCAAGAGGACCTCCATAGGCAACGCCCTTCGCCAAATCCGACTGCAAATATTCCTCCACATTCGACGGGAACTGCCATTCGATACCTCGTGTCGTTACAACCTGACAGGTCCCCGCGGATTGCGTTGGAACAATTGTTGTACGGAGGATTGCGGTACACTTGACGGTTTGTTCCCAAGCCTTGCAGAACCTTGCCACGTCGATGGTTGGGGATAGCATGTAGACCGTCTGATGAGTATAAGTGCGCGGGTCGCTTTGGGTGATCACCATAAGGCCTTCCTGCAGTGATGTACATGGATAAATGTCTTCGATTTCTGAGGCATTCACCGCCCAGTCGCGAGCGATTTCAGCCAACAGGTCTGGAATTTCAACATTTAGTAGTGAGAACGGTTTGATCCTGACTTCTTCGTCGTCAATGAGGGGTTTGGCTGCCTGTGCCATGTCACCCAATCTCGGATGGCCAAGGATTGTGGATACTGAGAGGAGCAACCCGGCGCGCCTTGCCGCTGACGAGATACGCACAGCGAGAATAGAGTCACCTCCAAGTTCAAAGAAGCTGTCTTCGGTACCGATTAGATGGTTCTGAACATCGAATGCCTCGCACATTATGTGGTGCAGAATTCTCTCATTTTCTGTTTTCGGTGCTTGTTTCTTCAGACTGGAGCGATTGGGTCTACCCCATATTTGGTCAATTTGCAGGTACGAGGTTTTTCGCAGGATCTGGGGTGATCGAAACTGCTCCCCGTCTACTTTCAAGGTGTCAATTTCCTGACTGGAAGATGTTGGATAATCCAACGACCAGCCGGGAAGGCTTGCCGAGACATTCCAGTCAACTGGAGGAATTGCCTGATATGGATTCACAGAAAACCCTTCAAGGAACAGTACTCTCAGGGTATCGAGCAGACGAGCCTGAGCATCGAATCCTCGCCTCAAGGTGCCGGAGTAAGATATCACACCGGAATCCCCGAGAACCGCCTGAAGGGTCTCCTTGATTGGTTTGTCGAGTTGGGAATGTGGCCCGATCTCTAAGAGGAAATCAACTCTCTTTGAACTAGAGCTAGTTTGGCACAGTGTCTTCGTCGCTTCCATGAATTTAACTGCCGAAATCAAGTTGTTCGCCCAGTAATCTGCTCCAAGAATTGTTTCTCCAGTCTCACTCCCTGTTGACGAGGAGATCATTGTGACGGAAGGGTCAGCGCGAGCGCCCTTGACGTTATTCAATTCCTGCAAGAGCTCGGTTGCAATCTCAGCCATATGATGCGAATGATAGGCAGCGGCGCCGGTGTGAAGCTTTTGATTGAATATGCCCCTGGTGTCCAAGATCTGTTGTAGGCGTTCGATTGCACTATTGTCACCAGACACTGTGACACTCAAGGGACTGTTGGTGCAGGCTATATTTATTTTGGCAGTGGTGGCTGCATCTGATGCGGTCTTGATCAAAGCAGTGACCATTTCGTAAGATGCACCAACCGCTAGCATACTACCATGAAGCCCTCTACCCTTTCTTTTTAGGGCACTGATCAGGCGGCCACTATGGTATGACACCGTCACTGCCTCTTCAAACGAGACTGCCTTTGCGCAATAAGCAGCCGCCAGTTCACCACTAGAGTGTCCCAAAACAAAAGATGGAACTACTCCAAGCTCGACGAAAGTGTCTGCAACCGCAAGCTGGACAGCTATCGTCAACGGGTAGGAAATTTCCGGCTCGTCAATTCGTGAACTTTCAGGATGCTTGGTGAGTTCCGTCACCAGGTCCCATGGACAGCCGATTGCAGCCAGATGTTGAGACGCCCGAGCGATTGACTGCGCGTATATAGGGCAAACATCAAGCAACTCATGTCCCATTTGCGGATATTGCCCACCTTGGCCGCTGAAGATAAACGCCATTCGAGCGGAGCCCTTTCTTCCCTGTCGAATGATGGGCTCTTGCTCCAGTTTCTGAAGTTGTCCCACCAGATCGTCCAATCCATACACCAGAAATGCCACCCGATACTCACGTATCGGCCTCTGGCTTAGGTTCCATGACAGCTGATCAAGCAGAATATCGGGATCGACCGATTGATCTTGCCCTATGGCATAACGTCCAACACTTATAATCAGATTCCGGCAATCCTCTTGACTTTCGGCGCTCAGTACGATGAGTCTAGGTCTCAATGGTCTCTCCTCCTGAGCAGGTGGGATTGCGCGAGTGTCGGGTGAGCCAATCGCGATACGAGTGTCCGATACTGGTGTTCCTTTGCATGTTGAATCACGATCTTCTGGTAGATAATCAGTTTACGAACAACAAACAGCACAGGATGTTCAATTACCAATCGATAAGGTCATAGATACCGGAACTTCAGCGCTGTTTGGGATCTGCTGACTGTCGGGTTCACCCATTGGAAGAGACATCTAAAGGATAATAACGACCTTGCAACGGTCTACAGTATTAGCCGAGACAAACAGTGCGGTACAATGGATTCCGAACAGAAAATGATCTAAAAATTCTTTCAGGCACTTTACAAAGGCACAGCTACGAGCAACTTTATGTCCTGGTTGCTTCCAGGCTTCATCTTTCTGCATCTACATCAATTCCGCTTTCATTCTAGTTTAGAGGATAATAATATCAACTGCCTGCATGGTCAGCAAGCAGGCAGTGTTTCATACATGTTAGCCAATAAAAAGAGCATATACTGTCCTTTCATCTCGCTGAAGTGAATAGATATGGAGAACATCGTATACAACTTCTGTCTCGAGTCCAGACCACATTGCCAACGCCAAACATTAGCTTCATGCCGCCAATGTTTAGTCTTAGGCGTGCAGGGCAATTTGCCGTGCGTTGATGATGAGTGGCGGTTTAGCCAGGCAAGGACAATATCCCAATACCTCGTAGTCAGAGCTAGCACGTACATTAGTCTGTTTTCCCTGGGAGTGGGTGGTAATTCCCCTGGGACTGCCGTGAATCTTTCGATACATGTGTTATATTTCTCAATATACAACGCATCCCAGCCCTCTACGCGAAACAACTCGGCCGGTCAGAGTGTGCCTTCGAATAGAATGTGCAATACAATGCTTACATGCTCGTTATTGCATATATGATAACTCCGTTACTCCAAATATACATTGATATAAATGACTCAAATGCTCAAAAAGCCATCAGCGCTAACAAGGTAGTTAGTTTAGTGTAGTTCAGCCCTTCAGGCGTGTTACGTTCTTATTCGATTTCCTAAGTAACTTCCTAATCGAGACTAGTGACGAACGGGATGGAGTTCAGATCCCGGCGATATGCAAGCCACGCCGCACTATAACCTGAGAAGGTGCGTTCCGCATGGATACTGCTCCGTAATACTAGTCAGATACGGATACGGATACCTGCATCGATGTATGCCGCCCAAATTACATACGTTGTTATAATACATACATGTACACAAATGAATACAACATACAGCAATACAACAATACATACAACAATACAGACAACAATACAGACAAACAGTCTTGTAGACATGGCGACGTACATAAATACTGGCATACGTATAGACATCTAGGTATGTACAGAATGTACGTAATTACCTAGGCACCAACTGACGTCAAATCATATATTACATACATACATACACACATACATACATACATACATACATACATGCATACATACATACATGCATACATACATACATGTATGTATCCCTTGGAGTAGACAAGACCGGTGTTGCAGAGTAAATGTCTCATCTTCCCCGGGAGATGCTACAGGGGTTGCGTGATATCTGCATCAAGGCGAAAGGCAATGAGGACAAGGATTGAATTTGCATCGGGCCAAAGTGGGGTTCCATAGGAATCTTACATGCTCAACAGTATTACATCCAAGGAATTATACCCAATTCAGCATATGGGCCAATCTATTCAAGGTTCATTGTGGATCGATGCTTGACGCTCCTTCGACCCACACCTCAGCGCAGCAGTATGTATTACCACTCAGCCTCAACAAGCAGAGTCGTCCGATTGTCAAAATGAGATGGCCGTTTCAACCCGTGCATGAATGCTTGCTCGTAACGGTAGGAGGAGTAGCTGTCAGTGATGCAATATCGTTAGTTGCACTAACAGGTAGTTCCCCACATAAATCACACGTAGTCCATAGGAAGCTAACATTCAATTGGACAGGTATCAAGAAGGATTCCTCCGTAGTTGAAAACAATTTTTGCATTCTTCCTTCTTTTGAAGAGAACATCGACGGTGCCTCTATCATCTCGAGAGAGATCATGCCTATTGAAGACAACACACAGTACAGAAAGGCGTCCTATTGATATGACTATCATTCCCTTGTACAATGGTTCAGACCATCGTTATGATGACTGTAGTTGAGGTGAGATTCGTGATGAAAGACGCATATTTTACTTATGCTACTGCACTTTAGAGCATCATTATTGGTGGTTCTTGCTGCCTCCGAGAAGTGATGGTTTCCCGCTGAAACATCTTGAGATTTGACGGGGTTCTTAGATTGGTTCGGGAGTAAGCCAGCAGGCTATGTAGTCAACTGGCGCCTCAACGAAATCATCAAGATCGAATGCATTATGCCACATGCAGTATGGAGTAGGTGGGCTATGAATCAAAGGTTATACATAGAAAAGCCTTTTGCACAGTTTTTGCTTTTTACTGCTTGTGTCTACACCTAAGAAGACATCAAAAAAGACATATAAAACGAACATTCAAAAAAACACGTCAGGGGTGCTCATGTACATATAACATCCCTAACACCATCTTGGTCCAAATAGATTAGATTTGTAAAGTCTTAAGTCGTCAAGGACAGGGGCCGCATAAGCGAGCGGCCGACTATTCTTGTACGGGTGTGGAAAAAAAAACAGCCTGAAAGGATGTAGTGCAACAAATCATATTTCTGGTGAACTGGAGTTAAGCTATAAGTGGTCACGTGGTATGGGGTGAGCTAGGTGTGAGTTTATCACGTGATAATATCAACGGTCATGTGGTCCACTCGCTGCCATTATGTAATTTTACGTAATATTCGCTGACACGTTGATCAGCCTCAGGCAGCTCATCAAAGAGTCTAGAGCCATTTTGCCTCAGGCAACTGCATTACGTCGTCTCATGAATTCCAATCTCTATGTTGACTTACTACTGCTCATTGATGCTGCTTTTTGAGGGGTTACCTGACCATTCTGAACCATTTCATTCCCAGCCTTTTTCTCTTCTTCCAACTTCTCGCTTGATCTCAGCTCTTAAGCACTGTCACGGAACGCAGCCATAGCCCAGCAGGCAGTGGGGTCGTCCCCGCATCAACCATAAACAATGGGTTCAGGCCAGTCGAGTGAGCAGGGTGCATCATCCCCAGGTGAGTTATATCTGTGATATTCACGGTTGGCCTCAGGAGACGCACGCATATCCTACTCTCTTGATTGACCGCAATTGTCATAATATGACCTCGACTTTGACATGGATATCTCTTCGTCTTGTCCATAACAGTTGTACCTAACCACATGCATAAACAGAGGAGTTGAGCTCCGTGCTCGCTGAGCGCTTCGCCACAAAATGCTTTACGCCATTAGAGCTCACGCATTTCAAAGACAACTTCTTCTCTCGTGCCTTAGAGCAGGGAGGCATGCGGTACTGGAATGAGAAAGTCCTCTCAGACTTCTTGGGCATCCCAGATGGTATCTTTGCCTCTTCGCAGGAACAGCCGTTGGATGCAGGACCGGTGATCTTTCGCATGGTTTCTTATCTGGGGGCCTTTCCATTCCAAAACACGCTCGCGCCCAGTGTGTTGACATTTGAGGCCATGGTTAAGGTGGTTGTGCTTTTGACTGAGCGTTATGGGAAAGCGCTGAAGCGGGGACACAAAGATCGAATTAAGTTACTCTTTGGCAGTTTGGCTGATGTGGGGAGGAAGACCCCCGCAGAGTCCAATGGGGAATCTACCACCGAGGATTTTGAAGCTTCGGTTGAGCATTCCCATGCGCTGGGATTCTCTATAGATGAACCGGCCAACGACGAGTACGATGAAGATGAGGACGATGACCTTGCACTTGCAGCTCTGGAATCCCTTGATGCGATTGAAGTATTCAAACACGATCACCGTGTTGACAAGACCGTTTACGAAACCCGGATTTCTGTCGATACGTTCCGCCGGTTGCTTATGCTACTGTTTGTCATTGCACCACTGAAGCCATTGGAGTCTTTGAAGGTATATACGTGTGGGCTGGATGTTCGGCGTATGGAATCGGTTAAGAAAGAAGCAGACAGTATCATTGCAGCCTTCTCACCGGAAGAGAGCGATGGTGGGATATCTTACAAGGCTTTTGCCAGGACGATATCACTGTCTCTGCCATATCTGTTCGATCCGCTGACTGCTCTTTTCGAGCACATGCTTTTCAGCAAAAATTTGAACCTATCCCAACGCCGCCATAAGGGTCTAGCCACGGAGACCGAACAGGAGAAGAGCGAGGAGAACGAAGAACCTCCCTTGCCACCGGCTACACTTACACTTCCGGGCAGTTTTGAGTCGGCCATATTAAACGCAACACTTAACTCGCATCTTTCATTCTTCCTCCCATCCACATCACCCGATATCAATATCCTCCGAAGTAGCGTCAAACTACATCCCGTCTTCTCCACAAGCGCCCACGGGTCTTCCTTAACATATTTCTCCCACCATGTCCTTACCTGGCAATCTGCCACCCTCCTCCTTCTGCAAGGATCTCTAGCAGACTCCAATAGCGAAGAGTTGATAACACTAGGCGCCTACATTCCCCAGGCGTGGAAAACCTCCACATCGACCTCAGGCTCATCTTCGAAAACTTCCGACCTCCTCCCCTGCCTCTTCCAACTATCCCCAAAGCATCTCCTCCTCCCAGGCAACCCTTCCCCATCAGCAAAGAAGCCCAACTCCCCAACCGCCTATTTCTCAACCAACACCGGCATCGCAATCGGCTGCCGAATCCCCGCCCCCTCCCGCACACACCAAACCTACCCGACCCCAGACGGTGCAGGTAGTCTCATCATCGATTCGAACATAGAGACAGCCGAGTTCCACGCCGCACCCGTCGGACACGACGGCGCCTTCTTACCCGCTGCCAACACATCCACCGAAGACCCGCCCACAAAGCTCAAGCTCGATCTGTATACCCTAGAGATTTGGGGTATTGTCCCAGATCCGGAGTCATCGTTCTCTGCAGACCCGAACTCGAGTCCGGTGGAGATCCAGCGTGCAAAGTGGGAATTCGAGGCACGGGAGGCTGAGCGCCGTCGTAATATCAATATCAAGGCTGGGGCTGGGGATCCGGGGACCGAGAGTGCGAGGTGGCTTTTGGAGGCGGCTGGTATTATTGGGGATGAGGCGAGATATTCTGGTGGGAGGGGTTAAGGGGGTTGGTTCCTGTTAACCGAGACAGCGTTTGTTTGAATGTGTTACGGGACGAGGCTGTGGTATAACTTCTGCGACTTGGTGTCTTTGGTGCTGAGATCGGAGCGAGGTTACCGTAAACATATATTAATTGCCTGCCCAACAGGCCTGAATTTTCCGGGCCACCAAAAGCTCGCGGCGTTTTTAGCGATATCTTGCTACACAATCCAGCTGCCGTTTTGTTAACATACATGTAGTTGGGGGCATGATACTACTTCCGAGAAACGTGGGAGTTAGAGATGACAACTAGTGCATCTCTAAACGCAAGGGCTTCAATATTCCAGTATCGTAGATTTAATAACTGGCACAAGTAGAACTTTATTTAGTGTACAAAAATCAACCCAGAGGCATCTTCGAGGTTCGGAGTTCCATATAAATGCGATATGTTCAGGGACTGCCGTTACCGCCGGGCCCTTCTCGTTCTCAACCGCTTGTGTCAGCGGTTGACAGATCGATGCTAATTAGTGACTCCATCTTTATAGAAGGCTACGTCTGGTATCGAATAACCACTGGACGCAATGATCCATGGACCCTCGGAACGCCCCTAGGAGGATACAAGCCCATCATCATGCTTTCAACGGCGGCAGCCCGCTCGGCGCATCATAGAAATCCTTGAGATCTTCTTCATCCTCTTCGAATTCGAACCCAGAATTCTCCGCCTCGGATTCATCGCCAGCGAGCTGAACACGGGAAAGACGACTGCGAGTTCCGGTACCGACATTTCCCGAAGAAGCAGGTGTCCCGTCCTTTTCGAACGATTCTGATGTCGCCTCGCGAGGCAAACGCATGGCCAAGTACCCATCTGGGGCACGTTCGGCGCGGTCCATGATATCGTTCATATATTTGCGCACTTCGTCGGCTGGCTTGACGACTCGGGCTAGAGGCTCGAGGATTTTGGCATTGGGGGCGTGGATGCGGAATGTGACTGGTTGCCAGTATTCCTTAAGATCCGCCTCATTGGAAGGAGTCCCTGGGAGGCCGGGTGTTAGGAGACCTGTTTGGTCGGCGGGTTCCTGCTTTTGTGGCGTCCCGGTTGTAGGCGTGCCTGGCTGGGGGCTGGGGGCTGGGCTATCGGTTGGTAGTTTGCCCTTCTCGGTTTTGGGTTTCGTTTCACCCTTCTTCGCTTTAGATGCTCCCTTGCCTTTGCTTTTGGAGTTGGCGGCTTCTGTGGCGGTTTCGAGAGGGAATGCTGTGTTTGGAGCAACCTTCCGGACTACCAAAAACGAGGCGATGACCGTGTTCTCGGCTGGGAGCCATTCGAGAATGGTGTACTCGGGGAAGAGATAGCGGTCACCCGAACCGGCGTGGCCTGAAGTACTGCTTCCATATGGAGTTAAGGGAGATGTGAATTCAAACACCACCGACTTGTAGTTCACCGGTGGAGATCCAAGTGGGGAGACGTAAGGAATTGGAGGTGGGCGGGGGAATGGAACAGGAGTACCAAATTGGGGTGGCCGAGACTGAAGTGGAGGTTGTGACCCGTAAGCAGGTTGTTGGTGGGTGGCATATGGTGGTCGTGCTCCTGGCTGTTGAGCGCTGGCTGCGGGTGTCGGGTTCACCATAGGAGTCTGCTGCTGAGAAGTTGAAGCAGGGGTTGGAGTGCTTGCAGCACCAGGAGTCGCTGATTGGGTCGGTACCACCGGGCGCCCTGCTTCGGACAGCGCAGGCTGGGAGCCGCTGTGCTCTGTGGCTGATTCCTCTTGCTTGATGGTGCCCGACCCAGTGGCGCTCTGGGGAGGTTTAGGAGCCTGGCTCGGCGCGGCTTGAGCAGGGGTCTGAGGCTGCGCCTCGGTCTTCACAGGTGGTTGCTTGGAACCTTTGGATGGGGTCTGCGACTTTTGTGGGGATTTCTCCAGCGATACTGACTTCGTCCCACCATCTTGTTGTTTCTGAGTTTGAGATTGTGGTGTAGGGGTTGACTGTTGTGTGATTGATTGTGCTGTTGCAGATTGCTGCCGTTGTTCTTGTTGCTCCCTTGATTTGATGATTGCATTGAGTTCGTCGATGTGTGCTTGGAAAGCCCGGAGCTGCTCCTGGGATGCTTGGCTTGAGGCAACAACACGCATCAAGGCCTTCAGTTCAGGGTCCGCAGCTGCCCTTGTAGCCAGCATTTGAATGACAGGATCGGGACTGGGCTTGGCAGGCAGGCCCTTTTGCCCTTGTGGTGGCTTTTGTCCTCCTTGAGGAGAGGGTACATTGCCTTGGTTCGGGCCACGAGGTTGTTGGGGCGAAGGGTGGCTGCCTGTATATCCAGGGCGACCCGGAGGGGCGGGAGAATATTGCGAAGGTCGTTGTTGATTCGATGGAGTGGGATATGGTCGGTATTGTTGGAAGTTATTAGGGTGGCCATAGTGAACCATCGGTCGTTGCGGGGGTGCGTATTGGAGTGCCGGCGGCGCACTGGGATCTTTGACAATGTAAATCATGGCATCAAAGAAATGGGGACCGATGGTGACATCGCAGGGCCCAATTTTTGTCATGGTGTCTTTTGATGGGTTGTTCTTCTCGATCTGTTCGCGCTTCGTCTTCTTCGGCTTTGTGTAGTATCGAACAAGGATGCCATCGCTCAGCCACTTTTTCTTCGATCGTTCGAGTGAAGCGAGGAGAACTGCACTGTTGATATAAGAGAGAATGTCAGTCATGCAACTCCAATGGGGGGGGCGCGATGCCAAACCTTTCAGCGATTGACTGGTACTCTTTGTCCGACAAGGAAAGTGGCTGTCGCATGCGGACAATAGGCAAAGGATCTCCATCCTTGACTTTTGTTGGTAAAGGGGCGTCAACTGGTTCAGGCGATGGAGCGCGAGGAGTTGGCGCCTTTTTCTTGTGAGACTGCGGCGTGGCTTCGGAGACACGCCTTTTGGCTGCAGATTCGCGGCGGTCACGCGCCGGAAGTTTGCGCTTTTCGGCCATGGTGAATTCAATGAGATAATCACGATGCCCACGACGGAATTATAAGTAACATCCTATAGCGAAAGGTTGGAGGGGGATGGAGGGAGCGTAGAAGGAGGGTGGAAGGAAGAAATGAGAGAGACGCGATAACGCGCCGCTTATCAGCGCCGTCTCTTCCAAGATTGTCCGCTCACCTCCGTCTCAACAGACATCATCTCAACTCCTGAACGCATAATGGTTGAGCTTAAGCCTATTTTTAGGAAGGCCTACTGGTCTCTTGCAGCGGGTGGTCTACTCTATGTGCTGTGTCTCCTCTCCTTGACATTCCCAGAGGTCCAACGTTTGTATGTATCTAGTCCCGCGGTCCTCGGCCCTACCTAGGTACGCTCAGAGTCAGCTAACATAGATAACACAGTGTTCTTTATGCCAATAAGATAAACCCCACCCTATGGCAGGATGTCAACCAAGTTGAGCAATTTGGATTTTTGAGTATGGCCTCTTTACCCAGCTAAACCCAACCGAAGTATGTATGCTAACCGATCCCCAAAGGAACACAAGTTCAACCGTTTCATTTGGTGACGCCCGACAATGAAACTATCTATGGGTGGCACTTGATGCCCTTGCATCTTTGCCTAGAACACGAAAAGGAATTAATGGAGAATCCCTCTACGGGCCCAGCGGAAGATTACACGAAGACCGTTGCCCACAAGCTTCTCGCCAATGACCCCAATGCACGAGTCGTCGTAAGCTGTAGGTTATAGACAACCTGAATTGACACTGCAACAAGCTGACATTTGAGCAATCAAGTCCACGGAAATGCGGCGCACTTGGGTTCTGCTCAACGCCCTGCGACTTACAACTCGATGCTGAGCCTGTCTACCCCGTCAAACCCAGTCCACGTCTTCGCAATTGACTATCGCGGCTTTGGCGTTAGCACTGGAACTCCCACAGAGGAAGGCCTTATCACAGATGGCGTGTCACTCATTAACTTCATTACCGCAGGGCCATTAAGGGTTCCCACTTCTCGCATCGTCATCGTGGGCCAAAGTCTTGGGACTGCGGTTACAACCGCAGTGGCAGAGTGTTTTGCATTCGGATCATCTGATCTTGCAGCTATACAACCAGCCATCAAGAACGCCGAGCCATTTGCCGGTGTGGTCTTACTAGCATCCTTCAGCAGCCTACCCAATCTCATCGAATCGTACAGCTTCAAAGGCCTCACGCCCCCAATGCTGTCCCCCATCATGGGATATCCTCGGTCTCAGAAGTGGTTATTGAGCCATATTGTGGACCACTGGGACACGGCTGGGAGACTGGCGCGTCTTACGGGCGTCAATACTACTTCCTTGAACGTTGTAGATATGGACTACACCGATAAAAGCCTCGATCTGACCATAGTTCACGCTTTCGACGATGCCGAAATTCCCTGGTACGAAGGACGCCGCGTTTGGGAGGCTGCCACGGGCCGACACATCAAGGGTGCCCCGGGCGCTATGACGTATCACAAAGCCGAGGACGGCAACCCTAGCGAGGTCAAGATCTGGAAGAATGAGATCAGCAATGAAGATGGCACTGAGATTGTGAAGAAAGTCAGATGGGAACGGATTCGATACGGTGGTATGTTGAAGCAACACTCTCTTGCCGTGAAGTCGATGGACTGACTTGTATTATTTTAGGTCACAATCGCGTTGCATCGGGCTCCGTGGCTGGTGTCGCTGTTATGAGGGCTTTTGAGCAGTAATATCACCGGACACATTGATGGTATGTATGTACACAGAAAAAAAAGCCCTGGAACATATGGTCGCTTTTGGCGCAGTTACAAATACCCCATAAACCAAATGAGGAAATTATGTCTTTGTACAATGCAAGGTTTGTCATTGTCCTCCTTGTGTTTGCCCTGCTTTTTACCTAAGATTTGCATTCAGGTAGCATGTGAGTTGCCAATATGTCTTTCAACTTGCGATCTGGCCAGTTTGCTAAATGTCTGGGATGTTAGGCCATTGATCCTGGCACTATAAATACCAGCATGCTGCCCACCTCTGGCTTTTTTCTTCACAGAAACAACATCCCCTGGTTAATAGTATGCAAATATTTAATTTACGGATTTTCTATATATTACCACAAACTTTTTATATCTTCTCGGTCCAGTCAATTGACTTTCCTTCCTAGTGCCTTTACTCTCTGACTACACACAATTTTGAACGAGATGAGGGGTACTTGTCTATTGTGTTGTCTAAGATAGACGTTCGCCCAATCCCCTTAAATGAGGCTAATTGCAGCCTTGATATGTGGCTCCGCCACGTCCCTGGTTCCAGTCAACTTGTTATTATCTCACTCAATTATTCACACTGGCACAGTCCACAGCCTCAGCTTTCTCGTGCGACAAGCTCCCCTTCTGAGTCCGACGAGTGTGTAACACACCAGTCCTCCAAGGCTGCCTCTCCCACCGTCACTCAACAGCGTCATACAACCTCGTCTACCTCGTTTCAGCACATACACACAGCCAGCGAGACTTCAATCATCAGCATCCGGTCAACCGATTCTGACATTCAGGTTGTACCATCGAGTCGTGAGGCAACCGGCGATATAAACCAATATGCACAAGATGGTGAAGGCAACAACATATCCCTGCTCCAATGTCTCCGTGTCCAGTTCCCGGTGGCTCTTCTAAACCCGCCCTGCGATCCTCTTCCTTCAGGCTTTCTGAGGTCTGCTTGCACTGCATTCTTGAGGCCCACAAGCGAAAACTACATTGATATAATGATTGGTCCAAGTCACAGCACCAGGTCGATAGTCAGTATAAAGTGCAAGAATGATCCGAGCCTTTTCGTTTGCTTCAGACGGGCTACTTCAAGCTGCCCACTTTTCCACTCTTTCCTCCTTTTCTTCTTTTCACTTGTCATTTCCACTTTTCTCTTCCATATACTCAACTTGCGGGGTTCCTCCACTACACCCTCGTATGGAGGCTGACCCCAACAACTGGATGTGGTTGCGCCACCGTCCAGCCAGCTCCCCAAACCCCTGTCGTTCCCAATACCATCCCAACCGAAACCAGCCACTCCTTCACGGTCCAGGTTCCAGCTATTATCCATGAGCTCATCTCCGTTACCCATTCCGTCTCCAGGACTGATCTCTTCATTTTGTCCTCGCGCGCGTGGTTAGGTTCAAACTCAAGTTTATACTGTGGTGTTAACGCTAACAATGCCGGTATAGGCTGTAGTGCCTTATGCACTTGCTGGACGTGAACCAAGAGTTTCACTTCACATCAACTCAATCTTTGCTACACCCTCCTCGTATCCCACACGTACTCGATCATCGACACCGGACACTAGGTGGTTTTAGTGGCCAGAGCTTAGACTGAATTGGGGGTAGCGACCCTCGCTACGGACAAGCATGAGTTGCGACTGCCCAACCTTGGGTCTAAAGAGGACAAGCACTCTGCTCTACGTGATATGAACGCCCTTATTTCTGATTTCGATCAGTCGATACCCCTACTTTTGCTAGCCTTTCCTACCCTCTTCCTCTGTTGCAGTTTGGAAGTCTCGCCCTCGCACGGTCACATTCACCCAGTGGATTAGGGATCTCATGAAGCATCAATACACCTCCTTCACCCAGAATCCTCATTTTCAGTTCGTTGCATCCAATATGCCAATACAGCATTAAGCGCATACCAGCGCCATGTTGTTTGTAAGGGGCCGGCCAGATCGGAATTTGTCCGCGCATGGCCTTCGGTCTGCTTTTGAGAGCCGCGAGCATGCGCTGGAAATCTACCATCAATAGACACATGTAAGCTTTGCGGGTAAAATAGCACGCGAATCCAGATACTGACCCAAGTGGCAGATACGATCCCGCTTAGGATGGCGGTTCACGCCAGGGAGTGGCGCGTCCAGTGACACCGAGAGTGGACAAATCAAACCTCCAGACAACCAGGGGATTGTTTCACTGGTAGTGGTCGGCGTAACATGCGCCGGAGGTTGATAGAGATCGTCAACTTCCCTGTACGAAAACGGACAGCTGGCGTCGCCGTGGACAGCGAGGAGTGAAGCAACGAATGGCCAAACCGCAAGAAACGAACACAAAAGGAATGGTAGATGTTCGACCAGCGGGATCAGCGCCCCAGAGCATTGAACACAACCAATCGACTCTAACAACGCTAAGCAAAGCCAACGAGACTGGAGACAACAAGGCTGAGCCCAACGACCATCACAGCACCCAGAACAACGGAAAGCAGCTACCGTTAAGCATGGTTGTATGGGAAGACTTGGAGTTTCATTTGCTTCAAAATGTTTCTCTTTGTTGAGCGAGGGCGTTCTCAGTCCATCTTTTGTTCTTCTTCTGGCGGTTTGACCCAGCCTTCCCACTAGGATACATCAAAGGCTATGCAGTTTTAACTGGCTTGTGACAAAGGCCTTTCTCCTAGAGATACTTACCTGGAGCTACATTTGAAGCACGATCCGGTTTGAACTCAGTCGATTCAATTATCCGGGTGGCCCTTCGGCCACTAGGACATACCAACTGTCCCGGGCATGGCCCCCGCAAACCTATACAAGAAGAGACACAATCCCATTTTGATATTGGGAAAAAAGAGGATTTCTTAATTGAACACGCTATATACCACCATTGTGATTTCGAGATGACTCACAGACAGGGCCTCAAGGAGCATTGGATGGATTGCACTGGTCCGGGCTTGGATACCACCTGGTTCAAACTGGGAAGTACGCTTTGCAGTAGCTGTGGCAAAGAATTCACAAACCAGGAACTTTCCACACGCAAACGCAGTTGCGTACATGTGAGGTGCCGCCACTGCCGCGAGAAATTTTTAGTGGACGAATGAAGGTCGGAGTCAAACGCCTTCACATACCACAAGGCTGGTTTCTTTACGGGGCTTCTCGTGCAGAGCATCCACCATCCGAATCGACTATATACCAGAGCAGAAATTGAGAAAAAAGTGAAGTATACACCTACCAGGGCAACGCCTCAGTGGACCAGGCATGGTCTTAGGAGGCAACGAATCTCGTATTAGGTGATCTAGTTAAACCATTAGCTAGTGAGGCCTCAATTGCAGCAGGTTTCCGAGGTTTGGAATCCATCGTGCCATTGTAATTCAGTCACACCTCTTGCCTCCCCATTTCATTCGTTTATGTATTGCTCTCTGGTGGTCCAGTTGTAGTGCTGACCCAAAATTTATATACTCGAACTTCGCACGAATCACTTTAATATTCAAATGTCTTGTCGAACATCTGTGTCTAGTCGAAGTTCTAGCGCCCGTAGAGTACCGCCATCTTCCTGTACACCTCCAATTCATCTTTCTATCGCTTGTTTCCAAGCTCCTTTTTAATTTCTTTTGAAACATCATGGCTAACCATCCATGATCATGTCTTCAATGTACAATATCTCATAACTTTCATCAGACTGTAGAGAGATGTATAAAAGTTGGCTGCTAGCTGCTGCACAAACCCCGGTTAGAGTAATGGCCCCTAAAGCCGGTAGTGCGATTGACTTTCCCTTATCCGTATATCATCCTGAGTGTATTGGCCCCCAGAGAAAACTAAAGCAAAGGACCTTGAACGATGCAACCTCAATGCCCTTGTTAGCATCCGATTGGCTCAATAATGACAGGCGTCTCACATTGCCGTGTGGAATTAAAGGTGGATCCTTGAACCCTTGGCTCCCGCGTGCCAATTTCATATAAGTGGGCCTCATTTTGAAACGTAGCTTTAGGGCTGATCCTTTCAATAGTGTATATCTGTCTGCATTGGAACTGCCAGCCCAGTCATGACGATCACTAGTGGAACTCCAGTACCTATCACATCCAAGAGCTAGAACCGAATTGGGAGCACAATTTCGACATAGAATAGGTCATAGAAATTTATGTTGACCATGCCAAATCCGCGGGAGCGAGTGAGTGGTCGGCCCATGAACTAGATACAAGCTCCAATCTGGCTAACTCAGGCATCGATCCTTTGATTTCTTGAAACCAGTCGTGCCAATTGTACGGAACGCAAAGCTGCAGTCGAGTCCACTCCCGACCTTCCAAGAGTCTTTTCCATGGTTCAAGGAACACCTTCCCCTTTTCATAGGTATAGAAAAACTCTTGACCCTCACAGGGCGGCATTTGAAGTAGCACACGTAGCCGGAGCACGCCGCGGAAACTCTTCTCAATTAACCCAAAGAACGCGTAATAGGTTGCCATCCAGTCCTCCTCAGCTTGCCCCGGGTTCCAGAAGCCAACAATAAACGAGATGTCCATAGATGTCATAAGAGATGCACAACGCGGTGCCAAAATCCTTGATATCAGAAAAGGGGTGTCCATAGCCTCGTTCATCACAAAGACATTCGTCCCATAAAGAACTTCCAATGCTTCTTCATATCTGTACGATAATAAGTCAATGCTCTGACAGTGGAAGGATACCGACTTACCCGATTTGACAACATCTCAGCCACTCCACGCTGCCAATTTTGGGGCTCGGTGTGTGCATGTACGCCTCACGGCCCGAGATTGAACAGATATCCTCAACAGGATCATCGATAAATTCATCAGAATGGTCACAAACAGCATGCCGCCAGCGCCAGCGAGGCTCGCTCTGCGGTTCCGGCGATGGCTTTCTCCAAAAATACCGAATATGCACTCGCCAATCGCCCATAAGCTCGAGGTATATCAGCCTCCTGATCTCAGCCGGGAGACGAAAGAGCGGACTTTGCTGCTGGGAGCTTTTCTGTCAAGCTCCAGGGCTGCGAGTGCGTTGCTCTGGTTGGATCGGCAGCTTCCATAAGACAGTACTCGGTTTACTAGATTGGATCTATTCCAAAAAGACAATAGAAAGCCAGGAGGTATGTATGCTATGCAATTGATTGAAGGTTTTTCTGGGTCCCAGAATATATGTTCTATGCTATTGTGAATCACGTAGAAAAACCCCATTGTCGCTGGAATAGACAATAGATTGTATTCAAGTGTTGCCATTGACAATGAAACCCATTCGAGTTCGAGTTCTTCTACTTAACTTGGACTCAAGCTTCTTCTACTTGAACCAGTTCCCTCTTCCCAAACATACTCTGCTGCATCACCATCTTTTATTGTAAGCTCGGTCGAGGTACAAGTCAATGCCGTCTTCCGTCTAACAATGTCCCTCTCATGCAGCTTCAAAATGCCAGCAAGACCAACAGACAGGACAGCAAAAGTCCAGAGATTCCCTGTTCCTCGATCCGACCCCAGCTAGCGCCTTTGGCCAAAGATCCGCGGCGAAATCATCAAAAGGATTTGCCTGAACAACTTTCTGATCAACTTTTTTCAGTACGGTAATGGAAACACTGCAGACAGCAACCACACCACCGTTGGGATTTTGCTAGACAACAAAGACAAAAACCGCATCAACCCCACAAAAAAGACAGTGCGGTCCATTCTCGACAGGAAAGAGCTGAAGTGGGTGGAAATTTTCTTCGAGGAAGGCCGAATTTTGCGCGGAGCGTCGAGCACCGGGAAAGTCGATGACCGCGTCTTCACGCGCCCTTCAATGCTCGGGCAGAACGTTGCCCTCAAGGTCAACACTGAGAGTTTCGGGACCCAAAACCCAACCCAAACTTAGTGACTAGGGCCCTAGAAAACCCAGATTAGGCGCAGTTCGACCGAGCTTTTATATAAATAGGGGTCTTGGCGGTCATAAACCTGTAAAATCAGCAGAATTATACACATCATTAGCGTGTTTGTTTAGTTTATAACCCAATTTGGGGACCCAGACCCAGTACTGGGTTACCTAGTCTGACCCAGACCCATTACTGGGTCGAATGGCTTGACCCAAAACCCAACCCAGACTGGGTTAGGTCTGGGTTTTACTGGGTTTTACTGGGTCATTAGGAAGACTAATAACAACCACACTTCTTCTAAGAAGTGTGTGGAAGATATATAGAATTAGTATGTGTTGGACCATGTCGGTCATCCTATTGATGCCTTTCTCTAGTCATCTCATTGATGCCTCCATTTGTTTGCAGACTGAGTCTGTATTTCTGTGTTTGGCAGGGTATAAATCCCCTGCTTCAGATAGATTGAATAGATCATGATTCCTCTTCTTCTTCTCTCTCTCCCATAGCTCGTAGCTACAACAGTATGTACAGACCCTTTATTAATTACCTCACTATCTCTCGCGTTTCAGGCTATCAGCATGGGAACCGCGCATCACCAGTCTCATTTGTTTAGTACTTGACCCGTCACGTGCTGGCTTCTGATGCTGTTATGCGCTCCGTACTTTGGACATGAGACTACCTTAAGCGAAAGGGTGGGGGTCGTGGTTTCGAGATGATCCTCGTCGGTCGCCTCGTTAGAAGTTCGGCCAAGAGTAGGTCAAAATTTGTCACTGAGAGCCAAATAATAGAGTTAAGATTAATTTATTTAAATTAGTCTCGACGAGTAAAGTTTAGTAAAGTTCTAAAAGTAGAATTTTGCTTAAATTGAAACCGATTCAAGCTAGTTGAGGCCCTTCATTCATCATCCTCCAGTGACCTCGGGAGAGAGCCACAGCGGCGATACATCCTAATAATTGAACTCCTGGCCAACAAGCTTCTCACTAAGCACCCACAATCTCTGCGCATCGATCTTGCTTAGGGCCAAGGAGTACACCTCTTCCTTCTCCGGGTCTGCGACATGACAATCACTCAGGAACGAACCATTGTAAGCCGCAACAGCGGGATCAAATGCGGCAAAAACATGGGTAGCAGCTCCCTGGTCCAGGTCTTTGAACTGCATATCACCCATGCCCCATAAGGACTTTCCCCCATAGATGTTGTCCATCTCCGTAAGGTCTGCGGAGAAGGCAGCATAGTCATCTGCTCCATGGGCTGAAAGATTTGTATAACAGACACCTGGGCACATTGGGAAGGCGACAAGGCCACGGGAGCCGAGTTTCTCAGCGAGTGCAAGGCCCATCAGGGCATTTGCGGTCTTCGATTGACCGTGACTTCAACAGTGACGAGGAACCGCGGGTACGAATTTAACATAAGGTTGCGGGCTCGGATGAAGGACGTACGTCATGCGGCCTACCCGAAATTGGCGGCGGTTATCCGCTTCGGATGCTAAATCTTAAATTAACCTAAGAGTAAAAAAAGGTTTAGTACTCTGTCCTTTTGGGATACACAATTTCGTATTTAGAGTTCCCTACCGCAGTTAAATTCATAATCCTAAAGGCATTGGGGCTAGCGGCTGCTTACGGCTTTATTAGGCTGCCTAAAGATATTGCTCTTGTATTAATGGTGTCTTAAAGTGTATCGTTATAGACTATGTGGGGACATCTGAAGCTGTATTCCTTGGTTACGAATTAGTTAAACAGCTCTAACCCGAGGTGTGATACTGTGAGATACTTAGGCGTCATTTGCTGTTTGCGGAAATATAACTCCTTTACAATGTTCGTAATGGAGGAGCTTAGTCTAGACTTGATGTTTCCCATGGGAGTCCCATGGGAGGCAAAACGATTCCCATTAGTGTATTATCATGTGTATAAATTTTTGATAAATTAGATCCCTTTTATATATATATATCTCTCTTTATCTTACATATTATTACCTAGTAAAAAGCGATAAAAACAGGCGTTAAACATACGTATTCTTTTGCATAATTTACGTTTGTATTATTACAATCCCACGGGAAATGTCAAGGTCCAGCCAGACCTCATCAACAGTTCATGTCCTCCATAAATACTGAAAGTCTGCTGAGGTCACTTTGGATGCAGTCTATGGAAAGTCGCGTGATATTTGGAGGAAGCCCGCTACTTCGTCAGACCCGACCTAGTAGGTAAACAGCAGAGCAATTTAATTATCTACAATGCTAGATCACTGACACATGCAGTTAATCGGCTCCTAGCTACGACCTTAAGAGTCACAAAATTATTGAGGGACAGCAAACTACACTTGAAGAGAGAGTAAATAGAGATTGGGATGTGGTTCGGAAACAATTCTAAGCATTCAGGGTATTTTAGATTGGCCCCCGACTATATGGTCATGATCCTCGTCACTGTCGCTCGTGATAAAATATTGTCAGGATATCGGGGCTGTGCCAGAATCGTTTAAGCAGATCCATGGCCTCCTATCAGCGTGCCTCCTGCGTCCGCGTGCTAAAATTTGAAGAAAGGTCAAGGTGGAAACGGAAACGTCAACATCGGTCTGCCTAGCCATCTGATATTGTGTTTTTAATGTAGACCAGACATCCGGACACTAACCAGATATGTAAAGATGACAATGGAATTTATGTATTAAGCAGTACTTGAGTGATCGCAATCCTAAACAAAGACTTGAAGATCACTTAATGGTGAATCATGCCATTAAGGTCCGTTGGTTCCGCGGGTGCCCACATTTTTCGTAGATTATTAAGCGTCAATCTTTCGGCCCCGGGGGTAGATAGGTCCTCGGACTACTCCATATGTTTTAGGATGCAAACGCAAGGGTATCACGCCATATGGTTTATATTAATTATCTAAATATAACCTTGCCACTCATGTAAAAGTGGGGGGTTTATCATACATTGTATCTACCATGGAGGATATTATGCTTTATTGACTGCCTGGTACTGCCCAACTTCCGCGGATGACTACGCATGATTATATGTGAACGCACGCTGTATTCACCAGCATCGCTTAGGCGTAGATCCCTTAGATCATTTTCTTTCAGACAGTTCATCGCTAATACAAATCCCTCCCTTTTTTCCACCGCCTTACCTACTACTATTTTGATAGCTAATTACAGTCAATTGAGCTTCTGCCTGTTGCCTAATCTAGTAATATATATCATAAGACCTGAGGTTAACACATAATACATATACGTTAAAAGTATAATTACATCATTAGGAATCATCTAAAACCTCATTTGCATTAATAGGTCAATCTAGAAGCTGCAACGATACGTTTCACGTAACCATGTTAGTATGTTGATGGTTGTGATTCGTGATGTAATCTTACTGAATGCATCTTCGTTCAAGCTATGTGGCGGATCATGAGACCTAATATGGAAAGGATGACGAAACTAAACAACAGACGTAGGTGATTGGAAAGGCTAGAGGCGTCTGAGTACCAATATGCTCTCGTTGGAAAGGGAAGGCTAGAGGTATAAATATGGCTAGGAATCCACCTTCTCTGGCACACGTCCTACAATTCTAAGAAATAATCAAACGTGAATCTTTTACTTCGAATATCTATCCACGAAATCTTTATTCCAATCCTCATTCCACATTATGGTTAAGAGAGGCCCTACAGTTGGAGGTAATGGTGGTGGTCCGTTCGAGCTCTTGGATGGTAATACGCCCGTGGAACAAGTGGACGTATGGTACGGTAGTGGCAGTGCTCCCGTGGAGCAATATACTATCCTGAAGGGTATTCAAGTCAGATGGGCAGGGGGTAAGCTTTCACCCCCTGTCGGATCTTGCCCCCAAGGAGAACAGGAGAGGATTCTACATACCAGTTTTGACTTCGAGCACAATGGCAATGATCCCCTTGACTGGATGGATTTATACGGGTCAGATAGCCGTGCTGATTCACTGAGATTGGTGACTCGTCAAGACAAGGACTTCTTCGAGGCCGGAGGAATCGGTGGTACCAAATCCAGTCAACCTGCGCCAGGAAGAAAGCTATATGGGTTCTACGGAAGGGCAGGACATGATATTGATCAGCTAGGCGCGATCTTCAGTGATTAAAAGCTGTGAGTTACACATATGACCAATTGATATAAACTTTTCTAATAATGAAGACAGATGCCTACATAATCAAATCTATCTTATGTCACTTAAGGGCTCAACTCTCCTTTCGTGGCTTGCTATTTAGTTGATAGTTGCAGTTCAACCTGCAGCACCGTGCTACTTTCTACAAAAACTGTTGATATCTTTAAAGGGCTTGCACTCTCCTATTGTTGTTTTAATGAATACTTGCGATTCAAAATGTAATACAATGCCCCTCTGCACCAACCGAGTTTATTTTACTCTTTAAGCTATACGAATACTTATCATAGGATTTTTCTTTGCACTGCAATAGGCCTAGTGAGATCAAAGACAGGCAACGTACCTGCGAGTTTGACAAGTTTACCTTGTGTTGAATGACTTGATTCACAGCTCTGGACGCAGATGCTTCGTTTAGTTTTAATGCGATCGGAGCTATCTGGGTTGCAATATTAAGACGCTCTATGATTTTAGGCCAGTTGTGGTTAGAGACGATCCACATCTGTGTGTGGGCTGATACCTTCTGGACAATAAATTCCAGAAGGGAATGAAGACCATTTGTGCACTCATGTAACGCATCAATCTGTACGTGGGAGAGGCGAGATGGGTTCTTTTCCACAAATAAGTATATCAAAGCACGTAGGACGGACGTGGCGCTATTGATTCGCACGTCAGTAGCCTGACAGAAAAGAATGAAATATTCTTAGTGTCCCCATTCAATCGTGTCAACTCCCTCAATGATACCGCACAGGAGCATTGTCTTGCCTTTGCCGGGATCACCTCTGATCCAGACGATTGCCCTGGTTGTCTTGCCATTATTTGAAGACTTCGTTGTCAAAGATCCAGCAGTATGGGTCTTCGAGCAGCCCTCCGTTGTTGTTATTAATACGGTCTTTATCATATATGGATTGGTCGTCCGCAAGTCCCGAAGGCATGCTTGGTTCAATGCTTCCGATTGTACTAAGGCGATTCAGTATTTAGTCACGTTCTATTAGAGTTATGCCTTACAGTTACCAAACTGTGTAGTGAAATTGCCCTTAATCACCCCTGCCTGGAATCCAGAGTTTATATAGTCGTGGAAAATGGTTGTCACCATAGTTATAGACTGGTGGTTTTAGACTTTGCCAACTCCTATGGGACTAAAATAATTCCGGCCCTATTACCCTAGTGGTTCTATAGGGGTCCTATAGGACTTATGGTACTCCTATATGGTCCCAGGCTAGTATATTTTTGCGAAGGATTTCCTATTTCGGCTGTACAAAAATGTAAAGTTATCAGATAGAATACGATTATTTATAGGTATATAAGTGTCCCTACTTTTAATGTCTAATAATATAGGTATGCCTATAGGCCTTAGGCCTTTTAGGCGGGCACCCTAAGAGTCGAAACGCCTAAGGCGCACCATGGACCGGCCTTGGGCACCTCCTAGGTGCCTATGGACGGGCGATGTCACAGTCTAAGTAGTGGACGAGTCCGACCTCTAATTAGCTATGCTCGCTAGGCTACTAGACTACATCAATTATACTATGCTCTTTTCAATCCACACCATCAACTTGCTAACTGAAGACTTCCTCTGCCACAATGTCTAAAAAAGTATGTCAGAGCCGTGAGCAGCATAGTAGCAAGGAAACATATCCAGGTCAGATTTGATACCAAAAGTTCTTGGTGGCCGTTGTCATTTAAAATGCGAAAAAATATTGGATCCAAAGAAGCTACAGATCAAGGAAGCTGGAAGATAATACATTTTTAGAAATGCAATAGTCTTCATTGATTCTCTTTGCTTCCTCGTGTCTCTGGCAATGTCCGTATTATTCCGAGCAATTTCAAGCGAAGTAAGACCATCACATGCTGCAGTGAGATTATAGAGCTATATTTACTTCTTAGCGGTGAGAATGTCCAGAATTCTGTTTGCATTAATTACCAACTTAACAAGATTTTGTGATCTTTGCCTGCGATTGCTCAAGTTCCGGCAATTTTCTTCGCAAGAATACCTCAGATATAAAAACGCCTCCCTCATACGAGTCTCTCTGTTTGAACTGGGTCTTCGGAAAGGCAGCTTAGATCCACTATCATTAGGATATTGTAAGGTTATCAGGGTACGAAGAAACGCGACATGACGGTAGCGAAACAAGATCCCACGTGGAAAAAGAGACCGAAAGCTGGGGACAAGCTGCTTTCGAAATCGGAGGAGAAGCGCAAGGCTGAGTAGGAGATTCAAGCATGGAATATGAGTGATTCTTGTTCAGTTTTATATAGACTCGTTCGGGCACATTAGAATTTCCTGTGTTTCTATCAATTTATCGCGCAGAGGTGGCTTGACGTTTCGTCTGGCCGGCTGTTGGATCAAATATATTTCTCCCTATTCGCATATGCGCAGCTCGCATGTGAAATACGTTAAATATGTTTCAAACTTGTGTCTGACTAAGAGCTTTCATCTTCTGACTCGAGGTATAACTCATCGGTATCAGCTCCGCAGAAAAATTCCGTCAGATTCTTCCTCGATCTTGCGGACTGTCTCGGGAGACAGCCACACATATCTCTCTACTTGCCCTGGTCGCGGCTGTAAGCCACCATAGATACCAGCATACCCGTAGGAATCATTCATCGCGCCTGGATAGATCACACCACGGACGTGGTCTGTTGTTGGCTCCAGATCGGCCTCCAGAGTCGCTCCCGTCCCGTCAATCGGCCCGAGGTATTCCCATTCCAAGCCCTGCTCTGCTCCACGTTCTTCCAAGTCCTGAAGGTAAAATGGATTCCCGCTTCGCCTGGCAACTTCCAGTAGACTTTTGCGGGGAGTAGGGTTGATGCGTTTATAGAGCGATTGGTAGTCACACAAGACACAGGTGATGGCGATCTGCGGCAGCATGTATGAACACTTTGAGGCCAAAGATCGTAGAGTGTTTTGGTGAGGTTTCAAGGGCCACCATATCATCCAGGGGAGGCATTTTGAGTCATTGCTAAAGCCAGCGATGTCGTTGGTCATGACTCGACGGGCGTTGATAGCAGTACGAATCATGTCACATTCGCGTCTGTTGTCATAAGCTAAAGGGACACCTGGTAAAATAATTCTCCCGGGGTTGGTTTCAATCTGATCGGCCCACCATCTGGCAAACATTGTATTGTGATGAATTCCGCGAAGGATAGAATAAAGCTCGTAGTCGGTTCTGAGTCTCCGAGGATGCATGAGTCGAACATATCGATCCACATTTCCATCGTATGCAGCCATTTGTGTCAGAACATCCTTTTCAAGAATCGGGAGATCAGGTGGAAGAGGCATCCACAGTAGTTTAGCCTCTTCTGGACCAAGTTCGAAATGAGAATCATCCAGTTCCATCTTTTCGATACCGATGAATCCGTCCTCTTCGATATCAATATCATCTACTGTCGTCTCCGGAAGATTCTCAGGAGGCGGGACGCGTTGGTCTAACTTCCATCGAGGTTTCGTATCACCATTTAGGAATGCAGGTGTTTGTGGGGTCTCTAGATCAATAGATCGAGTAAAGTCGTTCATAACAGCATATCTTTGGGGCTCCGACATGATTACTTGATATATCTCTACCCCCTCCTTGCTTTCTCGGGCCTCTTCGGCGATAGAAGTGTCAGGGAGGAGGTCGAGCTTTTTGTAGAGGTCTGTATACCCCGCAGCGGCACACGCTCGGCCTACTTGATAGCGCATCGACGGATATCGGCGAGCAACTTCACGATAAGTGCCTTCGTCTGCAAAGTCCGGATACCAGATACAGTATGGTTGGAACGCGGGGTTTTCAAGATCGGGTATCATGTTACTCATGATCAGTCGTGCATTGCGGGCTCGGGAGAACTCAGGAGTCCTGATGTCGTCGCCAGAGCACAGCTTCATGACTGCTGTGCTCATTGCGAATTCGAGAGAAGTGCGAAGTCCGCGAATTATCGCGCGACGATGCCAGAAGGATTCTAGATTTTCCGGGACACTCTTTCCCTCCATCGTGGCGACACATTGGTCATAATCAAATTCCGAGCTTTCCTTCGCATCACCGCTGCAAGCAACTGGAAAATCTTCCATTGATGTCATTCCGCGAGTGAAGTGCAATTTGAATAGATGGGAGAGTAGTCAAAGTTGGGGGGCAGGGTCATTCACAAGCATAGGACATCTGGAGGAGCGGGTGGCCTGAACTAATAATAGCGATATCTGATTGAAGCTCGACTTGACCAAATTCCGCCCCTGGTTGGGGCGCACGGGCCGGCCTCTAGTGCGAGATAGTCCCGACTTGCAGGGCGCTTTGTGGAGCCATAGACCTATCCGTAAGATTTTCAGTAGTCTAAATAACTGCTTGGCGATCATCGCCTATTTTGGCATCATAGCGGAACGCCTAAAATGTCGAATTGAGGTACAAATGGGTTCGGAGTGGTTTATGGCAATAGGAGTTCTATCCAATTTGTTATTTTCTCCTTTCATCTGTGGTGATACGAGCAAGTCCCTTGCTTGGGGTATTCTTATTCTCTTTTCTTTTCTTGTCTTTCATTCCGTGCCTGCTAAACACCATGGTCAGGCTTAGCACCTTCGCAACACAGGCGGTCCTGCCCCTAGCTGCACTCTTCACCCAGTCGGCCCTCGCCGACTCCGATGGCATAGTCGTCTGGCCCCCCGAAGTCCCGAATGAAGGAAAAGGCTACTCACGGGTAATCCAACTACAGCACGCCTGCGACTCTAACGGCAATCTACTAGCTATCTAGGAGCACTAGTACACATAAGGACACACAAAAGGCAGCAACGGGACTGTATCCCACTACGTTATCCACGAAAGCGGCGATAATGGAACGATATAGGATACTCTTACAACTATCTCAGACCCGCTAACAGGCACTGGGTACCCGGCAACTTTATTCTACCAGCCCTTCCTATTTGAGTTCCCGCAGCAGCTGGGCAAGTATCCAGAGGGTACGCTGCTCCTTGTTAGCAATCTGGCTAAGGATCTGGCCAAGGATCTGAACACGGAATTTGTGCCCTAGCGGTCGACGGATCGTATTGCACCCTACGAACCGGTACAGCGCCCATTACGAGCCTCCTATACAAGTCCGACTTCTCCAGCCATCGGCTAGACGGGATGGATTAACCCACCTTACTGCCGTCCAAACTCAAAAGCTCTGATTGTTGTTTATAGTGCCTGCTATACCTCAATCTTCAATGTGGCCTGTGGCCGCCGCCTCCTTGGCTTCCTCCACAAGTTCTTGCATCTGCTTGCGGACCATTTTGATGGTCTTTTTTGTGTGGGCGAGCCTCTTTTCCGAGGCTGCTAAGGCTGTGTCTAATGCGAGCAGACCCTCAGGGTTTGGTTCGGTTGCCGATTCCTTGATTTTCTTTCGGGCCACTTTGATGGCCGCCTTATTTCTGGCGACCTTACCCTTGAGCGCTGTCAGAGCCTTGTCCAGTGATCGAATTTGTTTGTTTATCTTGGGGTTTGAGGCAGCGGGGAGGCCCTTCTCTTCCTCCATCTTGTCTGGAGGGCCTTCTGTTGAGGCAAGGGATTCGTTCGATGTGCTTAAAAAGATACATCGGGTTGTCTGCCGTTCCCAATGGCAGTTCGCGCAGTGCTGCATGCCAGGCATCCGCACACAGGAAGTGAATTTCCTGTCGAGGATCTGGCAACTGATGCAGGCTTGGCCCTGTGCCATTTTTTTTTGCCTAGGCCAACAAGGCCTCAATGTTCTCTTTGGGGCTGGAAACTTGATTCTCGAACGCGGTCCCGTCCACCAATTTTCGTTTGGCGTTCTTGCTGTTGGATTGTAGTGTTGACTTCCGCCTTGGGCCCATTTGGCACAGGCCATTCGGAACTGTTCCTGCCCGTAGGGCGTGGTTTATACCCCTCGCCCAGGGGGATTTCTTCGCTCTCTCGGCCCAGTATGCAGGTTGTGGCTCGGCCTCGCCGTAATCACCATATAATGGATTTGGTGGGGTTTGGGAGGGCTGTTGGCTCGTAGGCCCGGACCTCCGGGAGGGCCTGTTGGTTGGCCCTGTGCCGAAGCCACATTTCACGGATGAAATCTGTCTCGCAGAGGGAGGGTGGAGGGGCCCCAATGTAAGGCATTGGAATATTGGTTGTATTCGTAGTAGAGTAAGGGATTTGGTGATTGCGAGCGAATGGACCTAGAGGGAAGTTGAGGAAAATGGAAAGTGGAAGGAGAAAAGTAAGTGGAAAAAAAGGTGTTAAATTGTGACTTTGACATTGTCTGAAGCAAACAAAAATTTCAGATCATGTTGTGGTTTATATTCATCTTGCCACCAAAGCTCTATGCACGTTGCCTATATATTTCAATTCGGCATGTGGTTGCACCGTGCCAACTGGCGGGTGCGTGCAGAGCTGCACCCGTTGATTTTCTCATATCGACCCAACCTAAGAATGTATCTGTAGGGAATTGATCTGACTACTAGGGAGAACAGAGAGAGAGAGAGAGAGAAGAAAGGACTGAATTACAAACCTTCAAACAGAGAGTCATTTATATAGCTAGATGGGATGAAGCCTGGCAAACAAGGCGCATATGACTGTCCCAACAGGGATGCCGCTACTTTTTGTTGCTAAGAGTTATACGAGTACTCTGGTGGTAAGCGTACCGATGCCACTCTAGTCCTGATATACCCAATACCAGAGATAAGTAAGTGATGGACGTTCATCGGTTCGACTGTCATGGCCCCGAAGGACACTGAACTCTGACTGCCATATCCCTCACCGTCCTCTCACTTTTTCTTTCACTTTTCTTTCACTTTTCACCTCTTCTACAGTTCAATATTTGCTACGGCACTCTCATATCTTATATATGCTTCTCATCTACACGTGATGCTAGTCAACAAGGCTAAAGCTGCATTTAAAACCTCGCATTGGACAAGGAGCCCCAAGGCCTACGCCGCAATGTGCAGCGCCTATGGGCAGAGGTGGACAGCAGCGATTGCTGGCATTGCCATCGTCCCTTCCGGAAGCAAAATTCTAAGCCACTTTCTAACAAAGAGTGGAGGTCTACGATACTGGTAGCCGATCTTGAGAGTGGATATGCGGCATATGTAATGTGAAAGGCCTAGATCGTGGATGCTTTGGCATTACGATCACCGACCTAAGGAGTTCGAAATTCGGTTCGAAGATTGCCATACGCTTTACGCAAAGGTGTGTGGCTTGGGAATTGAAATTATATGAATCGAGAGACTAATTCAAGTGATAGGCTCGCGGTTACCACAAACAGCCAGCTCCACGGGGCTAGCAATGCACACGCCAATAGGCGTGCTTCCAATGGCCACTCCTCGCATGATCACCCCTCCAACCACCAATTCAACTGAGAAAATACGAAGGATTTTTGTGTCAACCTGCTTAGTACCATTCGGATAACATCACACCAAGTTCTAGCAGTGTCTTGGTCTTCTCCACAAGCATGTCTGTCGTCTATCATAATGCCTTACACAGACACACCACCTTATTTAGATCCACCAACTGGCCTAAGCCGAGGCTCGTATTCAGTGACTAGATTTTGAGGTTGAAAGCACAACAAGACTATATTCAAGCCTGATACACAGTGCTGATGAGTGTGCTCTATATTTAGATTACGCAAATCAGTACTTCGTATATTCTCGAACTTGACTGGTCTCATTAATTATAGTAAAAAGATGGCCAGCTTTAATATAAGTACCGTTATTAGGACAACTTGTAAGTGCGAGACCATATTTTGGTACCATCTTTTGGTGAGTACATTTTGTAATTTTGGTGATTAGCTTCCACAATACAAGTGGTCAGATGAAAAGGTACAACATGGGTAAGTTGTGAATGGATGCGTAGGTGGCCAGTGGTCTAAGCAGGGCTGAGCTTGCATAAAGAAGGCTGCCAATCAAATTACCATATTTGCCTTCCTCGTTACGAGATGGTGTTAGGTTCTTTAACAATTTCTATTAGTACCTATGCAAGATCTTTGATTTTAAAGGCTTACCAAGTGCGTGAGCAGGTCGGCATAACGTACTACGTACTTTCTAGGGGTGTACTGTGACAGAGAAAGTTTACTAGTAAAGACATGCCCAAAGTCAAAAAGATATTCATACTTTTGCTTCTCGGTCAAGATGCATGTTTCACCAAGACTTCTTTTAGTCCACACAAGCAAGACCCGCCATTTAATCGATTACTGCACCTATGCGCTGGCGATTTGCCACAAGAGAAGTTCCTCGAGATATACAGCCGAAATAGGAAATCCTTAGCAAAATTATACTAGTGTGGAGTCATATAGGGGTCCCATAAATCCTATATGACTACTAGGGTAATGGGACCAGGATATGGGACTAAAATGCTTTTGGTCCCATGGGAGTTGGCAAGGTCTACCTCAAACCTCAAAGCCGCCTCCTGGCTCCAGGACATCGAAACCACAAAATCCCTCCTAACTCACCCATCCCTCGGCACAAAATGCTTCGCAACCCGCTGCTTCGAAGTAATCAACCGACCGACTCCTCGGCCCACCCACGAACCCAGTGCCACAGGGACTCCCAACCGACGGAGACCAGCTGGAACCCCAGTAACCCCAGCACCAGCACATGGCCCCACAACCTCTGTCTAACATGATGCCGTTCCCCGAGCAGCTCTTCAGTAATCCCGGATTCGGTGGAAGCCTGTTCCCAATCGGGCAGCACTTACAGATGAATACGGGTGGCATGGACTTTTCTGAATGGGTGAATTTCCCCGCGGCGGAATGAAGAATGAATAGCTGTGGTTTTGTTGATTTTTTCTTTTGTTTCTGTATGTCTCTTGCATTGTAGGATGGGTATATGGGAAAATAGAAATTAGGAATTTCTTTTGGAAATAGTGATATAAGTATGGGTATTAGCGAATCCTTCAAATGGGTCGAAGACTCCAACCCAGAAACCAGTCATCTGAAAAAATATAGCCTAGTTTTTGGGATAAAAATACATAAAAATGCCTATATAAGAGCCCTAGGGCGCGCTGCTCAGAGACTCTTTGGGATCACGGATTTGACGGAAATGTGTCCGATAGGCATAAATTGAGTAATATCCCCATGATTGACTACATCTTTAAACTAGTATTGCTGTTTCATTTCGGCAGCTGGCTGGATTCTTGTCTCCAAGACTACAAGTAGTGACAAATTTCAGAAGGACGCTCGTAATATCTATCCCATTCACCATGCTCGCCCATCTTAGAAAATCCCTCCAGCCCGGCGCCACAGAGAGCAACTTTCATCCACCCAACGTCCTTCACAGTATATCCTTCGATAGGATTGTAACTATTGAGCTCCAGACGTATAGCCTCCAACTCATCGTCTTCTAAATCTTCGGGATCGTGGTCGTCAAGTGACTCTGCTTTCCACCACCCATTGAGCATATTAACGAAAGCATTTTTATTGAAGCAGTCCTCAAGAGGTGCTTGGAGAACACTTTGTAATGACTCTTCGTTAACAAAGAGACAGAACCTATAGCGCGCCGCTTCAACGTTGGCGAAAACAAGCATATCAGGCGAAACGCCCTGCTCTTCCTGAATAGCAATTGTTGCCCATTGCTGGAAATGTTCCCGGATCGTAGTTGAGCCTGTGCTTACACCTACACCTTCGAATAGTGCTTGATTCTCAAAAACGGTCATCTTAAAACTCTCAAGGAGGTCAAGACCGTTCACGTGCTTAAGAGAGTCGGCGACATGCCACTGGTAGCGACGAAGGAACTCTGCCCAGTCAAAATCACTTTGGTATGTGCATCGATAGATAGGAAAGCCCCAAGATTGGAAACCAGCCTCCTTTAAAGCTTTCTCGAGGCGATCGGCTGTGTTGCTCGTAGAAGAACGGTCAGGTGTGCGTTTGGATGGGTTTCGAGGCGGGTCTCCACTCCTCAATCTGGCCAGTGCCGCTAAAGCTTTTTCATGGAGACTTGCTGAATGATCTGATGTCATCCTTTGGATTTGATGTTGTGTAAAATCTCGGCGCTTCGGTGAGGGCCGTTTGATGCCAGTAAGAGGAATCGCACTCTGTTGAGTGGAGAATTTCAGGTTCCGGACCGAAAAAGTGAGTGTCTGGGGTCTGAATAATATATTTCTAGTCATAGGCACCATGCTTCTGTTTAGAATTTGGTAATCAAATATTGGAAATTGACAGAAATCTGCCTGTACGGCAATGTATGGGTAACCTCAGGGGTATTGAATTCTCTAACTAACTAATATGACAAAACCGCAATATTTCACAATCTGTGCGGACATGATGACTAACTTGTAATATGCACTTTTGTATGGTATGCCGCATACATGCGTACGGCTTGCTAGTAATGAAACCACCTGTCTTCCCTTTACTTCCAGTGTAACAGCCATTATGTATTACAGTCCAAGGCCTCGAAATACCGCAGGTAGATGTCGTTAGGGTGACTTTCATGTCGAGTAAACTATCTAAACCTGCGGGTGGAATAATGACATCTCTTAAGACTTCAATTTAACCCATTTATTACTAGATTTTTGGACAAAGTTTAAATCGATCGTACACCATCCACGAGATTTGATTCAGCTCTTCAATGCCGGAGTCCCATCAACTACCACAGTGTCCGTTTCCTCGTCACTACTTTCCTGCTGTGAGATCAAGGCTTCTTTCTTTTGCTCCCTAGGATGAGATGTCAGTTGGATGTCCACCAATATTTAACAACGGGGTTTTACCTTCGCCATATGTAAACAGATGCCATGAAGCCAGCCCATAGCAGGAAGAAAAACACAAACGATATTGGCCATCCCTTGCGCCATCTAGGTGCACCGTCGGGACCGGCGGTTGGGTATGCCAGCAAAGGAACCCAGATGTTGAACGAATAGCCAAATGTCATCATGGAGCCCTGTAGTGGAAGACAGAAGTGGATTAGTATTATTGTTATCACGTGGGGAAGTAAATGGGCGTACCATGATGAGAGCGCGCTCCTCCGCGTCGTCCCTCACTATTACATTGATGGTGGAGTATAGAATTGGACTCAAGCATCCAGCCATCCCGAAAGCATACCAAGCAACGAATCTTTAACGATACTTGTTAGTAACGCGGACTCAATCGGAGGACTGATTAAGAAGGTATCTTACTTCAGCGCTGTAGGGATGTTCCAAATTATCATGCATAATGTCGAGAATAGACAGCACGCCGATGCAATGGTATATATGATCCATTCTGGATAGATTGCAGCTAATGTTGTCCCGAGCCAGGAGGCCACGATGTTAACCGCGTATGTGACAGTCGGCAACTGGTTTATTTGAGTCACAGAGTATCCCTCTTCTTTGAGCCATAGGCTCATATAGCTGCTTGGATAGGAGCAGATGATCATGCATCTAAAGCCGACGTTAGCATATTTACTACATCAAGGATAAACTCTTTCTAAACTCACGCGTAGCAAGTGATAAAGACCCAAATGTGCCATCTCTTAAAAGTTCTTTTGAAGACATCGAGACTCATCTTACCAGGCTGGCGGATTTTGGCCCTCGTTGTTCTCTCCTTGGCCAATGCAACATCGCGGTCCGTCATATAGAATGGTTTGGGTGAGCCCGGAATACCGGGGAAGATGAAGAATCCAATTAAGGCCACAGGGATGGTAAATATGCCGTCGATGATGAACAGCCACCTCCACCCTGGCATACCTCCAACACCAGAGAGGTTGGTATAAGCGGCTGCCTGTAGATATCCACTGACCATGGTACCGAGCGGGTTGCAGATAAACCATGTTCCTGCTCGCTTGAAGAGTTCGGGACCGGTGTACCATGAACCTTCATTGTTGTTAGTATAGTTCCAGACCAACATATATATTGCTCGAACATACCAAGAATAAAATGGGTTCCAGCAAAGACAGGTGCTTCTAGCATTCCAACTAAGAAACGCAGGGCATATAGCTGGTGCACGTTGGTGACGCGACTTTGGGCAAATGTGCAAATACCCCAGAGGACTTCGAGGGTAGGTAACAACCAGCGAGCCCTACGAAATAAGTCAGTGGTTTGGTATGAGTTGGAAGACGTCTCAATGACCCAGACTCACAATTTTGGGCGTGACATGAGCAGTAGGCCAGGGATTTGGAATAGCACATATGATGTAAAATAGCAGACGTTGAAGTAGTTGAGCTCATTGCCGTATAGGCCGAAGTCCTCTTTTAGACCACTAACATACGCATTGCTAATGTTTGTCTGATCTGTGATATATTGGCATGGAGTCAAAGGGCAATAAATGAGGAAATAGGCTTACCCAGATATTTGACGAAGACTAAGTTTGTTAGTTGCTTTTCTTAGATGCTCACTTGGACTCTTGTACTTACAGCAGAGACAGGCGAATATCAGAATTGACAAGTCCAACTTGAACAGTAGTCTAGAAATGTCAGTCCGCTGATATGTTCTTGAGCAGTGATCTATTTACTTTCTCTCCTCCGCAGGATACGAAGATGGGTACCAATTAAACACCTCTTTGACAAGTCCCAATGGGGACAATTTCCCGGCCTTGTGCTTCAGGTCAGACATGAGAAAAGCTCGGCAGACGTCCGATGCTGTTCCCAAATGTGCAAAATACGAGGCACATTGAATTATGGACAATCACCTTTACTTCTTATAGCATCATGCCTTGCTATAGCATCTCGGCATATAAAAAACGGATGGCCGGGGAGATGTTAACAAATTTCCCCACTCGCTGTCACCATCGCTACTTTAGCAAATCTAGAGCGCTGAAAACTAACCTTCTACGAGACTAAATGATGTCTAAAACTGAAGCTAGAGCATTTGCTGTTCATTTTGACGCGCCAGCAGAGGCGACATGCTTATGTATGATGGCGTGCGCACACCCCGGTCTACCACACGAAAGCGAAAAACTACCCGTTATCTCAGGCCTCATCGGACGAATTTATTGCGTGCTCTTAATAAATCCTCCGGTTATCTGATGCGGGGTATATGATCGGAATAAATTGCGAATGGACTTATATACAGCGTATTTGTCCTAAGGAGGTGTTGTTGTGGTAACGGGCAACTTGAGGTCACTGCAGATATTCAGCGATCACCTGTCAGAAACGCGTAAACCTTTCAAGATGCCAGGCAAATACATTGAAAAATATGATCAGGTCCCTGTGACCAAGGAAGACCGTGAGTGATGCTTGATTTCTTGGTTGTTTTCATCTTGCTGACAGCCGGGAATTAGTTGACTGGGCCGAACTTATCACACTGGACCTAAACCAGTACGAACAACCAGGAGGAAAGGAGGATCTTGTCAAACAGCTCGATCACGCTGTTAGGAATGTTGGTGAGTCGATGCTATCTTGCGCTCCATTCTAAGGCCGGGGATATATACGAGACCATCCCCATCTCACAGCCCATGTCCCCAAGCTCCACATTGATAGGACCTCATCTTTATGTTTAGTGCTAATCAGATTTCACCAGGATTCTTCTATGTGAAGAACTTCAAGATCAGTCAAGAGGAGATCGATAACCAGTTCGCTCTAGGGCGGGAGTTTTATGCCCTGCCACTTGAAGAGAAACTCAAGTTCCACAGCGCCAGTGATCTTGCAAGGGGTGAATACAACTCTTACCGTCCTGCCGGACACCGGATGTAAGAAGATCCTCCCTAAATATTGGATTGTGGCTGACATATCGAAACTCAGCCTAGGAAATGGCATCAAGGATAATGTCCAGGTGTACAATCTCCCAAAGTTTGACGGTCACCACGAGAGACCCCAACCTTCTGTCCTTGCCGCCAATATTAAAGAGATTGAAGCTTTCAGTCGGGTAATTTTCCTACAATCATCGTCATCTATTCCTTTAACTCATCAAAACTATAGAAATGCCATACCGAAGTCGTTGAGAAGCTTCTCCGCCTCTTTGCAATCCTGCTCGAGCTGCCTGATGAAGATCAGCTAGTCCGCGACCACCAATACGATGTCAAGGGCGAGGACCACCTGCGCTATATGCACTATGCAGCCCGTAGCGCTGAGGATAACAAGAAGGTCGGTGAGCTCTACAGTCCCGGCCACACAGACTTGGGAACAGTTACTCTTCTGTTCCGGCAACCGGTAGCTGCACTTCAGATCCTCAATTCAGAGGGTCAATGGAAGTGGGTCAAGCCCCAGGATGGGACTATTACTATCAACACCTGCGATGCCTTGACTGCACTTACTGGTGGTTTGATTAAGTCGAGTATTCATCGGGTGCATGCACCCCCTCCTGACCAGGCTCACATTGACCGGTTGGGTGTGTTGTATTTTGCTCGGTAAGTTCTTTTGAATATGCCACATACTGAGTCTTCAGAGTCTAATAAATACAGCCCCAACAACCACGTTGTCCTTGACCCCATTCAGAATAGCCCCCTCCTCCAGAGGCTTGGCTTAACCACCAACGCATTCACTGAACTTGGGCAGCATCTCACGACAGAGCAGTGGGTTACGGTTCGACAGACACAGCAGCAGCGGAAAAATCGAGAGGTCCAGATTTCCAGTGAGGGTAAGTATACCTATAAGCCAAAGGATCTTGAGATTATTCCTGGCCTTCAGGCTGCGATCTACAACTAGTCTTGTCTTGAAGATGATCGTGTATACAACGTGCATACTCTATTAAGAAATTGAACTGTTCAGTAATATCAATCCACAAGAATGGTTGATCGAGTCATTAAAAGGATCAAGAATGCAGAATAAAGCCTTGAACAAAGTGGAGCCATAGAGTTGGCCACGTTCCTGCAAGATATTTCTATAAAAGCAACTGCTCCGAGGTCAAGTCGATGAAGGCAGATTCACTCGGTGGAACCCGGTGACGTCATTTCTAGGAACGATCGACCCCAACATCCTGGCCAACTTGGAAGGATCCAGTGAAACAACGTCAATCACCCAAAACAAATTCCTGCTGCCTACTCAGAGGCAAATCATCGTCAATCCCCCTACTCTCTAGTGTCATACCCTGCCCACCCCAATACTCAATCCGAACAGATCACCCGAAATCAGCCCTACGTCAGACTCAGCCCTACGCTTGACCATTATCATTACTGCTTATAATTCCACTTCGTTATTCTCCGCGCCCATGTCGTTCCCGGAATCCAAAAAATACTCCCATTCCAAACAAGCCAAACCCCTTACCATGAGCCCAAACGCCTCCAGCGATGAATTGTACTTGGATTCCAAAGTTGCGCGCGGACAACGGAGGCAGTCCGAGGTCGAGATGAAAACGAATGACGCTGCTTTCCACCAAGCTGAGGGGCAGGAAGAAGGCGTTCTCGCGGGTATGAAGCACCAATTCGACGCGATGGCTCCTGGAGGCTCCATGTCGGAGTTTGGGAGTTCTGTTAGCTCCGCCGCGCAAGAGAGGATTGTCGCCGCCAAGGATACTCTAATGGAGGGGGCGTTACCTGCTGCGCAGGGAGCGTTACGTACCGTGCAGGGTCATATTCGCAGCATCTCAGGTGGATCCAATGAAGTTGAAGAGACGGCATCTGAAGGTATGTTCTTGCTTCCATGAGTCTCCCAGTGGCACATACCATGACTCGGTTGTTGACGAAGGCTTATGTTTAGAAATTTCCCAGGAGGAACGCGAATGCATTGATAAGATGAGCAACGAACAAATTTGCGACTTCCTACGAGAGAAACATATGAGCAACAAGCACCCACCGTCAACGAAGTAGACGATTGAGGGCACATTGTTGGCGTTTGGGGGTCTAGTCTTCATTGACTGGAGATCTAGAATCATTTGTGTTTTGCGACTTTAGACATTCCAGATGTCACCGATCGCATCTCTTCTCTGGGGGGACAGGATCCTCGCTCATTTCTTAACATGTATAATTAGATGTCGCAAAGACTGGAACTATTTGAATGCCAAATTTCACAACGCACTATACAATTCACAAGACTCATAATACTCAGATCCTAGAGAGATGCCCTGAAACCTCTGTCGAGCGCGCGATCCAAACCCAAGAAGTCAGCCACCTGGCCTAAATGATCGACACCCCAGAAGCCCTCGGTCTCGCCCTTGGAGTTCGTGCACTCGAACCACGGCAGGCCGAAAGCTCCTGAGTCAAAGGACCGACCGGTATTCGCAGTCAGAAGAGCCTTGACGTCCGGATTGTTCATCTACAGGGTAAGTTAGCTTAGTTCTCGCAGCCGCATCTCTACGGAACTAGTTGCAATCTTGGATGATATTGTAATAGACTTACAGCAGCCATAATCTCATCCGTCTCTTGCTTCCCAAGTACGCTCTCGATCACGGGGGCAAAGCCATCGGGTTCGCCGATGGTGGTGTTGCCTTCAACCCAGACCGCGTGGAATAGCGCCCCGACCACCGGAGCGAGCTTTTCTGGTGCTTTCTGGGAGATTGCGCACAGCGCACGCTGCACGGGTAGTGTGCGGAATGGGAAGCCTTTAGGGAATCCCTCCACAATCGGGACTGAGAAGTACTTCGCCCATCGCACTCGCTGCTGGCCCAGGTAGTCTTTCTTATCTGAATGGCAAATGCACATATGAGCTTTCATCGTTGCAATTTCATACTCAGATTCAAAACATTCACTTACTCTTGATGTTGATTGGAGGGCTGTTGCCACATGCATTCATCAAACCTCCGAGCAGAATTGGAACATATGTGATTTCACATTTCGCAAAGGCGGGTGAATTCTAGATTCATGTTAGATAGATAAAAACCTTGTCAGGATTTCCAGTCTCCATACCTGCAGTACATGAAACGCAATGTATGCGAAGGGGCTGACGATATCGAGGTAACAGGTAATCTTGGAACCCGACATAGTGGAACCTCTGCAGTGGAATTTAAGGTATGCAGCTAACCCAATACGATTGAAGGTACCAATTAGTGGGACTATAAAATGGCGAAATTGAAGGATATGTATATCAGAAATATACTCCAGTTCTTGACGAGGTCCGAAATCTTTTGTCCCCGCAGTTCAATCCATTTCCCTCTGCCGGGCCGAGGTCCAGGGGAAAGTTTATCCTTCGCCTCTTTTTGCCCGTGATTCACATCGTGTCATTATCATCCAACCCCCGGCGTGAGGAGATAATTCATACGGTGGATAATAATGAGAAGCAAACTCGAAATGTGAATGTCCATTTTGATCGGCACCACCACATCCATTATTTTTGGGTTGGTTCCTGATAATGGTATTTATGTTCGTAGAAACATGAATATATCAAACCCGTTGACATTCAACATCTATTAACCTATCTACTAACCAATAAATGACTTACTGAAAGAATTCCTCGAGCGGCCCTTCTGTATATTGCATCAGGATGCGTTCACAATGAAGTAAATATCAATGTTTGGATCAAGTGTGCCACCGCCGCCACTCTGTATAAGAGACGACCAATACCTCTATGTACTTCACCCATTATCGCTCAACCTAACAATAAACAACTTGAACCCTCTCTTTCTCAAACTTCTCCTTACACAATGCGCTCCCGGTCCGGAAGTATGAATCGGCCTAGCGACGCCGAATCCGATCAAGAAAACAATCAGCAGTCCGTCAGTCAAACAGACCACTCGGCGGTTACCAGCCGCGGTGCACCGGCACGTCACTCCCGCCGCGAGCGGTCTGGGTATGAGCAGCGATCATGGACCAGAGCGAGCGATAGACGGACCAAGGGAACAACGGGGTCGAAGAGTCGGTCCGTCTCGAGACATTGATATTTCGTGCGATATCATCTGACTTGTGGGATTGTATTTGGGTAACTGCCATTTCTTGGGAGATCTTGTACGGAGGCTGATTGTATCAAGGTCGTCCAGATCTGAATTAATCTCGGCCTGTCCGGCCTGCATACCTCACGATGTATATAAAGCATCCATGGATACCTAGTCTCCACTGTTTCTTTGTCAACTACTCCATCTCAACTCTCGCATTCACCGTGCATTTTGAGGTATATTTCTGTCCCCTATCAATAAACTATGAGGTAGTAAGATAATGGTAGAGATATTAGGATGACTTGATTTTACTGAAAGGGAAGACGGGCTTTATAGATAGTCCAATATCTGTAACGAAGTCCAACTCAAAACATGTATGCAATACTTGCCACTGGTGAAAGAGGACTAGAGTTCCTTCATATCTATATGTACATACTCTATATACATAAAAGAAAGTATATTTAGGAGAGCAGAACTTATTTATAGGCATCTACCTTGTCAGCATATTTCCAGTCACCATGGGTTGCCTAAGTGTCACCCAATCAATGCATGTCGTTAGCCTGTCTCTTGACTCATATGAATAAACAGTACAACCACCAAGACCACCATCCAGAACAATTCGTCTTGACACACAGTCTAGGACTAGGTAGGCTAGTAGATACATACGTTGCATCATGTGTAAGCCTTCCGTCCTACCTAGGATACGAATCACCTCCGTTTTCGGATGAAGGAGTAAGCATACTAGCACCGCCGTGATTGTTTCCTGGTGTGATGCTGTCGTAACCGTGACTTGGGGTTATCGCGATAGCGCCAATGTCGAAATATAGCCTGACATAGCAGACATTGAGGTAACTGCCCAAACTCTGGTTCATTTTGGGTGGCTTGTTCGCCTCTTAACGACCTGCACGTGTCATATAGACTATTGCAGACCAAGATGATGGCTCCTCTAACCTTTCTCTTGAGACCAATTAACCTCCTTTCAAAATTGAAGTCATATATCTACAACCCCAAAAGGGTAATTAGGGCACCTAAACTAGGGCTAGTCAGCCCCTCCATCGGCGATCCGCGATAGCCTCCCGCGGGCAACATCAGAAAGCAACAACCTCAGACACCAACACAGTCGCCAAGCACCGCAAAAATGGCGCCAATCCCCATAACAATCGTGACGGGCTTCCTGGGCTCAGGCAAAACCACAATCCTTCTGAACCTAATCCCGCAACTCCCAAAGACCTACAAGCTAGCCCTCCTGAAAAATGAATTCGGCGACGTAGCCGTGGACTCCCAACTAGCCTCAACGCAATCCATCAGCGGCGTGCGCGAAATGCTAAACGGCTGTATCTGCTGCAACCTCGTCGGCCAACTCAGCGACGCACTGGACCAGCTCCGCACCGAAGTGCAACCCGACCGCATCGTGATCGAGACCAGCGGCAGCGCATTCCCCGCAACGCTCGCGATGGAGGTGAACCGGCTTGCGCGTGAGGAGGGCGGAAATTACGTCCTCGATGGTGTCATCAGCGTTATTGATGTTGAGAACTGGGAGGGGTATGAGGATACTTCGTACACGGCGAAGATCCAGGCGAAATATACCGATTTGATTGTTTTTAATAAGTGGGAGGATTTACCGGAGCGGTTTGATGTCTGTCTTGATCGGGTGGGGGACTTGGAGATTGAGACGCCTTGGGTTAAGTCGAATAAGGGTCGGGTTGATATGGATGTGATGCTGGGGATTGATGGGGCTTTGTTTAAGGAGTCTGAGGATGGGGGTACGGGTGACCATGGACATGGACATGAGGATCAGCATCAGCATGATCATCAATCTGAGGTTGAGGTTCTTTCTGTGGTTTTGAAGTCTGGTGTTGAGGGGAAGACGGTGGACGTTGCTGCTCTCGAGCGGTTTCTTTCTTTGGCACCTCGTGAGGAGGTGTATCGCATCAAGGGGATTATTCGCTGCTCGAACCAGGATCTTCCGGTGGAGACATCGGATAATTTGAATGCCAGAGAGAAGGCCGAGACTCCTGGGGTGCAGTATTATATTCTCAACTGGGCGTTTGGACGCTGGACTTGCACTCCTTCTCGCGTGGTTGCGGAATCTGCAGACTCGGCTGTCATTGCCCGCATTACATTGATTCTGGCTCGGTACGAGTCGGCCAAGTGGAAGAAGAAGCTTCAAGCTGGTGGGCTGGTCCAGGCAGGCGAAGAAGAGGGTGTGATGTTGAGTGTGGAGCGCTTGGTCTAGATTTTTGATGGGCTGGCTCCTGTTCATAGACGCCGCGATGTCGTTTATTTCTCATGATACCTTATAAATGTGATGATAGAGCATGATACACCTGTAATTAAACATCAAGACATTTCACATTTTGGGCTCGAAAGCATTGACGATAACCATAGAGCAAAACGTGTAAACACAAGAGATACCAAAAAATCTCCGGTCAAGGGACGTTGATGTAAACAAGACGAGCTCTATTCTAATCTAGAATCTAGTGGGCGAAAAACACGATCGCATATGTGACGAGAACGCAAGATAGATACTATATTAGATGGCCCCCTAAGGGTAGAGGTCGCCAAACAAAAAGTGATTACAAACAAAAAGACACAATTGCAAAAGATTGTGAAGCAAAAAAGATTTCAGACTTAGTAGTTGAGCAAAGCAGAGGCACCAGGCTCGCTGGAGATATAAATCACCTCGTGGTTGTCAGAGAAGCCGTTGAAGCGGGTAGCGCTGCACTTGGTATAGGCTCCCATCTCCTCGAAGTAGAGCCAGTCGCCGGTGTTCAGGAGGCCAGGCAAGGCAATACGCTCAGTTATAACATCGATGCCATCGCAGGTAGGGCCCCAGATGGAGTAAGTGATGTCCTCCGAAGTCGCAGAGTTCGGAGAACCAGGCTGGGAACCGTCCGAGGCGCAGGTAAGAACCTGAGCGACGGGGTGCTGGTGATCGAAGATGATGTTCGAAAAGTTGCCATAGACACCGTCGTTCAGGTACAACATGAAAGCATCACGAGAAGTATCATCGGGATCCGGAATGTCACGCCGCGCAATGACGTTGGCAGCCAGAGTATAGGCAGTGGCTACATAGTAGCGACCGGGCTCGGCGATCACACGAATGTTCGGCGGGAAATAGGTGTCCACGGCTTCACCCAGAATGCCCGCGAACTTCTCAAACGTATCCTGGCAGAAGCCGCCGCCAACATCCAGAGTATGGAGTTGGTGGCCGATCTCTCCCGCGTGATCGAAGACCATGCGTGCATCCTGCACGGCCTTGAGGAAAGCCCGGGGATCCTCGGCGCCAGATCCGACGTGGAAACTGACACCGACGACCTTGAGGTCCAATTTATAAGCCAATTCAAGCAACGGACGAGCCTGGTCCATGGAAGCACCGAACTTCATGCTCAGTCGGCACAGGCTGGTCGAGTCATCGGTCAAAATGCGGAGGTAGAGTTCCGCCTCAGGGAAGGTGGCCTTGATCTTGTACAGCTCATCGGCATTGTCAAAGGTCATCTGCTTGACGCCGACCTCGGCGGCATAGCGCAAGTAAGACTTGGTCTTGCAAGGCTGCGCATAGATAATGCGGCTAGGATCAATGCCCGTCTGAAGGGCCATATCGATCTCAGACTTGGAGGCACAGTCGAAACCGTTTCCAAGCTGGGCCATAAGCCGAAGGACTTCCGGGTCCGGGTTACACTTTACAGCTGTTCAATGTTCGTTAGCACGGGTCAAGGGTGGGCGATCCAGTGGCAGAGAGAGGGGCCTACCATAGAAGGGCTTGACACGGCCCAAGTTCATCTTCCAGCGCATATGCTGGCGGTAGACTTCACCCATATCCGCCACGTAGAAGGCATCCTCCTCACCAGGACCACAGTGGTCCACATCCACCTCCGCCGCACGCTTCTTCAACACATCCAAAACAAGCTCCTTGGCAGTCAACGATGATCGCAACAAATTGTTGTCCCCGCCATGACTGCTGGCAAGACCGAGATGGTCCAGACTATTGTTATAGTCTTTTCTGAAGGTGCATACTTCAGCAGTCGATACACACGCAGTCGGTGCCATAATAACCATGCCGCTGCGACTCAGCACAAGTTGAATAGAAAATAGAGAGATAATAAAAGGTTTTTAAACCGGCAGGCGACTGCGCGTTAGGGAGGACGAAAAGTGTCACAACCGTAGTTGACTGGACCAAGCCTCCTAGACCCTTCCCCCTGAAGAGGAAGAACCTTGAAAGAAGTCCTATGCGGCAGCTCAGAGAACGAGGGAATAATCTCCGGCGACGTCAACGGGACGAAAAAAGGCGCACCGGACGAAAGTTCAGAGAAGATCAGGAGGTGGAATGTTGTTAAGAGTGTCGCGGAGACGTTGAGTGGAGACAATTTGGCTAAGAACCAGAATGAAGGCTACTGGAGCCGTGGTGACCGAATCGCCTTTGGGGATTCCAAAGGCAGGGTCTGAGTGGACCTAAAGGACCGAATAGATCTAAAAAGTAGACAGCTGGTTAGCAAGCCTGGTATATTCCCAGTTGCTATGATAACTATGAGAGAAAAAAAAGGACGGATGAGAGGAAGGGATCGAGAGTTTTGAATTTGAGAAATTTTTCTTTTGGGGGGGGCAGTGAGCGAGCTTAGGGCACACGACCATTGGGGGAAATAAAACGCCGCACGGGGTCACACACGGACACCCAAATCAAGATAACTTGGAAATAAAAGACTCACCTTGTAAATAATAATAAGCTGTACGAGGAATCCAAATAGAAGGAGAAGAGTTGAAAAAGAGCACTGAAAAGATGACGGAGCCCTTCGTGGGGAAAAAAAAAGCGGTGCTGACTCAGCCCGGGAAAAAGCCCTGGGGTTGCTTCTACGTCCCAGCCCTGCGCTAGGGGGTACTCTCTTTTCGTTCTATTACTCTTTCGGACATGCGCGAATTATATTTTGGGCTTCGTTTAGGCATCCATTATTATTATCTCGGGTCAGCTATAGCTCTTCCTGTCCAAGGTGTGACTGCATGATGCAGGAGCTGAATCCCATGCAGTGCTCGGAATTGCTGGATTCAATGGCAGCGGTGTGTGTGTGGTCTGTGATTTGCCCTTGATCAGACCTCGGGAGTATATCCCTGTTTGACGATCAAACATTTGAACTTGAACCCAGGTACGGAGTACGGAGTACATACGTGGCAGTACTGTTGGTACTCTGTACTGTGTGCGTATTACCGGGATGTTTATATTTTTAGTTATGCACCTATAAAGCTATGTGATAACCTTGCAGGTGATACCTCTAGGTATGCACAATGCCGAGAAATATGTATGCCCTACACTGCCAGGACTACCTAGATACAAAGTACCAGAACTGGGATCAAGCTCATGAGTAATGGACCCTTTGGGCTAGAACCCATAATGACGCACCTTTGATCCCACTTGATTCCACTTTCGTGCACGGACCACAAAAAGATCAACCAACATTCTTTTTCCATTTCTAATAAATATCCTCTCAAGAGTGGCCTTTGTCAATATCGAGGTTACTGGTTTAATCACGTTAGGGAAATCTATATTATTTCCTATTCCTCTAGCGGGGCTCAGAGACAGTTGGTTGACCACAAACTCAGTTATTACGGACGAAAAGGTATATATATTGCCATTGGAAGTTATGCCGTTGGGTAGTGAGGGTATAACGAAGTCGATATGTAGGTAGGATGTGATCATTTAGAAAATACAGCACCATCATTTGGCCGGTTCCAATGTTACTTAGTAATGAGTGTAATCATACACTCTTCTCAAGGTTGAATTCCCTTGATGGGTATACGGAGTATAGAGCCCGTTGATAAAAAAAGAAAAGCCTGCCCATGGCTCGACAACCACTAGATGCTTGATAAACTTTATCCAAACCGGAATTGTACACCGGGAAGAGTTCCGAGGACATGTCAGTCAAATTTCTCAAGGCATTCAACCAACAAAAGCAGATTATCCATGGGTGCGCATAGCACAGCTGAGTCCGACCCGTCGAGGCTCCTAACAATTCACGCCTTGAGTATTTCTTCAGTGACTTCGGTTTGGTATCAACATAGCCACTAGTATCCACCTCTTGAAGTTTGCTGGTTTGTAACCGGTTCTACAGATTTTTGGGTCCGTGAAATTGCGGAACTGATCCACCATGGTTCATTTAAGAGATGATCAATTTTACAATTCCAGAAGAAACGACCAAAAAGATGTGTAATGTAAGCACCAAGAATATGAGAGATTATGCCGGTAAGATGCCCGTCAAGTGGCTATGTCTTTCTTCTCGCACTTGTAAAGATGTTTGCTTTATATCCTCAATGCTTAATCCCATCTATCTAGGGGTGTGCACAGTACGATCCCAACATGTCCCCTCCGGTTTATAGTATAGACCCGGTCAGATGCAGATTGTATATCATGAATTGTATGAACTATAGGACTAATCTTGTTGTCGGTGGATTCCGTATTGTAAAAATGTAGGGTCCAATCAATGGTATTCAACTCTCTGTATTTCTGTATCGGCTCTCTACACAATTTATATGGAGCCTCGATTACATAACATAAATTACGAAAACACATAGGATTAATAAATCCTCCGGTATGCCGGTGTTACTGCGCCGACACTTGTTTGGTGCCTGATTCTGCCTTGGGCAGCAGCCCCACTTAGGACAGATCCCATAGTAGATAGCTACATAGATAGCTCTCTCCCTCTCTCTCTCTCTCTCTTCTTCCTCCCTGTTTCTTCGCTCCCATATGAATCTCATGGTGTTGTTTCTCCATATGTGGATCTCCTCCCTGTAGATCCTCCATCAATCTTCCAGGCAAAAAACCCCATTGTCGTGATTGGAGCATCTCCATCGCGACCTGAAGTACAGTCCAACCTTTCAACGCATGGCAAGAGAACTACAATCACAGAAGACGTTATTCAAGTTCGTTCGAAGTTAAGAACGGGAACAAACAAGGTTTAGACACTTTGACTTCACTGGAGAAGATTCGCGAGTGGAAACAGCAGTCGGACGAGCGTTTCAAAAAAATCAGCACAGAGTTGACGGACGTCAGAGAAGAGTTAAAGATCTCCTAGCAGGTGGGCAGAGACGCTACCGATAGGTTGGACAGAACGGAGCCCTTTGTTCAATTATGGTTTGATTATACGTTATCACGTCTTAGACATATGGTCAAACAAACCACTTGATTCGGATATTAGACATATAAGAAACGGACTCGCCTATGGTGGTTGTGTTGTTATAGATACAACTTGGCAGAAGCGATCAAACTTATGCGTAAGCAGGGGGTCTAGCGTGCCAATATAAACGCATTCGAAAAACACTATCGAATTTCCTGGACCTAAGTGATCAAAAACGGGCAGGCCAAGGACCTCTGCACTGGCGGATTTTTATTTGATGCAAACAATGCAATAAATCAAGGTTTTATTGCTATCTATAGGGCTTGGATGTTTTCTTTCGAGGGGATTATCCTTTGGAATCGTTTTTTCTCATCCCCAGATTCAACGTTCTACATGCTATATTTCCCCGGTTCGTCGACTGTAGCAGTAAAACTCAATCTCATCCACCTCATCATGCTGCGAGGGGATCTCAACGCTGTCCTGCACCGCCGTAAATCCCGCCGACCGCATCAAGTCGAAAAACACCGTTTCACTGTCATGTCGTCTCTTCAGAGCTACCAATATGACTGCCTCTGGGGATGTCCGAACCAATCGGTCGAGCGTAGAGACTAGCGCTGGCAAGCTGTCTGCATTGTATGTACAATCAGAGACAAGAATGAGCTCAATGGGCCGAGAGCAGAGCTCATCCGGTGGGTCGTTCCAGTCAAGGTTCTGATAGTGAAGACTCGACATGCTTGCGAGTTGGGCAGCATTGATATTGCGTGTTATTATGTCCTCAACCTCGGGGAGGTCCGTGAGTAAGACCGAACAGTTGGGAAGCATTGATGCCAATGCAATTCCCGCTATCCCACATCCTGCCCCGAGCTCAACTACCTGAAGAGGTGGGTTGCGGACGGACAGGACCCGTTTCAAAGCTGGTATTTTAGGTTCTGTGTCTTTGTTCTTCCTTATATTCTCACAGATCATGTGAAGATATGTAACTGTTGTGAGGCCCGCATCCCTGGAACACTCCGGTTTAGAATCTTGAGAGGGAGACCGAAAAGTAAGTAGAAGAGTGGCTTACCATATGTGTCGGGCAATGCTATTTCCTGTCTCTTCCCAGATTTTCATGGGGAATGGTTCGCAGCCGCTGTATTGAATACGCCGTTGAACCAGCTTCTCCGCCGGCGTGGACTGAGGCCCAAATGGAGCACTTGTTGCAGCAACCACTAATGGTATGGGGGGATACTGGGGTATAACATGTCCTGGTGGGTTCGGCACTTTAACCGTCAACACCATAGACTGCTGGGCCAGATTGGATGGGAGAGGGCCTAGGGTAATAGCGAGTTCGCGATTACTGGCATTCCATTTTGTCGCTTTCTCAAAAATAACCCGAGAGGAATTTTCAGCTATCACCATCAAATCAACATCTTCAGCGAGAAAAGAGTCTCCCAAATCAGTGGTGATGCAGATAAGTGCGGAGAGGTAGATGGACCCTTTCTGTTGCTGGGTCCTGGGGGTTTTCAGGAATCGAACATAGTAGACCATCTTGAAGATATCGAAGCACAATGCTTTCCCCAAATCCCTCAATGCCTCTCCCTCCTAAACAGTGCATCTTCATCGAACCAAATTTCCCCAAACCTTTTTACCCGCGCTGACTCAGCAACGAATGACATCGTCGGGTTCATATCGCGACTTCACTTGCCTCTGCTTACCCCTGTACCTTTTCCAATGTCGCCGGCGACAGCTGGTGGAGCCAATCACACAAGATCCGTCATTAGTAGTGTCTATTATTGACGCCGTTGCCCAACATGATGCGACCGCGCGACCCCCGCATCCGACAACGGATCAATCAGATCTCCCATAACCTTGAGACCGCCAACGAAACCGCGCAAGAGGGGCTTTATACTTTCTCCCACAACTACATATCCCCGTGTTTTGAATCCATTGGAAACTGCGTGACTGCATGTACAGCACCTTGCCTCCCGAGCCGAGAAGACCACCTAAGGCGGCGACGCCGCGGCCAAACCGAAGCCAACTTTGATTTCTACGACGACTGGGCCAACGAAGAAGAAGATGATGGCTTAATTGGATGGGGTACTGGGGAACTCGACCGCCTTCTTGCTGGCAGCGGGCTGGCGCGCGGAGCTGCTGACCAGCCGCACAGGCCCAGGAGGATGAGCTACGGGACACGCAACACTCGGCGAAGGAGCACCGCGCACATTCCGGACAATCGCGCCGACCCGACTGTGATTCCCAGCTCGTCATTCCTCGGCTTCCTCGAGCGCTTTCCGTGGAGATTCGGTGCAAGGGGAGTCAAGTATCGGCCTTCGGCTGCTGATCTCCAAGAACACCCTGGTGCCCGGCGCTATGCGCACGAAGACGAGCCGCTAATGGAAGCTATGGATGACGATGATGATGGGGGTCAATTGTCCCCCACCCCTAATAGGAGGAACCGCAGTACCACGCAATCTTCTCGCCGAACGGATAACTCACTTAGCTCACGCGGGGATCTATTCCCTAGTGATGAGGAGGAAGATGCAGTGCCCCTTGATGATGAGTTTGCGCTTGCTTTCGGGCGCCGGGGAACGGGCTTGGAATCAGATGATCAGTCCGGGGCCAAGTCTGAAATTATTCAGTCTGCATCCGCGTCCAGCCTCGGTGCCGCGTCCTCGAAAAAGACAAAGCGGAAGAAGAAACGGTCGCCAAAACGATCGACTAGTTACAATGACACCACGATTGCTCAAAGTGTTGACACGCCATCAATGGCAGATTTGAAGACAGAAGAGCAGCGCGCGGCATTGGAAGAAGAAGCGGATATTGCGAGGCGACGGCTTGCTGCACACGAACTAGTGTTGAGTCGTGGCCTTGATTCGGGAGGCGGTGATAAAGTATGAGATTTTCATCTTCCAGCCTCAATGAAGAAGAAACTAACCAGATCACTTGTTTAGCTTACCGCGACATCCATTAGTCCAAGTGTCCGCTCACAAGAACAATTTAATACCCCGAAAAGAACCTTCAGCGAGTCATCAAGCCGCCGGATGTCCGACAACCAAACCGAGCCCTTCCCGCGCCTATCTATGTCGCCTTCATCTTTGGCCATGGATTCCCCGGGCTTATCGAAACCTTCGCCAAGGGCTATGTCTCCCCATGAGCTTGGTGAAAATACGACTTCTCTCGATTGATCGAGTTAATGGGCATCCACACGCATTGCTGTAATTTGGTTTGAGTGATTATTCTGGACCTCTGCCATTAATCACCTATTTTGTATGATATTATGAGCGACTTTGTTACACTATACCCCATGAATTCAAGAGTCTGAAGAGTGCCAGAGGTTCTCGAGCGTTTGAAATTTAGAACATAACAAATCTATGATAATCCCTAATTGATTTTAAGAGTCTTCAGCTCTCTGAGCCCATGAGTCGACAAATGTCATGTGGGTATCACTCCATCAAGTCTTGCTCAATGGGCATCGCGCCCATTTCCTGCTGCACTGTCCCCAACTCCCATCAAAACAGCATGAACACGCTGCCCATACCTCCCCATTTCTAGAATCTCAACTCACTGCGGAAGCGAAGGCTAATCTAGAGTCTTTGACTTCCTGCATCAAACCTCCTAAGTCTCCCTCAGAACATTCTTCGGTCCCTCATTACCATGTCCACTTGACTCGGCCTTGATGCCTCTCGTTTCACAGACACCACCAGAAGTGTGGTTCCTGCTAATTTTCCTGAGCATATTCCAAACCTGCTCATCATGACGCTCCAAATCCCAAGGCGGAACAAACCGCTCAATGCTCCGGGAGGGATTATCGTACTGGAAGATCTTCAACTTGGCACCAATTGCAAGGATGCCATAGATAGGTGCCGCATCTTCTGCGAAGTTCCGATACCGAAACGCAAGATACAGCTGTAGCTCTCTCTGTCCATTTTCCCACTGGTCATCATTCTGCCTATCAGCGCGCTGATAGTACAGCACAAGAACTGGATCCTGGCGGCCGTCTTTCAAATGGGAAATTTGAAGCTCGAACCAGCCTGGACATCCACGCAAACCGCAGTGGATGTATGGGCGAATGAAGAAGCCTTGTGTAGATGGGAATCGCAGATTCAGGATCGCATTCCACGTGGCGATTCCGTCGGCTTCGGCGTTATCGTTGCGGAGGTTTCTGATCAGCCATTTGATGGCGGGGACGCACGTGTACTGGAATATAGCAACGGTGTTAGGTGGTCAGGGGATAGAGGTAGATAATGATAGCTCACTGACGTTTCCGTTGTTGGACATGGCTCCTGATATCGAGATTTATTTCTGGTGTACTACACATATATGTAGTATGTGTTTGAAGACCGAACAGAAGGGGACGTCCATGGGTAACTGGTGGGTAGAATGAAGCTCTTTGTGATAATCTTGCTTTCCCCTCTATGTACTTTACACCATTGTTCCTTACAGGTCCTGTCCACTAAATATACCTCTAGCGGTTTGAATGTACATAGGCATGAATCTCAGGATATAGCTCACCTGTATGATGGATATCGACCGTCAATAACTACATATGTACATAGGCAGAGAGAAAAGTATGCAATAATGATATCAAGTAAAAAGAGACGCAGGGTCCCTGAATCGGAAGTCAAGCTATGATTACTACCAGGAGCGAGGTCTAAAATGGAGACATCTAGGGCGAATGATGCTCTCAAGTGGAAGAATATTGAGCTGTATATGGTGAAACACCCAGAGTACCCTGATTGCCACATACGTCTTACGAAGGTCCAACACAGACTCTACAAAGGGAGAAGAAAACAAGGAGCGCCGTGAGTATTACACCAGAACATTCAGCCGTTATATTCCACTTGTCTCTGACTCATTTGGTCCTACATACCTGTACACTGAAAGGAATGACAGCTTGGGGCTCTGTGTCATTCAAGATATACTTATGTATGAGGCTTAGGCTTAGGGTTTGAGATGTCAGACGGAGTGTTTGCAAACAATGCGATCTCGGTGGCATTGGTCGGGAATGAGCCACTTTGGGCATACATTGCGATGTTGTATGTTTTACTATTACTTTGGAGTACTGGCTTTTTTCCCCATTTCAATGAATAGCTGCTCAACAAGTACGAGTTGACATCAGACGACTAACTGTGTTGATAGCGGATGAGACCTCTACAGTGCCTCCGATGCCCTTCCCCAAGCTCTATTGGATCTAAAGTTTGGCCCTTCATACTTAGTGAAAAAGACCACCTGGAAAAAAGGCCATCGGTACCACGAAAGAGCGATGGAACTGGCTTGAAGATGAGGTCCATGCCACCAGCCTTGTTGTCCTACAGGCAAGCGGATCTGGTGGATATCCGGGAGCCTTTGGTGTAGACACCACTGGAACAATCGGTACCTAGGGTGAATGGAAGTTGGCTCGTCGACCGGAGCTGGATATCTTTGGCCTAGCGATGCTGGGTGGTGGACGCGTATTTGGTGTTGCGCATTTGTACGGTATGTGGATGTATCCTCCCATCATTTTTCACTCACTTCTTTCCGACAAATGGGCGTATAATCTGACAACTGATAGACTTTCCCTGGGCAAGCCTTGGTAAGGCAAAGGTGGTCGACGTGGGTGGAGGTGTCGGTATGTTTCAGCCTCAGTGAGATGTCGGAAAAGAAATCGAGCTAATAGGCGTCTAGGTGGATTCTGTCTTCAACTCTCGAAGATCTACCCCGAGCTCTCTTTCATTGTCTAGGATCGAGCCCCAGCGCTCGAGCAGGCGAAGTGAGAGGTCTGGCCGCGTGAAAGCCCCGAGGCCTTGACCAACAGGAGAGTTGAATTCCTAGCGCACGACTTTTTCAAGGCAAATCCCGGGGTAGGTGCCGATATCTACTGGCTTCGCTACATCTTATGAGTCTAGTATCATACTTCCTCCATGCGCATTTCTTCATTCATTATTGCGAGCATTTCGTTCACGCAGAAAGAAATCAAAAAAAACACTGACCGTCACAGACATGACTGGTCCGACGACTACTGTGTCGAGATCCTCTCCAAAATCAAGACAGCAATGCATCCATCCTCGCGCATTCTCATCTGTGATCAGGTCGTGAATACTACAGCAGGATTCCCAAGCAGTATCTCGTCGGCACCCGAGCCACTGTCGGCAAACTACGGGTATTTTACACGGTACAGCCACCAGCGGGACATCACCATGATGAGCATAATCAACGGGATTGAGCGTACGCCGGTGGAGTTTCAAAATATTATCGAGCGAGCAGGGCTCGTCATGAGTAAGATTTATGACTGTCGCAGCCCTGTCTCTCTCGTGGAGTGTGTCCTGCCCGAGCAAACTACCAATGGAGACCATTAGCAGCATTTGAAGAACCTAGGCAATATATTCTTAGCACATTTCTAACGTCTGGGGGATGCAAAGATGCTTTGGATGGAATTCACGTGTAGCAACCTGGGAAGAAAGCCAGATTTTCTAGAGTGTAGGTGGTGCCGATCTTCTCTGAAACGATTTTTAAAAATCTCAATTCCGAATATTTTCATGGTATAGGGCCAGAACTTTCTCTATGCTATTGCAAGGCTGTATGACTACGTGTCAACGCCTTGCTCAAGGCGAATGGGATCGGTTCTATGGTTCCAACTTATTTTTGAGCTGCACAGACTAGGGCTGCATCATCACGTTTGAACAGCCACGCGGATTTCTCACGAGTAATCTACAATTGCGAGACTCACATGCGATGTGAGTGGTCAAACCATTATCTAAAACAAGAGGTTTCTAAGGTTAGATACCTAAATCTCCAAAAAATACTGGATTATCATGAAAATCAGAGTCCGGATCATTTCATGAATACTTGACCTCATAGAAAAGGATCGGGGCCAGCATCATATCCATAGAGAGCCGTCTGCTCTTGGCATGCCAGCTCCTTTGATTCGTATTATATAGTCTTGACCCGGTCAATGCCATAATCCATCTGTAACCTAGGGCGTTCCAGACCACAACCCACCCCCCTACCCCCCGGGCGGACAGCGCTAACCGAGTCTGGCCGGGGTCTGTAACGGCCTATGATTGGTGATTTCACAGGAAAAGGCGCCCTGCTTGTGTGATTCATTCGCATGTGAAATACGTCATGGTCTGAATTTAACAATCTGCCCAGGTGGTCAGATCTAATTAGTAATCACTTTGCCTATTACGAAGTACGCGGGGTCGATACATACAGAGTACACAGGATGTACTTCGGTACGAACGAAGCACAGTACTCCGTACTTCTGTACGCGACTTCGGAGTGGTGCTCACTTAAAAGCGAACGAACAGGCACTCTTCACCAACGCTGATTATACAGTCCGCTTCCTAAAGAGCAACACACTATTTAACAAGTTACTTTGCCTCTAATCCAGTCATAATGCCTCGCATCTGGCTCATCACCGGCGCCTCCTCTGGCTTTGGCCTCGAGCTTGCCCGCGTTGCTGCCCGCCAAGGTGATCTTGTTCTTGCTGCCTCACGAAGCCCTGAGAAGCTCAATTCACTGGTCTCATCAGACAAGGTGAAACCAGTGTACCTCGACCACAACCAGCCGCTTTCTCAGATTCAGGCCGCTGTCAAGGACATTCTTTCGATCCATGGCACTGTTGACATTGTTGTTAACAATGCTGCATATGTCCAGACCGGTATGCTTGAGGAGGTTTCCCCCGAAGACACTTTACGCCAGTTCCAGGCCAACACGCTTGGTCCCTTAAATCTCTACCGCGCGGTGCTCCCGCATCTCCGTGAGAAAGGCACTGGTACCTTGGTCACTATTGGCTCCATGGCTGCCTGGTACCCCATGCCTGGTTGCAACCTGTACAATGCCTCCAAGGCAGCCTTGCGCTGGCTGGCAATTGGATTAGCTGGTGAGATTTCTCAGTTTGGAATCAACCACTGCTTGGTTGAACCAGGCTTTTTCCGAACCGAATTATTAAACCCCTCTGCCAATATCTCTGGTACGAGCGAGAGCAGCCGCCTACCTGCATACAGAGAACTCAACAGTACAACTGATGCGAACTTTGCTGCATTCAATGGTGCTCAGCTCGGTGACCCGGTCAAAGGAGCTCAAATCATCTATGATGTGGTCACCTCTTCCGGGGCTGCAGCTGGGAGGAAGTTGCCGGAGTTGCTTCCTTTGGGAAGTGATGCCAGCGAGGAGATATCGAAGTCTGCATCCAGAACATTGGCATCTGTGGAGGAGTTCAGAGCCATAAGCGCGTTGAGCGACATTTCCAAAGCGTAAATATGATTAACCGCTTATTGTACGTACTATACACCTTCGAGTGAACGTGAGATTCCACTAGCTTTTCCGACTTTCAGGTTCAATTTGCAGAGGCCGCACAGTATTACATTATTTGCTCAAATATACCGATAACATGAGCCACATAGTTTGAGGTAGTTAAGAGTAGATGAAAAATTCCTCGTTCCTGTATGTTACACTTGTGGAAAACAAAAATGTAGGTGAAAAGGAATTTCTTTTTGTACACAGCCGTGATCGTGGAGCTAGACATATATATGAATATCTACGTCTGAGCTTAGTTAATTTGCTGCGTTGGAGAGCGGACACTTGGACCTACCCACAGCTCCTCTGGCGGCCTGCAAAGCTTTCCAATGTACATCAGCAGTACCTAACGTTGTCTTCCATGCCTTTTCCTCATCATGTGTCAAGTTGTCAGGCTCTATCATAGGCATGTCACCCAATATCCGAAAGCGTTGACAGGCTCATTTGAGCTCCAGCGCGACGTCTGTATCCTCGCGGTATATCTTTATGGTAGCCTCGGAAATCAAGGGTTTGGAAGGAACTCTCACTAGTCAGGCCTATAGATGCCTTTTGGTTGCAATATTCCTCTTAAACTGGGCCACCAATCCGCCCTGTTGTGATACGATATGATTCAAAGTCCTTGAAACGAACCATGTGTGCAATTTGAACGGCTTCCTCGGCTATTTGAATCCGTTTATGGATCATATCATATGCCTTCTGCACTTTTCTGTTCGCTTGTTTGGCCTGCGCGTAACTTGCCTCGATGGAAGGGAGAGCAGAGAAGATTCTTTCAACTTTACTATGCCCGGGAATTATTAGAAGATCTTCCACAGCCAAGCAAGTGGTAGTTTGCATCCACTTGGAACTTCGTCACTCTTCATTCGCTATCGTAAGTCCTAGTCCGCTTCCATGTTTACTCTGTTCTATTTAACAGCACCATAGTTGTCCCCAACCACTGCGCCATTCGATCTAGCAGCTTAGACCAAATCTCTCTTTCTGTAGCATCTGCCACTTGCACCAACAGCTCCAACGTATACTGTCCGCCCCCCAGAGGCAACACATTCAGCCGGGCCGGCTCAGGAGGATCTGGGCGAGCAAGCTGAACAGGCACTAGAGGAATCTTGTGGCTTGCTGTGTGTAACTGCTCCGTGACATTTTGGAAGTAGATGACTGAGCCAAATGACTTCACGTGTGCTGGCCAAGCGGTGCAATGCTTTGTAATGTCAGACAGGCCGACTGTTTCGTGGCCAATCGAGTCGTTGAGTTGAGATTGAAGTGACTCGAGGATACTGTAAGCATCTGCAGCGGTATGCGTCACACCCAGTTCTTCTGAAAGTCTTATCCTCACGGGAGAAATGTTCAGACAGGGGCCGATGACATTCTCGATGTCAATAGCGGATGAAGCCAGTGTGCGTCCCGACACGCCACGGCCAAAGACAATGTCGTACTTGTCCGTTGTTTGGGCTAGGGCAATACCCCAGGCGGCTGTGAAGATAGTTGCGAGTGTCAAGTCTTTCGAAGTATGTGAAAAGTGAACAAGTTTCCGCAGTTCGGTGCGCTTCCCTGGTCTCAAAGCCTTCTCATAGGCACTAATGACTGAGACGGGGATTGGCGCATCATGTAGCAGTGTACTCCAGTGTTTGAAGGCAGAGGGAGATGCTGGGATGCGAATAAATGGTGAAAAGTCACAAATTGGAGGAAGTGGGTGATCATGATATAGTAAGTCAATGCATTCCACCATGCGAGGCAAACTGATTGCATCGTAGAGAGCGTGGGATATTCCCATCAACAGGCGAGCCTCTTCACTCTCCTCCGACTGCACAATAAAGAATTCCACAAAGGGCGAGCCAGGTGAAATGTCCTTCTTGAGGTTATCCATGCACACCTCTCCACATGCCTGGTCCAAAGACTTTTCCCGATCGTAATGGGTGTTGATTTTGGGTGGTAGGCTGCGCAAGATAACCTGAACAAACTCCCCGTCATCGCCGTGAGGCAGGAAAACGGCCCGGAGAATCTCCAGTGACGAGACCAGCTTCTCGCAGACACCACTCAACCTGGAAACAGACGCATCCTTGAATGACATTGCAAAGTAGTTCCACTCAGTACGAGGTATATCGAACGCGCAGTGAACGGCATAGCGCTGGAATTCTGTCACGGGAAGGATATCTGCAATCGCATTTTCCGTAATACCCATGTCCTTTGCAACTTTGGCAGCTTCTGGGAGCGATATGATTAACGGATCAGCTGTAGGAACATGACCATTGGTGGTTAAAGTCCCGTTCGTAGCTGCAACACTAACTTCGTGTGCCATTTGCTCAAGAACCGGATGCTGAAAGATGATGGAAACCGAAAGGGGTAGACCACCCTCCCGAGCAGCCCCAACAAGACGGATAGCAGTGATGGAATCACCACCAAGTTCAAGGAAGCTATCCTGGCGGCTGATTATGTCCGGCGATATTCCGAGCACACCTGACCACAGCTTACTGAGGGTCGCTTCATGCTCTGTTTTGGACTCCTCTACTGGACCTCTCTGCTGTATGGTATTCAAGTGTGTGCGTGCCCCGATTTGGCGCAATCCCTTGCGGTCGATCTTGCCTGCAGGTGACAGAGGAAGTTGCGAGAGCATTATGAAAGCGGTTGGTATCATATAGAGAGGGAGGCTCTGTGTAAGCTTTCGGGTCAAATCATTTGATGTAGCTGCAGACAGGGGTACTGGTTCCTCCAAAGAGGGGCCTTTATGGCTGTCGTGTGGACCACAGGGCGAGAGAAACACTACCAATCGTTGGGACTTTTGAGCCGAGCTTTGCAAATTAAACACTTCAACAACTTCGGCGGCAACTGTGTATGAGAGGGCAGGCAGGGCTTTTCGGACATGATACTCGACTTCTTCGAGCTCTACACGTTGTCCACGAAGTTTCACTTGCGTGTCAATGCGGCCCACGTAGGTCAATCTGCCTTCGTTGTCGGACTTAACCAAGTCGCCCGTCCGATAGAAACGACCCTGTGTGCGTGAGACAAGAGCTTCTTTCTCATTTTGAAGCCACGTTGGATCAGTGATAAATGCGGCAGCTGTTTTATCGGAATTATTGATGTAGCCCCGTCCAACCAGCGGCCCCTCGAGGACTAATTCGCCAACTGCCCCAATAGGCACCAGCCTGCCCGGCTGAAGACAGCTGATCACCCAAGCGTTTAATCCTACTGGCGGACCAATGTTGACATTTGTCGTGAACTCCTTTCCATAGCGGGCAACGGTACTAGACACTGTGCACTCAGAAGGACCATATAAGTTGCGAACCTCCACATTGGGTCCCCATCTAATAACATCGTCCATTTGGACGGCTTCTCCCCCGAGCGCAATTTTTTTGATCATAGGGAGAGTCTTCGGGTCAAGAGTCCGAGCCAGGGAAGGTGTGATGTTGAGATAGTTGACGCGCAGGTCGTGAATAGCACCGACGATATTGTTGCGGCGCTGGTCATCGGAGGGAACACAAAGACACCCACCCGCATAAAATGTGTGAAGAAATTCATACCACACCATATCAAAACTGTACGAGGACAAATCAAGCACGCGGGTTGTCTCATCAAATGAAATGTAGGGGTCGACATAAGTCATTGCGCTGCACGCGTTGGCATGCGTCATGACAGCTCCTTTAGGTGTTCCGGTACTGCCAGACGTAAATGTCACGTATAAAGCATTGTCAGCCGAAATAATGGGAATCCAAGAGTCGGTTTGGCCAAGATCAGAACCGATGATTCCTTGTAACAACTGGTCATTGACAATATGTACTGCAGCTCCAGAAAACTGCTCCGGAATAGTTTTGGTCGTTGCTGACGCTAGAATCAACCTCGGGCTGAGCTGTGAGTTGATGGAGCGTAGACGGTCTACTGCCTGGAACGGATCCATCATAACAACCACGCCTCCAGCAATAATAACAGCTAGCATTGCAACAGGCGTCCAAACGGATTTCTCGCAACAAATTGGGACTGCCACCTCAGGGCCGATACCTTGTTCAACAACGAGCCAGTAGGCCAAAAGGCGAGCTTTGTCGTAGAATTGACGGTACGTCAGCTCTCCGTCCCAGGAGCAGATTGCTGGCGCATCTGGCTGGATTTCCACCCGCTCTGCGATCAAGTGATCCAGTCGCCGATCGATACTCGGCGGAAGTGTGGCATTCCATGATGATACCTGCTGTCTGTCGGACTGCGACATGATATCAAGTCGCGACAGGGATCTTTCACTCGTGTTTTCATTAGGGTTGCATATCTCCCGGATAACGTGCTCCAGCTGAGCTAGCAATCGTTTTGCCTGAGTGGAGTCAATGACATTTTCGTCGAAGCTCAGGTGTACTGAGACACCACCCGCTAAAGAGGGCGATGATTCATCCAGGACACATTCAAGAACGAGAGCGTATGTCCCTCCCTTCAAGTCATCATCTCCAAGTTGCAGTCGAAGAATAGTGTTTTCACCGACGCCAGCGTCTTCTGGGGGTTGAATAACGAGCAACGACTGGAACTGACAAGCCTGCTGCGCACTAGAACCCAATTTTTGTATCCGGCCGATGCCATAATGTTCAAATGGAATCATGTCGGTTGCCTCTGACTGTATATCCTGCAGCAACTTATGCAGTGTCGACGAGTTCCAGTCTATCTTCACCCGAATAGGAACAGTGGCAATAGTTGGCCCAGCGATACGATCAACGCTAGCAAGAGGTGCTTGCCTGCCCATAACAGTCGATCCAAAGACAATATCACTAGAGTTGCAGAACTGGGAGACCAAAATTGCCCAGCTTGCTTTCAGTATCGTCGCAGGAGTGAAATCATCGGGCCATGCTACGGAGTCAAGCCTCCGCTTTCGAACGCTCGTGGTTGTTGGCTGATATTTAGTACTGGATAGGGCAGGAAATTGCGGAGCATTGCAACCCGCCAGATAATTCTCCCAGAACTGCTGGGAAAGCTTCGTCTCCAATTTATTTTCAAGATACTCGATGAATTGGTTGTATGGGAGTAAGCCTTGCGTGGCAGTGTCTCCGCGGTAAATAGACTCAACGGCGTTTATAACCAGTGAAGCAGACCATCGGTCGTAGATGGCATGATGAATATTCATGATCAGAGTCGCAGAGTCAGACCCCCCGTTGTGGACTCAACCTGGGATTTCACCAGTGCGAACCAGAGCAGGTGGTCTCCCAGACCAACAGGCAGTTGCCGCACCTCGTCCAGGGTATCATACTCTACCCAAATAGGGAGGGTCTTTGTGATGACCTGCAGCAGCCCTTGTCCTGCAAATTCCACGATACGTGTGCGAAGTATTGGATTCGCAGCGATCACCTCAAACCAAGCTGATTTCAATCGGGCAATATCAACATGCGCCGGGAGATGAATGTAGCCCTGCGAGACGAACTCTCCAGGGCGGCGAGCAGTATGCACCATCATCATGCCCTGAATTGGTGAGCACGGATACGCATCTTCGATCTCGTCTAGATGACTATTGCAGGCCTTCGCGAGGGCTTCTTTGCTGACGTTCTTTTCAAGCAATGAAAAAGGTTCAACAGTATCTGAAAGCAAAGACTGTATTCCTCCTAAGGGCTCCAGTGCCTTGGCAGCCATGTCTGACAGACGAGTGGTGCGCAATACCTTAGCAACTGACAGTAAGTACCCTTCTTTTCGGGCAGCTGCGACGAGCTGCATCGCTCTGAGAGAATCGCCACCCAAGGCAAGGAACGAGGTGTGCCTGTTGATCATGGACTTTTCCACTCCTAACGTGGCAGCCCACAGGGATTGTAAGAGAATCTCTAGCTGGGTTCTTGGAGGATCATTGTTGCTTGTCCATAACGATGTCAGGGTATTGCGATTTAATATCTGATCTGCGGGACTTTGCATTGCGATGCGCCTCAATTCATCGTGGTCGAGTTCTCCCGAGGTCAACCTCGGCATCTTGGAAACAGGGAGGAATAGAGATGGTATCATGTGTGGCGGTAGCTTTTCACTAAGTTGTTCCATCAACTTGCCGAGGACCATGTTGGATTGGGAAGATCCAACTTGGCCTCGTGCTAGACAAACGTAGGCCAAAAGCTGTTTTGAGAGACCCAGGAGCTCGAAAATATCCACTGCAGCATCTACGATTTGTTCTGGTAAAGAGTCCTTGATGCATGACTCAATTTCCATCATTTGGGAGCTCTGTCCCTGCTGATTGAAACTGACAATATGAGTGTGCTCCTCATCTGACAAGATTCCCATCTCCCTGAGCTTGATAGGATTCTCTGACTCGGTTATGAGAGACCTCACGATGTGCTCCATATCGCTCAGCATCTGTTGAACCTTATCCTCCCCAAGGACTGTCTCATCAAAGCTTGCACGAAGATGGAATCCGTCGCGACCTAGCTCACAATCAACCATAATGGCGTATGTATTGAAGGCCTGGATGTCGTCTCGACCGTCAGCCAGATTGAACAAGGCGTTCTCCATCGATGGGACCTCTGACTGAGAGACTGGCTGGACAACAAGGAAGGTCTGGAACTGACAAGCGCGCAGCATGTCGTAGCCCAGCTGGCGAATGCGTTTGATGCCGTAGTGGACGAATGGAATCATCTCCACGGCCTGGTTCTGCACGCCCTGGAGGATGTCTAGAGCGCTCTGTCCATCCCAGTCTACCACAACTCGGATCGGAACTGTAGCGATGGTAGGTCCCACTACTCGCTCAATCCCAGCTAAGGGAATTTGTCGACCCAGAAGCGTCGCTCCGAAGACGACCTCGCTGGCGCAAGAATGCTTAGACAATACCATTCCCCAGGCGGCTTGCACAATGGTGCTCGCGGTAATACCTGTGGCCTTGGTCCATTCAATTCCAAAAACAATGCGCTCTTGCAGGGCTGTGGCATGCGGCCTGTAGTTTGGAACCGGAAGAGTGGGGAACGGACGCAGGTGAATATCTTTCAAATAGCGCATCCAGAAACGGGAGGCCAAACTAGGATCCGAAGTGTGCAAATGCTGGATAAAGTTGCGATATGGGAGGATGCCATCGTCTAACACCTTTGAGTCTCCTGGATTGTAGTACTCTTGGGCTAAGGTTTTACCTACCAGGCTCATAGACCACCCGTCATAAACAGCATGATGCATGGTGAAAACCGCTTGGAGACGCGTGGGGTGCTGTTGCTGCGACCTTTGCTGTCCAACAATGCTGAGTCTCATTAACGGTTCCCCTAGTCCCATTCCGTTTCCTCGCTCAGCTTGCAAACACTGATCGAGGTCGGAGTACTCAGTCCACTGCATAGGGCCACTGAGGATAACCTGGGAAAAGGCATGATCGTAATTGACGGCAATGTCCCCTACGGCCATTTTTGTATCCACAATACGGGTCCGGATGATTGGAGACGAGCGCGTGAGGTTCTCCCAAGCGTCATGGAACCGAGAAAGATCCATTCCAGAAGGCAAAGCGACCACAGTCTGGGTGACGAAATCTTCCGGATTGCGAGCTCCCAGAACGATCATCTCTTCTTGAATGGCTGAGCACGGAAAGACGTCTTCGATCTCAATCGGTTCGCACTTGCAGATCTTGGAGATGTTGTCACGAGCCAAATCAATCAACTTCGCATCCGGAGCATCACCCAGTAACATGGAGAACGGACTTGATGGCATCGACGTCTCCTCTGGTGGTTCCTGCCCAGCACCCTCATCCATTGTAATTGCCATATCGCATAGGCGTGGATGACGGAAGATGCCTGCGACATTGATGCTGCTGCAACCTTCTCGTCGTAAGGCGGAAACAAGTCGCATTGCCGCTAGTGAATCCCCTCCTCGGGCAAAGAAGTTGTCACAGGGTAGAAGAGGCGAGTCAGTGTTTATAGTCAGCACCTCGTTCCAGAGGCGCTGAAGTGTGATTTCGACAGAAGTCATGGGTCGGTCTGCGTCCTGAGCTGGCAAAGCTCCAGTTGCTTCCGGCAGAGAGTGCACGTTGAGTAGCTGATCCGGTGCCATTAATGCCATCCGCAGAAGGCTCTTACGATCCGTCTTCCCTGTCGCCGTCATTGGAACAGTATGCAATGGGAAATATGCAGAAGGGATCATGAATCGAGGCAACCGGTCTGATAGTCCTTCGTCCAACTTTTTGATCAACTGCACCAGCTGCAAACCATTGTCCTGTCTCAGGTGAATGAACGCGAGCAGTTGTTTCTGACCCGATGGCCAGTCCACCGCTTCCACAACGGCATTAACTCCTTCTGGGAGACATTGGCCGACATGATACTCAACCTCTCCAACCTCCACACGCTGACCATTGATTTTGATCTGTGTGTCGGCGCGGCCAATGAATGAGATTGATCCATCTCTGTTATACCTCGCCAAGTCCCGGGTACGGAAGATCGGGCTGTCTGGGGCCAACGCAACGCCTGGTAAATACCCACCGGGTACGTTGACAAGTGAGTCCTGGGTCTTACGCTCATCACCGAAATACCCCTGACCGATGATTGGACCATCAATAAGTAGCTCACCGACCGCGCCAACTGGTGCGAGACGATTAATATTATGAATATCAGCAATCCAAAGGTTGGCGCCTAGTGGAAACCCGACGCTCTCTGCATCTTTAACACAGTTGATGTTGCGGTTCGCCGCGCACATAATAGTGCACTCAGATGGTCCATAAGCGTTGATGACGCGCACTCGACCCCGTGTTTCCAGCCAAGGTTCAAGTACGTTGCGGTTGATCTTCTCTCCTGTCAGGATGAGAGTGCGCAAGCGTGGGAGCTTGTGTGGGTCCAAAAGACGGGAGGTAGAAGGGGTGAGTTGTACAAACTCGACCTCCATCGACTGCAGTACTGATTGCAAGTTGTTGATTCGGTCGTTGTCGGACGGGACACACAAACAGCCCCCAGTGAGGATGGTGTGAAAGGTGTTGCATACATAGGCATCAAAGCTGTATGATGAGGAGTCAAAGGTACGGACTCCAGTATCGAAGCCGAGCGCCCGCGCCTGGTGTCCGACAGCAGTACAAAGGTTGGCATGTGAGATGGTGACGCCTTTAGGCATTCCCGTGCTGCCAGACGTGAACACGATGTATAGTTTGTCCGATGGAGCAATCTTGCCGCAGAGTACAGGGATCTCGGCGGGCGAGATGTCGCTGTTGGGTTGAAGAAGCTCCTCATCCACAATAATAGTGCCTTCGCTCAGTGAGCGAGCCAACTTGGCCGTATCATGCCGTGCAAGGATTGTAGTTGCTTGAATTTGCTGCATGATACCCTCCAAGCGGCCAAAAGGCTGATGCGGGTCCAGCATGATGAAGATACCTCCTGTTTTTGCGACGGCTAAGAGAGTGATAGTCGTCCACACTGTCTTGTCAAAACAAAGAGGGACGATGAGTCCCGGACCCGCAATTTTATTTTTGATCAACCATGCGGCCAGTTGAGTTGACTTCTCGTCGAGCTGGGCATAGCTCAGCTCTCCGTCCCATGCGTGAACAGCAGGATGATGGCCGCGTCGCCGGGCCTGATAGGCAAAGATATCGGTGACGCAGCAGTTGACCAGCCTGGGTCTAGACCCATTCCATCTCCAAATAAGTGCTTTATCTTCATCGCAGAGAGTATCGAGATCTCCAATTGAGCTTTGCTGTTGGTGCAGAGCAGGGTGGCAAAGCTGGCGGATTAGATGACTGAGCTGGAGGCCCATTCTTTGGGCCTGTGCATCGTCTATGATTGCCTCATCAATGTGGAATCGCAGGAGTAAGCTCTGATGAGGGATCGATGGAAAACACTCGACTATCAGAGCTAGTGAATTTGTGCGGAGGGTCCTCGCGGTGGAGGAAGGATGATTTTTCTGGGTACAAAGCAACGCTCATTAGCATGTGGTCACATGTAGATATATACTATGTCATCGCTGAGGTGTGTTGAGCACTCTTTCAGGTACTAGGAGGCAACATACCTCGTAGATTTCTGGCTCGGCATCTCGAATCACAATTGATGTTCGAAAGTCGCAAGCCTCTTTCGATTCTGAACTACATGATTGAATTCCATCCAGGCCCATATAGGGCTGGACCCCCTGCATCGCCGCTACTCGGGACTGATTTGCCTGCAGCCATTGCACCAGATCGTATTCCCAGTTGATCGGCACTCGCAAGGGAAGGATATCTTGCAGGGTTGGACTTTCTCGCAAGGGATTCATATTCGTTCCAAATACCACATCTTGGGTATTGGCATACTGAGCCAGGAGCAATGCCCAGGCCGCCTGTATTCTGGTCGACAGGGTATATGGGCTATCAGAGCCAGTCGCGCAGTCAAATCGGTCAACTCCATGGTCAACTATCTTTGTAATAGATGGGTGATACGCCACATCAGGGAGCACAGGATATGAGGAGGTTTCCAAGTCGGCAAACGTTTGTTGCCAGAATTGTTCAGCCATCTTGGACTAACAATTGGTTAGAATCATTCGTTTGTATAATTCATTGATCTTGTCCCAGGATTATATGAGAACAGGTAGCACGGGGCGGTGTTTATAAATAAGTGACCGTGGCCTCTTTCGACAATCCTCAGGCCTTCCTATAGCATGACTACTGAGGGTAATATATAGTAATCTTGCCCAAGTATCCAGCTGCAGTACAAAGTACAAAGTACATATGATGGGCCTGAAACGTACTAGTAGATTACGCGATACCGCAATATGAAAATAACGCGCGGTATGGTAACAACCTGACCTCGGGACCATGTGCACATGTGTCAGACTGGGATATCCCCCCCCAAGGCCCTAAGCAGGAACCCTGGCTTTCGTTATGTGTCGAATACTGAGTCGAGTCCATGGTTGAATACAGGGTATTTACCCAGAAAATCATATTACCACTAGTCCGAAATATATCATACAAAAGTGCATATTACAGTTAGTCACCATATCCGTTGAAATTCTTTGTTTTATTATTTCACATATACCATTACTACATAGTAACTAGTTAGACATATACACACCACTGAGGTTATCCATATATTGTTGTACCACCATACTTCTGTCATTATGGCCTAGATGTAAAATCCCGTATTTGATTCCGTCAACAAGAATAGCCAAGCCTCGCCAAGCCTTCCCAAGCCGCAACTAAATTCGCTTTCCGCCGGCCTCCCGTCGGCCCCACTGCCTCGTTAGGCATATGTTGTACATTTCCCTATGGATCGGCAGTAGGTGGAGACTGGGTCGTTTTCAATTTAACCACGATTCGCTGGCTGACGAACTTATTGTGCATTAATAGGGGATTCATATTCTACATCGGGCTGACGTGATTCTCCTGAAATACTCGCCACTCCGGCTAGTGCTTTTCTCATGACATTAAGGCCTTGGTTTCTATCCTTATTAGGGATAGCGTTCCAGCTACTGGGCCTCTTGGACGCAGCTCTGGTCTCCGAGACTCAAGCCATAGCAGAATTCAGAGATCAAGCCATAGCAGAATTCAGAGACACAAGTGACGGGTCCGACATTGATCATGCGCAGGTTGAGGGCCTGAAGTTCGGGTATCAACGTCGGAAACAGAAAGTGACAGAATATTGGGAATATGTGCGGACCACCCATATTGAAGGCTAGGACTTCAACATATTTCTACTGGCTAATATTAGCAATCAAGCACTGCAGTTGATCATCCCATATGCCTCCAAGCGCTTCTCATGGTGTATCGCGCGTGCTAGCTTACTCATTACCTTGAAAGGAATCATCAATCCTGTCACTCTATTGCCTATTCTTCCTCGGCTGCCTGTATGGCTGAGTAGACACGTAACACAGGAATCGGTCTGGCGCATAGCCTAGGCTCGCTAGTCGCAGGACCGATTCTAGTAGCAGCATTTGGACGCGGCCTGCGATATGGCGGTGTTTGGATGCGTCTGCCATACATGGTCACTGGGGCATTGCTGTTGATGGCAAGTTGCTTGGCCTGTGTGAGTCGCGTCGAGGGATAAAAGCGCAGAGTCTAGGAATGAGGCTCAATACTGTAGATAACGTAAGAGTCCAAATGGCCAAGCACATTTCTATTCCTGCCAAGAATATGCGACTCTCTACTGGCACAGTTCCAATGCCCCTTCATCCAAGTACTGGGATCATCATATCCACATGAGTAATATTTTTCTACATCAATTCATCAGGTTCCTATTCTTGCGAAGTGTATCTGCCGCGAACTACCTCAAATTTGGGTCGCTTCTCCTCATGCGTGCTCCATATTTCATCATTATAAATGGAACCGGCCCAAGCCCCAATGCAATGAAAGCCAACAAACTATTACCCCACCCCATGCCTAGAGCATCATACAATTTTTGTCCTCCCAGAGGCAATAGAGCACCCACTAGACTCCGCAGGACGGTAGATGCTGCCATAGCGGAGGCAGCATGTTTCTCAAATGCATTAACCACGTAGATCTGTACAGGCTGGAAGATGCCCATCATGGCAAACCCAAATACACCGAGTCCCACTAGCGGCACTACTGGGAATGCATTTCGTTCCAGCGACCATCCGTACCAGAACAGACCTGCCGGGACTAGAAAGCTCGATGGGATCATGGGCCAGAGCCAGCCTTCTGGCTGTAATACTTCATCTGGGTCTGAAGCTTTCTCTTTCCTTCGCTCGGTGACCTTGTCGGATGCATAACCGATGATGAAAATTCCTGGCAAACTTATTAGCGCTTTTTCTGCACAGTATAACCAGAGGTTTGCAGGAGATTACCCAGAACTGTTCCAATTCCATTGCCCAAATAGACAAGTCCTGACAGACCTGTAGATAGGTGATACTTCTCCCGAAATATATATGAGAGCGTAGTGAAAACCAGGTACTGGTACCCGTATACTATAGCTGTGCTTATTGCAAGCAGGATCACAATAGGTGATGTGAAAAGAATTCGGAAAGGTCGTATAAGGGTATCAATAACGAGCCTCTTCTGGGAGAGTTGCCGGTCGAATCGCGACTTCAGCTGAGGGTTACCAGTTTCTTTGCGCAAACGCTTCGCTTTGCGTTCCAAGAGAACTGGAGCATAGCTTTCTCGAATTAATAAAGGGAATATGGCTGTGAGAATACCCATCTGTCTCCATATAATGTCATCAGTATGGGGTTTTGAAGAAGCATACATGAACAGTACATACGGGAATGACGATAACCCAAAAGATCCATCTCCAGCCCGCATATTGGCTCAGATAACCACCTGCAATGGGAGAGAATACCTGTACACCATTCAAGTCACTGTTTGCTGCATTGCCGTCGAAGAACTCAAGGAAGCCTTACCGGTGGTGCCAATGAGCCCAATCCCCAGATGGCCATCGCAGTTCCCATTCGTTCCGGTTCCATTAGATCGCTGATAGACCCTCCACCCAAAGCGAGGGGGCTAGCCCCAGCACAGCCACATAACAGACGAAAGGCAAGAAACATACCTACGTTCGTGCTGAGAGCGCATCCGATTGTGGCACCAAGGAAGATCACATTCGAGACATTGTAGACAACTGAGCGGCCATAAAGTTCTGACAGTGGCGCCACCAGCAGCGGCCCGATTGCAAATCCGATCACATAGATTGATACCACGAATGATTCCAACTCTGAATTATCGGAGTGAAGCGATTTCATCACATCCGGTACGGCGGGAGCTAACATCGATGACCCGATCGACCTAAGGCAAGCCCATCAATATGGGCCCTCTTACATAGGGCAGAGAAGAAGCCGGAGAATGGAACGCGGCCCTTACGTTATAAAGGTCAGAAGCGAAATAATGACAACATGGGACCATCGGCGTACAACGCTCCAGTTCTTTGGATTTGATCGATCCTCGTCGCTATCCCAGAAGACATCGTTTGGATTCTGTGTCTCATCGTTTCCCGCGGGGCTGGTACTGCTTAACATTGTCTGAGGGGATATCCCCTCTTCAGCAGTCTTGGAGGAGGCCATGCCCTATTCACTTGCCCTATCGAGGACTTTCAGGTTGTGGTCAAGAGCCAGATAGCCGGTTATAGCCTTCGATGCGGGGGTGGAGGAGTGGATGTTTCGGGATTGTTTCGCCGGCGTTGTTACCCTCCGACCTTCTCACTCCTTTTAAATAAAGTGTGCGAGTCAAAATGGCTCTGGGCTGTTCGCCTGGGGGACCTGGAATATACCCAAATACACGTGACCCAGCCCTAGCGTGCCGCGACACTCGTTGGTCAAAAGTACCTCTACTTTGTTCTGGCCTGTTCTGGGCTCTGGTTGGGTATGTAATGCAGGCGAAATCGGGCTAGTAATTTTCAAACCCCTTTTTAAATTGAAACCCTGCAGGGCCACATGCAGGGCCACCCACAGGGCCGGGTGTCTAAATTTGCCTTAAGGATCTAGCGTGTTGCTGAGATCGGTACTGTACCGAAGCGAGATCCAAGCGTGGCATACTAAGCATCCAGGTTAAATGCAGGTAAAGTTTATCTACGTCCGTTCCCCACATTTATCCGTGATGCTGGCCCAATCGATCAGTTCGCGATGGTATATTTCCAGTACCTAGAGCTGGCATCAGCTGTTTACTCTGCGGGCAATATGTCAATTTTCCCTACTTTGCAGTGCATATTTCCAATCAGATCTGTCAGGTACCCCAATCGGCAATGCGTGATTCATCAACAACCAAAGAGGAAAATGCCCTCAAAAGGCAGTAAGCAGGATGTCTCTCTACATGTCAGCTGTAAGATTAGTGTTCGGGGTTCCGACGGTACTTCCGTCTTGGATACAACTTCTTAGAGCCACAGGGATTCCTGTGCTTGCAAAAGTCCCATTCCCAAGTGATCCTTCTCCTGCACTCGTCGGTTTTGAGGAACAAGTCCCGATGGCTTACTTCTGGCCGAGATTGAGGGGGGATGAGACCACGTCTAGTATCCTAGTGTAGCATCGTGTCCTTTAGATAATGTGTATAAAGACTGGACGTTAGCAGCAAACTCCAGAATCAAAATCAACTTCTCGAATAATCCTGATATATCCAACATGGGGAGCACGTTTCCTGAGCGTAAATATGACATCGACCATCAATGGCCAACTCCTCACGCAAGCAAAGCTTTGCAGTCATGGGGCAAGCTCAACTCTCATATTAAAACTGGTACTCTCCAAATCGATGGCAGTACATTAGATCTGGCGGCCGTCGTCGCTGTCGCACGGTCAGTCTTTACCCTAGGCAATGGTGATGAGACTCACTCTTACTCTCGGGACTCTCTAGGAACGGTGTACACGTGGCTCTCTCTGAGGATCCCAGAATCATCCAGGGTATCGAAGGGAGTGTCGAGACCTTACAAGACTATCTCTCCAAGGGCTATTACCTCTATGGTCAGTGACTAGCCAATCCACACGCCGACAGCAAGGACATATTTCTCTGACAAGCAACCTCCATAGGCGTTAACACCGGGTTTGGAGGCAGCGCCGACACACGAACTACAGACTTATATGGGCTGCAGCGTGCTTTGATGCAGCACACCCAAAGCGCAGTTCTGACTAAGGAAGACAAGACAGACTCCCCCAGCAGTCATGAATACCTCGAGTCTCACAGCATGCCAAGTGCATGGGCCAGGGCTATGACAACTATTCGCTGTAACGCTAACATTCGCGGTCACTCGGCTATGACCCGCAACGTCGTTGACTCGATGATCAAGCTGTTGGAGCATGACATCGTGCCGATCGTGCCTTTGAGAGGCTCCATCTCAGCTTCTGGAGATCTGATGCCCTTGTCATATCTTTCTGGAACCATCCAGGGAAACCCAGATGTCTACGTGCGCGTCGGAGGTCGCAAGGGCCCACCTCGTGTCAAATCAGCGCAGCAAGCCCTCTACGAGGCTTCCATTGAGCCCATTGTTTTGGGACCTAAAGAGGGACTGGCCCTAATCAACGGAACCGCTGCCGCCACAGCCGTGGCTAGCTTGGGTCTTTATGAAGCTAATCAACTCGCGGTGGTCTCACAACTGTTGACTGCACTCTCATCTGAGGCGCTCTATGCCAACAATGAGTGGGCCCATCCCTTTATCGCTGCGGCACGCCCACACCAAGGCCAGATTGAGGCTGCTCAGAACATCCGAACTTTCCTGAGGGGATCACGGCTGTCATACGGACTGGAGCAGACCAAGGACCGCTGCTCTCAAGGTCTAGCCCAAGAACGATATGCGCTGCGCAGCTCACCACAATGGCTCTCGCCGCAGCTAGAGGATCTCCTTAGTGCGGAGAAGCAGCTTGTGACAGAGCTTAACTCCACCTCCGACAACCCGGTCGTCAACTGTGCTGATAATGACATCCACTGTGGTGCCAACTTCCAGGCAGCGGCAGTCACATCGGCCACAGAGAAGATTCGCCTGGCATTGCAGTCTATTGGCAAAATGCTTTTCAGCCAGGTCAGCGAGATGATCAACCACGACTTGAGCAATGGGCTTCCGCCCAACTTGGCAGCCGATGATCCTAGTCTCTCCTTCTGCCTCAAGGGTATTGACGTCAACACTGCCGCCTATACCTCGGAGCTGGGATTCCTAGCTAACCCCGTCAGTAACCACGTACAGTCTGCTGAGATGCACAACCAAGCCATCAACTCGCTTGGTCTTCTTTCTGCGCGCCAAACGATGGCTGCAGTTGAATGTCTGTCCTTGATCGTCGCCAATTCGCTGTACACAGGCTGCCAGGGCGTAGACCTACGCACATTGCACCGCACTTTCATTCCAACCCTGGAAGAGCCCGCCCGTCAACTTGTCGCCGGCCTCTTTCCTGATCACCACGATCTAGCGATAAGGGAACAATTCTTCACCACCTTTTGGAAGCAATTCGAGAATGCCTGGTATGAGGCTGCTGCATACGACGCCGCTGAGCGTGCCCAGAGAGCTTCCCAGTCGTTAGCCATGGCCGTCTTTGTGAACGCCCAGGAGATACCCATGATCGTGTCTGTGGAGACAGTAACGAGCTTGACCAAGACTTTTGAGAATCTTATTTTACAGTCTTATGTGCGCCACCGTGATGCGTTTTTCCAACAGCCAACTACTGCCGAGTATCTCGGCCAAGGCACCCAGGCTGTTTATCTTTTTATTCGCGAGAAGCTGGGCGTGCCTCTGCACCGGGGTCTCGTCGAGCATCCCGTGGCAGGAGACAAGCAAGGCAATATAATTGATGGCCGTCCTAAGAAGACCATCGGATCCTGGGTGTCGATAATCTATGAGGCTGTTCGGGATGGGTCGTTGTATGCTGAAGTGTTTCAGTTTCTGGAAGCTAGTGGCGGCGTGAGTGTGTCGGGTGGGACAAATGGAACGAAAGCTGCGAACGGGTTGAACTGAAATGGTGATCATTAATCCAACTCTTAGACTATCATGATGGTTAGAATGAAATTGCAACCTCCAAACAGACTTCCGCGCAACCCATTTTCGGTCTAACTCGTCATTAATAGTCTCTATTTCCTCTGTTAGTCACTTGAAAGTCGGATGCTGAAGTCGATAGTCGTTGGGGGCGGTAAAATCGTTAGGGGGCTTCACCTGGCTGCACTCAATAGAGCCGGATTAACAACCAGATCTGGTCGGTGCTTGGTGAGTTGGACTGATTGTCGGACCGAAATATGGCCCCTATAGGCCCTAAACAGGAACCTTGGTTTTTTGCTATGGTCGAATGGTAAAACATGCCGTATTCCTTCCCAAACTGTTCACTGGGGTCAGATCTTGTAACTTCGCGGCGCGATCCACTGTTATCCTGCTGAACCCCACGGGGCTGCATTACGATTATCTTGTTCAGAGAAGAGTTTAATGGTGCGGGTTAGTGAAGAAGCTGATTTTCTTGAAAGTAGGGATGGAGGAGTCTGTTCGCTCCTACCCAAAGGTTCCAATGTTGATGGCGGGTGAGGCTCTGCTCCACACATCCTCTAGCCACTTCTCAACATCGCCACTTTTACATTTATGTAACTGTTCCTGAGGTCCACGGGTTATTGTCTGACAATTTGGAGCTCTCGGGCTATAAATTCCGCAAGCCGAACGGGTTCGAATACCCCACTATTCCCGTCGTCGAGTAGACATCGTTCAGTGTGAAACTGCAAATGATCCATTATCGATCCGGCTTATACCTGTTATGTTGCTCTGGTCTCTTAACTCTCAAGTCGAGTTTCGAAGCGCTGATCAAATCGCATTTCTCCCAGTTTGCCTCTTCAGTGATAAGCTCTAAGCGGATGTATTTCGCGTCGAATCAGTCACACAGGTCAATGATCAAAGTATGCATATTGTCCGAAGCTACTATCGTAGCCTGTTTTCAAAAGAAAAGGTATAGGCCGCAAGGTCAGGTTTTTTTGAAGGGAAGAAAAAAAGAAAAAAGAAAAAAGTAAGCAATGACCGCCGCGGGACTTCGAAATTTGCATCTCACACTCTCCCGCTGAGTTACCACCGCAAGTGATGATGTAACGCAAAGAGAATAGTTAATTATACTAGCCTTATCCCTAACGGAAGCGTACATCTTACTTAAGCTTTTATTGCTCTGATTTCCGCTCTGTAGAGTACCCAGACCAAGTGATATATATATTTAGGCAACGGGCACGCTGGTAAGGCTAGGTTTAATTAATTCCTGTATCAAGTACCTACGTAGGTATTCATCTGAATCACTCCGTTAACCAACTCCCACCGCACCCAGAATCACCCTCTGCACCGTCCACCGGGCGATTTAGCCCGGAACAGCAACAGCAACGGCACGCAGATACCCGCAGCCAAGTAAGACGAGACACTCCTTAAGTTTACATTGCTCATTCCATGCATCAAGCAGACCAAGAGCAATAGCTTCATCTCTTGCGGAATCCGGAAGCTATAGGTCCTCTAGGAACCATAGCTGCAGGCGGGTCCTTCCTCACAGTCCCTCGGCCTGGAGCGTCTTCATGGTCGTCTCCCTACCCTTAACACTCTCAGCCAGCGCCCTATACTTTGGGAACCTCCCCTCCAAATCCTCATCAAGCTCTACCTCAACCCCCCACCTCCAAAAGACAAACAAATAAGCATCAACAACCGTAAACCCGTCTCCCACAGCATGAACCCCACCCAACTTCCTCTCAATATCCTCAAAGCAGCCTTTCACAATCTCCATCCCCTTTGCTCTGACCTCTTCCCAGTTCTCGGGCCTCTCACTAAACCGCTGGGGCCGAAACGTCATCCCGAACCCTACCCCATGCAGAGTCCCTGATAACCACGCCATCCACTCAAGACACCGGACAGAGTCGAGCGTGCCCGGGCGCCCCAGGAGATACTTTTCAGGGGCCATGTTCGCGATTGCGGTCATTATGGCTGGGTTTTCGGTGATCACGACGTCGTCGAGAGTTAGGGTTGGGATTTTGGCTTTTGGGTTTAGGGATAACAGTTCTGGTGTGAAGGAGCCTAGCTTTTCGCGTTGGATGTTGAAGGGTAGACCTGTTTCGTGGAGAAGGATGTGCGGTGCTAGGGAGCAGGCGCCTGGGGAGTAGAAGAGATTTATTTCGGTTGACATTGTGACGGTGATAGTGATACGGAGTAGTGTTTTGGTTGTTATTCTTTGGGTTGCGAGGGACCTAAATGGTACAATATGGATGAATATGGATGGAGCATATTTATGTAGTTTGACAGAAACGACTCCACAACGGAAAGTGAACCGCGGGCTTAATAATTATTTCAATGAAGCCCGGGAATTAATAATGACAACCTTGCAAGTCTCGACACAAAGTGGGTCCAAGTCCGGGAATCGCGCCGGCCCGCAGGACTCTCAGGTACATATGTAAGATTTCAATATATCTGATTTTGTCCATACGTTATCGTACTGCCAGATTTCTGTCACCTTGCTTCCTAACATGCGTCTCAATCCATGACAGGAGCTTTCCTCCGCGTCAATGCACACTATTCTACTTTCAAACCAATCATTTTCAAAGACTCTTTCCACAGATTCTCCTCTTTCTCTTCATCAAAGGCGTGTGCCTCGTATCCGGAATCAAGCATTCCCGCTCCCTTCTCCAGCGGCCAGCCTATCATGCAGTTTTCCAAATATATTCCACCCATACCTTCTAACTCACTCGACACAGCCCCAAAAACCGTGGTTGCTGCCCCTTGCTCCAAACTTTTCATGGCCGATTTGAGTTCATCCTTCTCCAATAAAGCAGCGGACTGTCGATCAACATATTTATACAGTCCCGTGAAAATGACCCCTGGGTGGAGACTGAGGCCATGCACACCCCGTTCACCGTAGTGTCGCTCGATAGAGTTTGCCATATAGATGTTGGCTGTCTTGCTCTGGGCATAAGCCTTACCCGAGTCGTAGCTGCCCTTTTCGAAGTTCATATCCCCAAATTGTATTTCGGAATATCGGTGTGCGCCAGAAGACACCATGACAACACGGGAGTTCCTCTCTGGGGTAGCAGAATATAGAAGTGCCGGTTTCAAAAGTTGAAAGAGCAGGAAGTGCGCCAGATGATTGGTGCCAAACTGGGTTTCAAACCCGTCCATGGTTTTTATGAGGGTTGGAACCCTCATCACACCAGCGTTGCAAATCAAAGTGATGAGTCTTCCTTGGCTCTTTTGAAGAAATTCATCTGCGCAAGAACGTACACTGGCAAGAGATGTCAGGTCTAGATGGAGGAGCTCGACGTGGCCAGACAAGAGAATATCTGACAGGACCTCATTGGCTTTCTTCAGGTCTCGGGCTGTAAGGAAAAGCTTTGCGCCAGTTGAAGCCAGAGCCTTGGCTGTCTCAACACCAATACCGCCGGAGCAGCCAGTAATGAGAATTGTTTGGGAGGAAAGGGCGCCTGAGAGCTTCTCATCCTCGATGATCTGGGAAGCCGTTGGACGCGAGTCTCCAGGGCCAGCCGATGATACGTGGGCAGCGGCGTACTTGGAAGTCATATTCTTTAATAGAACAGAATAGCCTTGGGTGATGAGGGTTGAGAAGAGCAATAACAATGCACGAGATTAACCAAATCAATGAAGCTAGGAAAGGAACAACAAATGGGATATATATATATTGCACAAGTTGAGAAAATTACCGACTATTATTCCCGGTGTTAGTCTATAGTGGAGTTACTAGGCAGTCATACACTAGAATGGAATCCTTCAGTAGGTGTCTATGACCATGATTGGCTGACGATGCGAAAAAAACAGGGCGCATATTTATATGATTCCTAAAGTGTTGGTTTCTGCCTCTAGAAGGCATTACTGTCCTAGTATTTCTTTAAACTCGAATGTTTTCCAGGACTCCCGAAGGCCAGCTGATATAGTGAAATTTACAGAGTCAGCGTGCTGTGTTTCATTCCTCGTTCAATGGCACTGGATATCGGTGAGGACCAAGGACCAGGTTGATGCCAATGCCGATAGCAAGTACCGCTGGCCGAAGTGGTATCAGGATCTCAAAGCCAGGGTTACATTCAGAAAAACTTAACTTCCTGCTGTGGATGCAGGAGTATGAGATAGGTTGGGAAGGGGGAACACTGACAAAAGTTCTGTTCGTCCGGCTTTTTGTCCGTATGCCAAAACACCAAACACGATCATACTTGGCCCACGGGGGCCCACTAAAGTAGACAAGCTCGTTCGCTCTCCAAAAATTCTAAGATCAACATCCTTAATCAAAAAGAAATTCTGTAGGATGTTAGCTCGAAGCTGGTCGAGAGCTTGGGCCACTTTATATTCAGAAGATGAGCTGATGGCCGGATTTGCATGCTTGACAACGGCAAACTGGATCTACCGCCAATCGGGAGGGTTGTGGTTGATTAAAAGAACATTGGCAAATGAAGTAATTCTACCTAGTATTCTAATTTAGTTTGTCAGTAATCTTTTGATTATACTACAACATAAGCACCATGTAATGTATGTGGGTCTTAAGTTTGCCCGTCTGACTTTTGGTTGTCCGAAGTTTCGGTCGGACTACGTTCTCGGAAACACATGGCTTGCCGGTTCCATAGTTTTAAATGCCGAAAACTGTGATGGGAGCCTGCTCTTGTAAGGTTTCATAAGGTCTCTTAAAAGAACACGGGACATTTTCAAAGGGGTATGTGGATTCTCAAAGCTTAATATGGGGTATAAGCCACGAGGTTGCCGACTCTCATTCCCGGTGTTGATCTACCAGAGTTAGTATGCAGTAGTGTAGGGATTAGACTCACCGATATTGGATACAATAAGGTTTAGATTACTGACATACCGTGCTAGGATCGAATAGGCTGTTCGGATGCAGGCAGCCCGACCGGAACGATCAACAGCCGACCCAGCACCTCAGACTTAAATAAATCCCCCTTCTGCATCTAGATTCCATCATTGAGCTAGTAGTTGGACTTCTCTGTGCTTTATATCTGGTAGAGTAACTAGAGGTGACGAGGTCGTTGACACTTTTGCCTCTGCACAAAGCCGCTGACAAGGCTTGGAAGCGATAGCTACCAACAATTACAACATACATCATGGGTTTTACACCTGAGACACTTCCCGATCTGGGAGGCAGGGTATACTTGGTGACCGGGGGGAACACAGGAATGTAAGTTTTCCTCAGAAGCTCTCAGTACCAATTTGTCACTGCCAGACCACTAAAAAACACATCTCAGTGGGTTTCATACCGTCCTACAACTGGCTACACATCATGCAAAAGTTTATTTGTGTTCTAGGTCCGAGGAAAAGGGTAAAGCAGCAATGAAAGAGATAAATGGCTTACTGCCAAACGCCGAATTACACCTTCTGAAGATGGACATGACGAACCTTCAGAGTGTTGTTTCTGCGGCAAAGGAATTCTGCAGGTCTGTTCAAAATTGATTATGTATCTCAGCACATTCGACTGAGACGTTTTAGACGAGAGAAATATCTCCATGGTCTTGTGAACAATGCAGGGATAATGGCAACTCCATTCGCAAAGACGGTGGATGGATATGAGTCGCAATTTCAAGTGAGCTTTGTTGAACAGGAAATTCCCACGGCATCATGTATATTACTAACGTATGTTGAATTTATAGACCAACTACCTTTCACATTGGCTCTTGACTTATTGTCTACTGCCGACAATGGTTGAGACTGCCAACAATTCTGTCCGGGGGATCGTTCGAATTGTTAATGTTACATCTAATGCGCATGAAAATGTGCCTGAGTGTGGTATTGATTTACAGGACATCGACCAAGCTAGTGGTGGTCCTATCTCTCGATATGGTTCTTCTAAGCTGGCTAGTATACTTCATACCAAAGAACTTGCTAGAAGATTCAGTATGCCTGAGACTCGAGCAGCCTACTGGGGAGTTCGTTATGAGGACAACACAGGAGGTGAAATTTGGGTGTCAAGTGTGCACCCAGGAATGGTGAAAACGTATGGTCTATTTCTTAACAAATGCTTGCTTGATTATCTGTTCGCTAACTATTAGTAAAGGAATCTTCTTTCTCAAGCCAATGGCTCAATGGCTGTGATAATCATGGGCAAAATTCTTTCCGGGGTCTCCAAGACCGGCCTCATAGGCTTGACCCCAGAAACTGGGGCGTTTACCCAATTATTTGCTGTGGCAAGCGAAGACTTCACTCGGGAGATGAATGGCTCATATCTAATCCCGATCGCGAAAGTGGGAAAACCGAGCAAGAAGGCAGAAGACAAACAGATGGCTACGGATTTATGGGACTGGACAGAGAAGGAGATGAAAGCCAAAGAGTTAATCTAAGCCAATAAACCCTTGAAGGAGCCTGCAAAATCAGGAATTGCGGATTCATTGGCTCCAATTGGCTCCAATTGGCACAAAAACACGAGAAGCAAAGTGATTAGAAGGTATGCCTCTTTATTAACCTCCGAGATCATTTTATTAAATTACATTGTCTTTCTACATAGTCCACTATGAAATAGCGAGTAACTTTGTATGTGGTTTGAGTAGTTACTGGATTCTAGCTCACGTGGCCTGACTGCCGCCTTAACACACTCTTTTAACATCAATCTTATTAGAAGGATTTTATGATCATTATTCGGGAGGAAAAGCTAACTAGTTGGCTAACTACCTAGGTACTCAGTGGCCTGGCACATAAGGCGATTAAAATGAGTCTATAGACCTCTTCAATCTTAAATTCTGACCTTTAGTCAATATGAGGTTGAACCTCTTTTGATTTTGAGATATACTTCGTTTTCAACTGGGACAAGCTACACCTCCGATTAGAACGAGGTTTACCAAACCCCCGCGGGCAAGAGAGACACTACATAGCCGGAACCGGGGAACTGCGCCGAGATATCCACCAAGCCCCACGCGGGGCATCCCATCCTCAACACGAAACCCGAATTTCCCTTCTGATCTGCCCAGATACGAGACTGAAGTACATAGTCAAGCTCTGCGATATCCAAATCCTACAGGATTTCCCAATTGCACTGTAGGCTTTGCACCGCAGACGAGCTCGGCTTATCCCTCTAACATGGCCAAAGCTGAGTCCGATCTCAGATCCATCCTCGATGGTGGTTTCGATCCTCAGCAGTTCCCCTGGTACGAACCAGAGTTGATTGAAGTTCCTGAGCCAGCAAAGTCTCTGCTGGAGAAGTACAGCAAAATCCCGCCTGGGCATGAGGTGGAACATGTGAAGAAAGTGGTGAGTCATTTCCCATTACATACTGGGAGTGCCCATGCTAATGATGATGGAATGATCCAGAGAGATAGAGCGTTCGCTGTGGTGAGTAAATCTTATTTTACCAACAATTTGTTTTAGAAGCGCTGTAGCTTGGAATCCTCGCATGTTTGATGCGCATCAAATGCAATTGATGGCTACGGAGTCTTCACATTCCAAGAGGTATCATTGATTAAAGATGCTAATAGATATTCTCAGTTCCCGTACCCTTGTATTGGATCATTCCGGTTCCTGGACTTGAGTATCCCACAATCACCGCTATACGCTGAGGTCCTTGATAGACTGAAGTCCGGCCAGAAGCTGCTTGATGTCGGATGTGCCGTTGGACAAGAGCTGCGTCAACTGGTAAGACCCCAGGGAGCTCATGCAGAGTCCAGAGCAATGAACACAAATTTAACATACCAAACCAGGTCTTCGACGGCGTCCCCTGTGAGAACCTCTATGCTTCAGACCTGCGCCAAGACTTCTACGACATTGGGTACGATCTTTTCAACGACCACGGTCACCTCAAAGCCCAGTTCATTGTAGCAGACGTATTCGATGACAACTCCGATCTAGTCAAGAACCTGGCAAACAAAATTGATATTGTGAACGCCGCTTCGTTCTTCCATCTTTTCAACTGGAACCAGCAGGTCCTAGTTGCAAAGCGGATCGTCGGGCTACTCCAGGATAAACCCGGTTCCCTTCTAATCGGCCGACAGATTGGTTTAGTGAATCCTCCACCTCCGGAAGATAAGGAGGCTGCTGGGGAGCACTACCGTCATGATCCTGCTACGTGGAAGAAGTTCTGGGAGCAGGTGGGTGCTGAAACGGGGACGAAATGGGAGGTTGAGACTCGGATGGAGAAGTGGGCTGGGGCGGACAAGACGATGAAAGACTATCATGAGGGGATGGATACTTTCAAGCTGCGGTTTAGTGTTCGGAGGCTGTAGGGTATTTCCTTTGTCCAGCTATGATTTAAAGTGTATATAGCATATTTCTAGATTACATCAAGCAGTGGCTCTTCGTGCACCACTAGGTCCTTTTCGAGCTTGATGATAGTACACTGGGGATCTGCTTGAACACCCGCGACTCGCCGATGTGCAGCCCTATTGTGGATTTGGTGCAAAATGTTGGGATGTAGATGCTAGAACGGCAGAGTCGTACTGGAAAGGTGGGAGTCCAGACTGTAACTGGTGCACTGCCGATGCTTTTTGGATTTGTGGCAGCTGCGTCGATTCATCGAATAACCATGGTGGGTTTGCAAGAGACATTATCTCTTGGTCAAATATAGTCCATGAGTCGTCTGCGCTTGGGACTGGGAATGCTAATGCCACGCTTGTGTCTGGCGGAGTATGCATGGCTTGCATGCTAGACTCGAGTCGGTGGAATAAAACTGTATGAATGCTTGCAGCGGATTGGTTTCTTCGTTCTAGGCTTTGGAGATGTGCTTGGATGAGGTGTAAATCTGGAATAGAGCATTAGAAGAGGTTGATGATTCTGCTTTTCGGGAGTTAAATATGCCATACCATCTTGGTGAGTCATGCCGTCTTCAACACCTTGAAGGAGTAATACGGCCGCCCATGTAATCATCTATTTTGTTAAAAAGAACATTACTGGCTCTGGGACTGAACTTACAACTAAGTCCCAATTAGACCATATGCTCGCATCATCTTGTCTCAGCCTCAACACTGCCCGAGCCGAAACGAGCAACTCATGCCGTTCAAAAGAACTAATGTTCGCAGGACTGAGATCAAATCCGCGAGCAGGATGATAGATCGAAAGCACATATAGTTTGTGCAGGTGATACTGGAGCAGAATGAGAATACCTTTTCGATCAGACGGAGTGGGCTCTAACAACAGTCAGCCCCGGAACGTGGATTCTGACTCTTGGACACTCACGGGATGAACCATTATATCGAACCAGCCAGTCATCAAGTTTCCGTGCCCAATGCCGGATGACCTGCGAGTCATTTTCAGTAAACGGGGACCGAGCTATAGGCACAGTGTCGGCGTCATCTGCATGGAGAGAGGACCATATGCTCGGTAGCCCACGGCCGACAAAATGACTCAGTCCAAAATGCATCATTTCTGCAAGGCCCTGGAAGGCATTTCCTTGATGCCCATCCAGCCGCTGTATAGTTGGATTTGCAGCATGTCGTGGGAGAAGTGGATAAGACATGTGCATTGAGGCGTGTTCGATATCAATGACCTGGAGTAAACGAGAGTAAATAAAGAATCCGAGTTTCGGGCTTTGGTAGCTGTTCCTACCTGCAGACCGGAGAACAAGCTACGCCAGTCTTTCGTAGTGGAATTCATCTCTGTTGGACAATGATCAAGCCAGATACGATACGCCATTGCAATCCACGAGCCTGTGGCACCAACGTAAGCCTCGCAGCTCAGGCTAGCCATGATCAACCCAAGGATATCGTGAAATGCTTTCTCTCTTTTAGATTGTGGGGAGACATTTTGCTCTTCGTCCTTGTGCTCTAATGTCTGCAGACAACTTGGATGCAAACCCGGAGTCACAAGCTCAGCGATAGCACTATACATAGCGGCAAAATAACCCGAGTTTAGCGATGACAGCCCGCCAGAGGGATGGTGCAGAGCGGATATGTAAAGCACAGAAGCGAGCAGAACAGGTGTGGGAGAAGCGAACGCGCTATGGTCTGTTAGGAAGTGAAGAAGTGGGAGATTTTTCAAGAAGCTGTGATATTGTCAGATATCGATTGTCACATATTGATTTAAACAATACATACGAGCTCCATAGCTGCTGAACAATGGATCGTGACCAGACACTATCATCTGGAGGCGGACGAGTAATGACTCGTAAATGCGCAAGCGCTGTCCATACACCATGTAGTGGCACGGCTTCAATGTCTTCTTCAAGACTTGCCTCACGAGACATACTAACTTCCTCTTCAGGGGACTGGTGGTCCTCGGTGATACCTAGGGCAGACTCGATCCTGGCCAGTCGGTTCAGAATCGACTGGTGATCAGGGATCACTGATAGAGAAGCAAAAGCTGGGTCTTGCTGCATCTCCATTAATTCATGCATGGCGGATGCCTAAATGAATTGTCAGCTCCGTGTCCGGGTTATTATTTCCGCGATTCTTTGCTCACATTGGCCCGGGGCTTGAAGACACAGGCTGTTTGAGTGTGACGGCAACGGCGACATGGAGGAGGTCCGGATACTTCGCATTTCATCTGATTGATGTAAGTCACCTTCTGGTTGCTGGTATATAGGGAAACTAGCTATGTCTATACCTTCAGTCGTCGGCAATTTACTTTGATCGGTTAGCTTTTCTCCACAATGGAACCCAATGCTCGGACTCACCACAGGCCTTGGTCGGCTTCGGGCCGACCATGGCGCCCGATCTTTTCATGGCTACTCAGAGTAACTCCCCATGACTCGGCGTGGTAATTGATCAGAACAATTGGAGAAGAGGGTAAGCAGACACAGTTACATCGTGGCTAATTAGGGGGGGGATTACTGTTTCTCCGCTTTTACCCTGTGGCGCTCGACCAATTATTATTCCCTCATTTTAAGTCAAGACATGTGAAAGACTGATTTACTTTCATATTTCTACGAATTCTACGACTTCTATGAATTGTATGGCAATGTTTATGTTCCCTCGTTTTTAGTCCGTCCTGTGTAGACTTATAGGTCCAGGACGGGTCTGAAAACGGAGATGAGAAGTGTACCTGGCGGTTCACATTCCCTTTGTTCTTGCGCGAGCATCCTGATGGAAATGAATGCGACATCATGCAACCAAAGGTAGTGACTGGTTGTAGATGTGATTAGCTCGGTGCCGAAGCACGTGAATATCTTTCGCGCGGTTGGGGGTCAAGGCAGGGGAAGAGACATCAAAACAGAGGAAAAACAGAAGAATGGAGATGTATACAGATGGGATATACACGGATATATGTACAAGGTAGGATTTGATGTAGGGAGGTGAAGGTATATAGAAATACACGGGAAAGTTAAGTGGTGATACAATTCCCCAAACAAGGCTCGTGCCCAGTTCAGAGGAAGGTGTGCAAGAAAGAGAAGCGACTGCTGAATGGCGATGCTTTGTTGATATCGCTCACGCAGCGGCATCCATGGAAAGCTTGCGCAGCTCCCATTCCGAATCAGCCCAGTCCTTCTTCTCACCCAGAACGCAAGTCGCTTGCCGAGAGCCATTCACCAGGAACTTTTCAGCGACTGCGTTGACATCCTTGGCTGTAACATCCAAGACTTGTTCTCTCCAGCGTTGGTCCATTTCATGGGTAACGCCACTCATGAAGTAGCGGGCGCCTTCGTCGTCGACGCTCATAGGAGCATCAAGACCTTGGAAGATGCCAAGCTTAGCTTCTTCAATCTCACGCTCAGACCAAGCACGATCTCTAGCAAAGATACCACTGTTTTTGAAGACCTTGAGTGAGTTCAGAGGGTTCGGGTCCCGGTAACTCATAAAGGTGAAGATTCCCTTGATGGGACCATTGCTAGCACCCGCTCCGTAGGCACCTCCCTTCTCCCGGATCTCAGGGTGGAGGTAGTTGTGGGTGAGAAGCTGAGACAAGATGCTGAGAGGAGCGCTGGATGGATCAACGAATGGCACAGTCTGTCTAGCCTGGCCAGAGTAATAGACCTTGTACGGCATATCGTAGAAAGCCTTGTCGGCTGACTTGAAGGAAGAGGTGGTGAGATCGGCGCTTGGGGACTGTGTTTGAGGTAGTCCGGAGATCCACTTTTGTAAGATCGATTCGTTGTTACCAGCACTCTCTTTTTCACACACCATGCGGACGCGAAGATTGGACGAAGAGATGGCGAAGGATTGGATCAGGCGAAGCTTCTCAATCAGCTCCTGGAGACGCTCGGGAGATGACTCTGCGTCCCGGAGCAGGTTAGCCGTAGCTTGCAGTTGCTCAAGACCAGACTGCTGCTCTTGGATCCAGAAGCTCCGAGAAAGACTAGCGGTCGCGGCATTGACGGCGAATCGGTGACCAGTTCCCGCAATGGCATCCAAAGCTCCATTAGTGGTCATCCGTAGGAGTTCTTGAATCATCGCAGGCGCAGCAGGGCTCGTGAAGTCTGTCTCTGTGACCAAAACTGAGAGCATTTCCAGCATCTCGGGGATGTTCTTGTCGATAGCAAATCCAGAGAACTGCATTCCCTCCTTGAACTGATCCAAGTGCGTTGGGGATGACACAAGGAACGACGAGGTCGAAATTCCCCCCGTCTTGAGTTTGATCAAATCTTCCCACTGTTCCATCGACCGGTTGGCAGTTCCCAGACGCATAACACAGTCGTTAAACAATGGCATAAGCAACCGGAGTTCATCGGGTAGATCAACGAAGTCATTCAAGGCCTGGAAGTAGGTCAACCCATTGGTGGGAGCTTCACGCCAGACGACGTCAGCGCCCTCGACTTTGGACTCTCGGACAGGCTTGCGCTCCTTCTCTCGCGAGATGTCCTTGACTCTCAACGACGGGAGGCAGCTCAGGTCAGCATTATGGGCGTCCTCTTGGATCTTGAGAAGTTCCAATTCCTCCTCTCCAAGCTTGGTGACAGCCTTCTCAACTGATCCATGCTCTTCGATAAGCTGCGCAAGTTTCTTGTCCTTTCGCACCACCTCCTTCTCGTCCAACTCTTTGTTGAAAGTGGGAGTACCGACCATGGTAAAGGTCATGCATTGGTCGTTGATGAGATATTTCTCGACCAAAGACTCGAGATAACCAGGTCTAGCATATCTGCGCTTAAACTCGTCGATGACATCATTCCAAGCCAGCTCTTTCATGGGATCTGAGCCGTTGAGCCAAGTCGAAATGGTCTTCTCCATTACACCAATTCCGAAGTTTGCAGTCTTGTGGCGCAGCGAGAGCTCCAGCTGGTGAAGGAATCCACGGACCTTCTCCTCGCTGAACCCGGCAGAAACGGATTCCCGGAAGACGTTTTGAATCACATTTTTGATATTTGGGGCTTCCGCCTCAGTCACACCATTGAGTCCAACCGAGAAGATCGGAGTCCGGCTAGATGGGTCAAGACCCGTGTTTGGTGTGAAAGAAGAGCCAAGACCACTCTCAACAAGGGCTCGGTACATGGGTGAGCCGTAGCCATCGAGGAGAAGCGAGGAAACGATTCCTACAGAGAAAGTTTCCACAATATCGGTTGTGTCACCCATGTACCAGGACGTGGATGTCTTGTGCTGCTTGTCTTCGCTGGCAAATGTATCGACGGGGCCAGGAACAGTCACGTTAAGAGGTCCCTTGGTGAGATCCAAAGGTAGCTTAATATCAGTATCCGCTTGTCCTTTCTGGAAGCCATCCAGGACTGCACCGATCTGCTGCAAGTGATCAGCCAGAGGCATATCACCATATGTAAGGATCTTGGAGTTGCTGGGGTGGTAGTTGCGTTTCGAAAACTCCGACAGCTGCTTATGAGTGAGATCTGTGATGTACTCTGGGTCTCCACCCGAGTTGTTCAACGAAGGGAAAATGCTCTCTTTGAAACGGATGTAGTAGAGATAGTTTGCATCAGAGATCTGGCCCTTCATCTCATTGTAGACCACCCCCTTAAACACGATGTCCTCCAATGACAGCTGTTTTTCGGTTTGCCCGGGAACCGACTCTCCAGCACGCGGATCCTCGGGGCCCAAGCGCCACCCTTCTTGTCGGAAATCCGATTCCTTGAGAAGAGGGTGTAGGGTAGCATCGAGATAAACAGAAAGAAGATTTTGGAAATCTTGTTGGTTGGTCGTGGCAAATGGGTATGTAGTGTGGTCGGAAGCTGTGAAAGCATTCATGAAATTCGAGAGGGAGCGCGGAAGCATCTTAAAGAACGGGTCACGGATTGGAAATCTTGAGGAAGCACAAGGTCAGCAAAAATATAGAGGTTTGAATATGATGTTGCTCACTTTTCACTGCCACATAGTGTGGTATGCTCCAGAATATGAGGCACACCAGTAGCATCCGGCGGGTTTGTCTTGAACCCGATTCCAAACACATTGTTCTTATCATCTCTGGCGACATGCATGTAGTCCGCATCGGTCTGGTCATGCTTCAGCCAGACTGCAGTCAGATGAAGCTCAGGGACATGTTTCTTCTCCTGCAGGGTGAATCCATGCAGCTTCTCGCCAACCTTGGGGAAGTTATCCAAGTTGGTCACCGTTGATGCAGCTCTCCAAGTATTGCGCGGAAGGATCGTTTGCGTTGGTTTTAATGAGCGACCGATAAGCGAGTGAGAGTTTGGCACCCGCGCCGTGCGGAGGCGCATCGATGAGCGCAACATAATTTTATGGGTAGTTGACAATCGTAAAGAATAACCTCGTAACCCCGGAGTCGAAAATGTCCAGCCCTGAAGGTTCCACCGCCCAGGCTTACATCATCTATGCTAGCGTAAGCCTCACTGGCCGCCCGCTCGTCGAAGTTCTGCTCCGAAGACCAACATTTGCTCTTTCCCGAACGATACGACAAACGAACGCTTCCTACATCCCAGAGCCAGTGATCTCGCTCGTGAGCCTTGCCTCTGGGATCTGTCCTCCGTGTGATTGATCCGTCTACATCCTACCCTATATCCCGCCTATTTGGCGCAAATTTTCGGCTTCCGGCCTTCGTACCAACCCCCCGTGGATCGAATTGCCAAATACGTTATTTCTGCAATACTCCACACAAACACCTCGAAATGTCGTCCACCTCTATGGCGAAGAAGAACAAGGCAAAGAAAGCGGCCGACCCGAACGAGACGTCCAAGCTTTTGGCCGCCAAGATCTCCCAGCTGGAGCAAGATGCCGCCGGCGAGAAAGACCAAGAGGCGGAAATTGGTGCGTGACTCCCTTTGTATTCTGCGGCGGCATTTTCCTCTTTGCTTGGTGCCACTGGGCCGCGGGGTTAGTCGGGTCACTAACTTGGATTTTGATATACAGAGCGCGAGGTCAAGAAGGCAACTCGTGATCTCAACCAGCTTTTGAGCAACATTGAGTCCCCTATGACCAAACTCGAAACCGTCCATAAGAAGTACACCGAGCTGTTGGCGGATATGAAGAAGCTAGATCGTGATTATTCCAAGAGCAAGAAGCGCGCCGATCAGCTGCAAAAAGACCAGGACAAGGGCAAGTCTGATCTCAACAAGACCGTCACAATGAAGGACAAGCTGGAGAAGCTGTGTCGAGAACTTACAAAGGAGAACAAAAAGGTCAAGGTGGGTCCCTCAGCTTGCGCCTCGAGACGATTGCGCCAAAACACCGCGGAGGACTTGCCAGCTAAACGATTTGGTAGGATGAGAATAAGAAGCTGGAGGACACTGAGAAGAAAGCGCGCTTGATTGTGAACGAACGTCTCGACTCGCTCCTCTATGACATCCAAGACGTCATGGCTGCCAAGGGGAACCCTCGTAGCGAAAAGGTGGATGTCGATTTGGATGAAGCGTACGATTTC